GATAAATTAAAATAATCTTCTGAGCTTCAAAATCATCAAATCAACATCATATAAATAATCATATAGTGGTTAAACTAGAGAAGGATTTTACCAAAGTTTGAGTTAGTTAGCAAAAATATATAATTCTAAATAATAATATTGGTATATTGATAAATTATTTAAAGAATTTGTGCATCCAGTAATATTATTATGATTTATATTTTTATTATTATAGTTTTCAAGCTTGTTTCATGATTTCATATATATATGCAGAAGTCAGCTTTAAAAATTGTCATGATTCTTAGTTAATATATTTTTGTTTTTAAAATATTAGCTTTCTTCCATATCAATAATTATGGCAGTAAAGTGCATTCCAAAAATTTAATTTAGACATTTTTGTAGAGGAAAAAATTTGAATTTATTAAATAAAAAGGATAATAAGCTTTTGTTTTATTATATTTAGTTAAAAACAATGGTAAGTTGTTTGCAGTAAAAAAGAATATTTTTGAATTAATTAAGTTTCCAAAATGTATTTGAAAATTTAGTGAATGCCAAAAGAATAATGAGAGAGTTTAAATTATAAAGTATTGTAATAATAAATAAATTTAATACATTTAAAGTAAAAATGAGTATCAATATTATTGTTTATTGTTAATTCATATATTTTCTATTAGAATACTAAATTAAACTAGCTTATTATATATTGTGGATAAGTTTATAATTATGTTAATAAACTATTGAACTATTTAAACTAAGAAAAATTAAGAATGAAAGAACTTTCAAATTCGTAGAAAGTGAAATGAAGTATTAATTGTTGGCTGGAGATAATTAAGACATAATCATTAAATATAATGTTTTCTAAATTTTGTTAATGTCAATTCTTTAGAGAAAGTTGCTAGGAATATTTCTTTTCGATAGTTCATTATATTTTTGAATAAAGTGATTGTGAATAAGGTAGAATGATGATAAATTAGTTTCATAGTAGTATAATCGTAAATGATATTTTTAATATAGAAAATATTAACAAACTATTTTAGAAAGATAATACAATAAAATCAAGTGATTGAATGAGGAAATTATGTTTTAGTATAAATTAAATTTATAACATATTAGGGTTCTTGAATTTTAACATTTACATTCAAATAAAAAAAGTTTGCTTAAAAGAACAAAAAAATAATATCAACTATATTTACTAACTTAAATATGATTAATAATTTTAATATCAAATTTTAGGAACATTAAAGATGATTGTTCAGATAATTTAATGAAATTAGTAAAATCATCCAGATATTAGATTCTGAATTAGAAAGATGACAGACAATTAGAAAATTTAAAGAATCATAAAAAAGAATTGTATAGAAATAGATGGAAATAGGATTTAGTTTTTGTATTGTGGGAACAATTTGAAGGATTATGTATAGATATAGAAAAGAATGGTGTATAAGATTAAGAGTTTGAAAGATGTAAAAGGATGAAAGTAATTACTGAACGAGATTAAAAGGATTATGTTATATAAGTTATAAGAGTTTGTATATAGAATGTGTTAGCATTTTAAATGAATTAGAGAAAGTAGTAATCTAGTAAATAGAGAAACTTGTGTTATGATTAATATTTTAATATAAAAAAATGTCAGACGATGATCATTTTTCTCTTCATAGCTTTGATCCAGAGTAAGATAATAAGAATGAAAATGAGATTGACTAATTCTATAAGGAATTAAGTCTTTAATTTTATGGTGAGAATAAGAAAAAGAAGGTTTCTTTACTTATGTCAGGTTCTACTCAAGTATAAATGGAATCTCTACATTGTAGGAGACAAGCAAACCCAGTAGAGAGACATTGCCAGATGTTAAAAAAGGTGTTATGTATGTGGCACCTCTATCTACACGACCAGGTAGTCCAAGAGTTGGTCGGATTCAAGTACAAAAGAGAGCGATAAATCAAAACAGTTCAAGCAGTCCTTCCAAGTAGAGACCTCTATAAACTAAAAAACTTCTATAATTACTTCAGTCACCCTACAATTCTAAGACCAATTAGAAATAAGCTTTCCTCAAAAAACAATTAGATATGATTAAGCGAATACAAATTCAGGAATTAAAAGAACATTATTATAAATGAAAGAAATATATTTGTTCCTTTCTTCCAACTATATATTTAGTTCATTTTTACATCTTCTTCTGAAAGTCGTTTATCAATATAAATTTATTATTGCACAAACAACATTCCAAAATCAAATATTTCTTACAAAATTCACAAGCTCTCCTTTCTTAATTTATTTAAATATAAATTCAAAAACTTTTCACTAAATCACAATACTACTTTACAAAGATTATTTGAATTATGAGTTCATCAATTATTTCAAATCAAGATATCATATCAATCAATCAATTGAATTCTTATGTTCCATATAAACATATTACCAATTAATAGATTAATAAACAAGAAAATCAAATACTTATCTCAGTNAAAATAATATCAACTATATTTACTAACTTAAATATGATTAATAATTTTAATATCAAATTTTAGGAACATTAAAGATGATTGTTCAGATAATTTAATGAAATTAGTAAAATCATCCAGATATTAGATTCTGAATTAGAAAGATGACAGACAATTAGAAAATTTAAAGAATCATAAAAAAGAATTGTATAGAAATAGATGGAAATAGGATTTAGTTTTTGTATTGTGGGAACAATTTGAAGGATTATGTATAGATATAGAAAAGAATGGTGTATAAGATTAAGAGTTTGAAAGATGTAAAAGGATGAAAGTAATTACTGAACGAGATTAAAAGGATTATGTTATATAAGTTATAAGAGTTTGTATATAGAATGTGTTAGCATTTTAAATGAATTAGAGAAAGTAGTAATCTAGTAAATAGAGAAACTTGTGTTATGATTAATATTTTAATATAAAAAAATGTCAGACGATGATCATTTTTCTCTTCATAGCTTTGATCCAGAGTAAGATAATAAGAATGAAAATGAGATTGACTAATTCTATAAGGAATTAAGTCTTTAATTTTATGGTGAGAATAAGAAAAAGAAGGTTTCTTTACTTATGTCAGGTTCTACTCAAGTATAAATGGAATCTCTACATTGTAGGAGACAAGCAAACCCAGTAGAGAGACATTGCCAGATGTTAAAAAAGGTGTTATGTATGTGGCACCTCTATCTACACGACCAGGTAGTCCAAGAGTTGGTCGGATTCAAGTACAAAAGAGAGCGATAAATCAAAACAGTTCAAGCAGTCCTTCCAAGTAGAGACCTCTATAAACTAAAAAACTTCTATAATTACTTCAGTCACCCTACAATTCTAAGACCAATTAGAAATAAGCTTTCCTCAAAAAACAATTAGATATGATTAAGCGAATACAAATTCAGGAATTAAAAGAACATTATTATAAATGAAAGAAATATATTTGTTCCTTTCTTCCAACTATATATTTAGTTCATTTTTACATCTTCTTCTGAAAGTCGTTTATCAATATAAATTTATTATTGCACAAACAACATTCCAAAATCAAATATTTCTTACAAAATTCACAAGCTCTCCTTTCTTAATTTATTTAAATATAAATTCAAAAACTTTTCACTAAATCACAATACTACTTTACAAAGATTATTTGAATTATGAGTTCATCAATTATTTCAAATCAAGATATCATATCAATCAATCAATTGAATTCTTATGTTCCATATAAACATATTACCAATTAATAGATTAATAAACAAGAAAATCAAATACTTATCTCAGTTAACCGATATCAATTCTTTACCTGAGATAAATTACATTAAAAATCTTTAATTAAGTTATACTGAAATCAACTGAATTTAGATAATGAATCAATTTATTTTACCTATTCTCAATAATATTTTAAATTATGTCTAAGCATTAGATTAGAAGTACAATATGTTACACAATTATTTTCCATATTAATTTTATAATTTGTGATTTCAATAATGCAATATCATGTTTCATAATAAGATGTTTTGGGAACTCTCTAAGATGTATTTTTGATAAGTAATCAACTCCAAGAGGATTAAAAACATTATCAAAATAAAGGGAAACATCTTTCTGATTTTGAAGGCAATCTAGATAACAAAACAAGTAAAACCAGGTTAGACCGATATTTGGAAAAGTACTAATGTATTATAGAATAACATTTTAGAAAGAAAATAAATACAAGTAGAGAATAATAGTTCCCAATCATAATCAATTCAAAATGCTAATATAATAAAAGTGCAACAAAAATTAAACGATAGTTAAACAGCCTATTCAAGTAAGATGAGTTTACCAAGAGAAAGCTCAGAAAATGATGACAAAGAATAACACTTAATTGGAGCTGGTCTTTCGCAATATATGTAATAATTATAGTAGTCAAAACTACAATGTATTTATGTGAATTAGGAATGCTAAACAGAAGAATTAAAATAATATTACAATATTTAAGGATAAAATGAATTAGTATTTAATATTAGTGAGTCTAATAACTCTATGATAGATATAATTAAATTATTGAGCAGTAAACATAATTAATAGAACACTATTTGTGAACAAATTCAATTAAGTCTTCAAATATAGAAAGAATAGTCTTTAAAAAAAGACTTTTTCTGTTAATTTAATACTGAAATCAAACTTAATTAATAGATTGATAATTAATAAATTAAATAAATTTGTCATTGCAATTAAAAGATTAAAAAGCCTCTTTTAAATGATTTTGGATGCTAATATGATGAATCTCTGAATTAAGTGAATATAATTCTAAATAATGAACATCCAAAGAATATTCGATCTTTAAGTAGATGTCTGACGTCAGCTAACCAAAATAATAAAAATAGCTCGCTTAATAGTGATGATTAAATAACTTTCTTAGAATAAGGTATATATTTGTTTTAACAATATAGAATTGCAATTAAGAGAGGAGTTGTTAGAGACAAAGACACGAATTATCACTGATATGCAATAATAATTAAGTGAGTATTACAAATTTTTTAATAAAGAGAATAATATCGAATAAGAGAATGACTAAGAAGATCAAAGTGTATAAAAGGAGAGGGTAGATTGGAAAGTTAATGAGTTAAATCGATAAATAGAGGAGAATGTAGAAATTTAAGATTAACTAACATAAATCATGTTAAAATAAAGTGATGAGATTTTAGAGTTAAAAAAGGTTTTAGATGAAACGACTGAATAGAACTTTTAATTGAGGGAAGAACAAGAATAGTTAATCATCCAGATAGTATAATACAAATAGCAATTGATCGAAATTTAAGAAAGCAAAGTTAGAGAAATTAATTTAATCAATTAAGATTATTAAGACAAATTATCAAAATAGAATATGATAATTGATGAATTGTAATCTCAGATTAAAACCATTTAAACTAATACAAATGATATTCCTTAGTTATAGAATACATTGAATAATATACCAGAACATCAAATTGATGAGTTTGGATTAGATTCTTAATGTACTAAAGATAACAATTTGACTGCTCAGAATGTTCTTAAAAATATCAATAAAATGACAACAATGACAGCTGGTTTGATGTCTAATAAATAAGACTACGTTACTCTTGAAGTCTTGGGAAGAATTGATTAGAGTAAGAGTCTAACTATATTAGATTATTAGAAAAAGACAAATTGATCAAACATGAATACATATTTCAAATATTTATATTATATTTATATTGATCTAAAAACTATATTAAATAAATAATCAAATTTAAATGGATATTGAACAATAAGATGACAATTGGATGCCTCTTGAATCAAATCCTCAAGTTATGAATGAATAAGCAATCAAACTAGGTATGATATATCATTTAAATTAAAAGGCATTAATGTAGAAATAGCATAATTCCATGATTTATTAGGTTTTGAAGATTGGGCTTTTGAGATGATTCCATAACCAATTTATGGTGTTCTATTCAATTTTCCTATCAAAGAAAACACTAATCAATTTGTAGATTAAGAAACAGCATTGATTCAAGAAAAAGGGTAAATTATTTATCATAATTTAGATAACATGTATCTCCAAACTTGTTCTATATGAAATAATTAGCTAAGAATGCTTGTGGTACAATAGCAATGGTTCATGTTGCTTTAAATGCTGACAATGCTATCATTCATGAAGGAAGCTATTTAGCAGAATTTAAAAAGAGTACCTAAGGAAAGACTCCATAATAAATTGGAGAAGCATTTAAAAAAGCTAAAGAATTAAAAGAAGTTCATAAAGAAGCTGTTTAATAAGGAGAGAGTGCTTGTTGTGATGAAATTGATCGCCATTTCATAGCTTTTGTATTGAAAGAGGGTGATATATATGAATTAGATGGATGCAAAGTATATTAATTAATTAAATTTACTATAGTAATTCCCAATTAATCATGGTAAATCGACACCAGAAACATTTTTAGCTGATGTTTCTAAAATTATCTAAAAGTTTTTTGAAAGAGATCCAAATGAAGTATCATTTTCAACTGTTGTGCTAGCTAAAGCTATTTAAGAATGAGAATTTATTATAATAATAAAATATCATTTATCGAACTAATTATGTATATATAACTTATACTCTTCTTCTCATACATAATTCAGAAATGAAAAGATAAAAAATTTAATATGGCATTAGATTTTAGAGGTAAAGTGATTATTGTGACTGGAGCTGTCAGAAGTATCTGTAAAGAGCATTGTAATTACTTTACTGATAAGGGAGCTTAAATTATAGTTATAGCATATATAATAATCTATTTAAAGAGAAGATTTATCATAAATCAATTTTAATAATAGATGTAAAAAAGATAGTAAAAATTATATATTGGTGAATGAAGTAATTACGTTATGAATTATTAGATTGTCAAAAATATTAACTTTAATGGATTATCATGATATTTTAGATGGAGATTTTATAATCAAATAGACGATTGATATTTTGATTAATAATGCTGGAATAATAAAAGATAATGTTTTTTTCTAAGATGACTAAAGAAGATTATGAAGATGGTATAGATGTTCATTTAAATGGGTTTATAAATGTTGTAAAGCGGCTTGGCCTTATACCATTAAATAGAGATATGGAAAGGTTATAAATAGAATATATGGCTCTGATTTATATGGTTAAATAGGATAGGCTAATTCTACTACTGCAAAATATGCCATTATTGGATTTTCTATAAGTCTTACCAAAGAAGGTGAAGAATTTAATATAAGAACTAATGTTTTATCACCTGTTGCTGCCTCTAGAATGACTGAAACTATTTTATCTCAAGATATGCTTAAGTGTATTAATCCTAACAATCTTGCTCCATCTGTTGCTTTTTTGTGCATTGATGATTGTTAAGTATTATCTAAGAATGTTCTGGAGGTTTTATTAGTAGAGTAACATTAGATAAAGAGCCTATTGATTTTCTTAAATGGTCAAAATTAAAAAAAAATATTATTTAGAATTATATTTCATTCAGTTATTTCCTATTTGATAATTTCTTAATTATCTATAATATAAATTATATTTCAATTACTATTTATTTTATAATATTTACACAGCTTTATCATCCATATTTCAAATTCAAATACTTTTACATCTATCTCTTAACTATTTTCTAAACTATTTTATGATACTTATAATAACTTTTTCTTTTGCATTTTACTTAAATTCTATCGTATAACTTTCATCATAAATTTTAGTAGAAATTTTAAATGTGGAATTTAAGAGATTAAAAATAAATTTAATTTTTATGCCAAAAAGAAATAATAGAAAAAAGGAAAGCAAGAATAAATTAGAAAAAAATACAGAATAAACTGAAGAAAAAGAACAAATAGAATCAGCACCTGATATTGATAAAAATTTATAAGAGTAAGAAATTTAAGAAGAAAAAAGTATTAATTAAATCAATGAAAATAATCAAGAAAACAATAAATAAATTTTAGAATAAAATTAATAAGTTGTCAAATAGGTTTTAATATAAGGGCAAGATTAAAATAATTTAAATTGTGAATAAAAGTAATCATAAATGGAATCTATAACTACCAATGATGGATAATTAATAGAAGAAAAAAATTAGCATGATTAGTTAGAATAATTTAGTGAAACTTAATCATAAAATTAATTAGTTGATGATTAAAAGTAAAAAATAGCAACAGAATAAAAGGAATAATACAATTAAGAAAAATAAGAAGTAGAATAAGCAGGGATTTAAGAAAAATAATAAAATTAAAAAGTTGAAGAATAAGTAAAATAAGATGAAGTTTAAGAAAAATAATAGACTATAGAAGTTGAATAAATAACATTAGAAAATTAAAATTAATAAGAATAAATAAATTAGGAAGTGAATTCTGAAAATTAATAAATTAAAGAAGTTGAATAAATAACATTAGAAAATTAAAATTAATAAGAATAAATAATTTAAGAAGTGAATTCTGAAAATTAATAAATTAAAGAAGTTGAATAAATAACATTAGAAAATTAAAATTAATAAGAATAAATAATTTAAGAAGTGAATTCTGAAAATTAATAAATTAAAGAAGTTGAATAAATAACATTAGAAAATTAAAATTAATAAGAATAAATAATTTAAGAAGTGAATTCTGAAAATTAATAAATTAAAGAAGTTGAATAAATAACATTAGAAAATTAAAATTAATAAGAATAAATAATTTAAGAAGTGAATTCTGAAAATTAATAAATTAAAGAAGTTGAATAAATAACATTAGAAAATTAAAATTAATAAGAATAAATAATTTAAGAAGTGAATTCTGAAAATTAATAAATTAAAGAAGTTGAATAAATAACATTAGAAAATTAAAATTAATAAGAATAAATAATTTAAGAAGTGAATTCTGAAAATTAATAAATTAAAGAAGTTGAATAAATAACATTAGAAAATTAAAATTAATAAGAATAAATAATTTAAGAAGTGAATTCTGAAAATTAATAAATTAAAGAAGTTGAATAAATAACATTAGAAAATTAAAATTAATAAGAATAAATAATTTAAGAAGTGAATTCTGAAAATTAATAAATTAAAGAAGTTGAATAAATAACATTAGAAAATTAAAATTAATAAGAATAAATAATTTAAGAAGTGAATTCTGAAAATTAATAAATTAAAGAAGTTGAATAAATAACATTAGAAAATTAAAATAAATAAGAATAAATAATTTAGGAAGTGATTTCGGAAAATTAATAAAATTAAGAAGTTGAATAAATAACATTAGAAAATTAAAATGGAGAATTATAGAATGTAGAACCATAGAGAATTGGAACATTTAATTCAGAAGTAGATAGAATTGTTAATTAATAATTTATATAGGAAAACAAGATTTAAGCATTGAATAATAAACATGAAGATAGTTTATAGGTTAAAGAGCCTAAAATTCAAAATTAGGTTTAAGCTGACTCTATAAATGAATAAGCAGTTGTTTGTTAAAAACCTTTGATTTAAAAAAAGAAATAAGAAACTGAAGTAGTTGAATATAATCCAACTGAGATTAAAGAAAAATAAATTCCTGTTATTTAGATTGAGTAAAATTAGGTTGTTCTAAATGCTTAAAGTCCTGTAATAGTGTAGAAAGCAAATGATTAAGTAATGATAGAAGGTGCTCCATAAATATAATTAAAGAAATAAAATGATGATGTAATTTTGGAAGGAGTGCAAAAGTAAAAAATAGAAAAAAAAGTTGAATAAACAAATATTGAAATTTAACAAAAAATAGAGATTTAATAACATTAATAATAGATTGAATTAGAAAAGTAACCATAAATGGAATAATAAGTAATTATAGAGAAAGGTGAGACTCAGATTACAGAGTAAGTAGAAATTCAAAAGGTTCTAAATGAAATAGTAATAATTGAAAAGACCTAAGTGTAAACAGAGAAGACAAATGATAATGTTTACTTATAATAGATGCCAATAATTTAATAGGAATTTCACCATGAAGTTTAAATAGAGTAGGTTTAAGAAATAAGTTTGGAATCAAAAAATTAAGAGACTAGTGTAGAATAATGTCCTTAAATTGAAATATCGAATACTGTATAGACAACATCTCTTCTTGAATAACCCATAATTAATTTAGAGGTTAATAAATTCATTGAATAAGTAAACTCAAGCCCAGATACATAATCTGTGATTACATAACAAATACATTCCATTGAACATGCACCAAAATCAATCATTGAGTAGTAAGAATAGTTTTCTATGATCATTCAAGCACCTTAAACAGAAATCAAGGTAAATTAAAATTAAGATAAATCAGAAGCTTAATAAGAATTGAAAGTAGAAGATAATTAATAGTAAATAAAAATAATTCATTAGGAAGAGCATTTAATATAATAAGATGAAACTCCAATTCTAAATTAATCCTCTCATTAAATTATTAATGATGAAAAAAAAGAAGTTATCGTCTAAAATCCTTAAGCAAATATTAATCAAGTTCATATCAATGATGATTAAAACTTATAATAGATTTAATAAAATTAATTTGATGAATCTAATAATAAATAAATACCAGATTTAATAACTGTACAACATCAAAATGATACTTAAAAATAAGCTTAATCTGAAATTAATTAAACTTAATCTACAATACTTCAATAAGTACCTTAAGAAGTTGGTGTATTAAGTTTATCTATTGCTGCTGCTGCTGGAGCTTCCTAATTAATTATAAAAAATGGAATCAAATCTAAAGGAGGCCTATTTGCATCTTTAGCTGGTTCTGCAATATTATATGCTGGATATAGATATTTAAAATCCAAAGGTTAATAAAATTAAAAAAGAAGTTGAGTTATTTTAATCAAAATATGTTTATTAAATAATAATGCCTATTAAAATTATAACAAAAATGAATTATTTTAAATTTAATTTCAATGTCTCTTGAAAAAATGAGAAAAAGTATTCAAAACTTATTAGGAATTTAATCCAATACTTAGCATTAATAACCTGCTTAAGAATCCAGAAAATATCAAACTGAATAGAAATTACCAAAATCAGAATAATTTTTCAAAAATAAATTTGTTAGTATTCAAAAAAAAGAAAACAAATTAAATCCCTATAAATTTGCTTTAGATAGACTCAAAGAATTCAATTAAACCATATATAAAGCAAATGACTTAATCAAATGTCCAATTATTTCATATAAATTGAATGAATAAGAAGTATAATTGAACTCATATTTTTCAAGAAGAAGATTCATCCAAATTTAGAAACAAAGCCACGATGGTCGAATGATGAATCTTCATTTGATCTGATTAATATCAAACCTAAGGATGAAAGAAAATCCTTTTTTTTTCATGCATAATATATAAACGAAGATAATAAATAGCCAACTTAATCTAAATAAACAGCCAGAAAATCATAAATATCATCAAGGACTTCAGAATTTAATTTAGAAAATAATTTTGATAAAGATAAATACCCTGACTTAATTTTTACTAAATCTAAATAATAAAAAGAATAAGAATAAGAATAAGATCCTTAAAGTGGATCAGAATCAATAATTGTTAAACCAAAATCTGAAACTAAATTTAGAAAACTTAAACCTCAAGAATTTGAAACTAAACAAGTTATTTTGATTTAGGATTAAAAACAAATTTCTGAAAAAAAAGAGCCTTAAAATATCGATAATAGAGTATCAATACAAAAACAAGATATTTAGGAAAAACAATCAGAATAATAATCCTCAATTTAAACACAATAATTAATTTTAACAGATCCTACAAATTAGCAGGAAAAACAAAATGTTGTAGAAAATAAACAAGAATCAAAAATAGAATCATAAGTAGAAACAAAAATTGAATCTTAAATAACGAAAATAGACCCTCAAATTTAAAATTAAGTATAATAGTATAATCTTGATGAAAATCCCTTTACATAAAATATTTAGAATCAATTATTTAATCCTCCTTGGATTAATAATAATACAATATAAGACAATTAAGTATCTTTCAATTTATTTCAGCAACCATTGATTTAATAACAACCTTAAGGATAATAATAACAACCATAAAAGTTTTAAAATTCAATGGATTAATAATCATATAATTTATTTCCTTTTTAAAATTTATAAACAACTAACGTTTTTTCTAATTAGAATCAATTCCCCTAATAACCCAATCTTTTTTAAAATAACTAATAATCTAATTAGACTTTTAATTTATTTAATTAAACAAATACATTTTAGTAATAAATTTAATAATAACCTTTATTTTAGTAGCAACAATCATAACAATCCTTATTTTAATAACCTACCTCAGAGTCTTTATTTTAATAATAATCATTACCATAACCATTATTTTAATCACCATAACCATTATTTTAACAACAATCATCAGCATAAGCATTATTTTAGTAACAACCATCTCCACCAACATTATTTTAATAATAACCATCAACATAATCATTGTTTTAATAACAGTCATAAACATAATAATTATTTTAACAACAACCATAGCAATAATCATTATTTGACTAATAACCAGCAATGAATTTTTTCCAAACATCAGGAGTATAATAATCAAATTAATTATTTCAATAACCAAATCAATAGGCAATGAATTTATTTGCTAATAATGATTAAAGGCAAAATTAAATAGATTTATTTTCAGCCTAACCTTAATAGAATACACCAAACTTATTTTAATTAAATTAAGCTTAAGTATAAGACTTGTTTTCATTAAATACATAGTAATAATAAAATAATAATACATAATAAAGAGCATGTTCTCAATCTGATAGATACAAGAAAAACTTAACTAAGTAAACAACCAGCAGAATATGATAAAGCCATTTTTGTTTATATAATATTAATCATATTTAATAATATTAAGCAATTATTGATCTTGTGTGTTATTTATTTATTTATTTTACTATTGATATAATTCAATTTTGTTAATGTATATATTTTCAATAAATTTTATATAATGACACATTTAATTAAAGACACCTTTTATAAGGAGAAACTATATTAGGTCTCTCTTTCTTCATTTTCATTTGCTTAAGAATAGGCTGGAAAGTAAAAAGAAGTAAAGCAACCAATTTCAGAAGAAGTCTTAAAGAAGGCTCTTACTACATATGGTAAAACTGCTGAAGGATAACATTATGCTTATTTAAGTTTTATGGCAAATAATTTAGATTTAACTAGCTTACATGTATTACTTATACATTTATTGTTTTTAGGGTATTGAGAAGTTCAAACATCTTTAACATATTGATGTAAGTAATAACTCTATCAAATCACTTAAACCATTAAATGGATTAAAATATATAATTACATTAAAAGCAAGTAATAATAGATTGACAAAATTATTGGACTTAAAGTATTTAATTATTATATAAGACACATACCATTATAAATTATGGATGTAGATTGTAGTAATAATGACATTGAATTAATTCCAGATCTCAGTTGCCATCGTTTTCTTCGTTATTTGAATCTCTCTAATAATAAGATTAGGTAAATAGAAGGAGTTCAAAAAAATAAATATTTATAAGTTTTGAAATTGGCTAATAATCATATTGATCATATTGAAAATTTAGATGGAATGAATCTAACTGAATTAGATTTATTTGGAAATGAAATTACAATATTAGATGGTTTGACTTAATTACCAAAATTGAGGAAACTAGAATTATCTTAAAATTAAATTAAAAGTTTAAATGGGATTGTAGATCTTATCTCAGTAAGAGAGCTGAGAATAGCAAATAATAAAATATCAAGAATTAAAGAATTATCCTTTTTAGAAAACTTGGTATTTCTAAGTGTTCTTGATTTGTGTTATAATCCAATTTAAAATAGAAGATATTATAGATGGTAAGTATTATACAAATTGCCTGGGCTAAGAAATCTAGATGGAGTATAAGTACCTCCAGAAGATATTGTTAAAGCTGAAAATCTCTATGGGATGGATTTAGAAGATAGAAAAAGAATATTTAAAGAAGTTTTACCAGATGAAGAATTTATAGATAGAAGAATTCATATTTCAGAAGTAAATTTACATTAGTATTAAAGCTCATTGAACCAGAAACTGAAGATGAGAATGAAAATCAAGAATTTATTGATTAATACGATAAAACAGGCAAAATGATGTAAAAATAAACAAAATCTATGGGATCACAAAAATCAATCAGTGAAATGGTATACTACTCTAATTAATCTATATTAGTATCATTCTAACAAGAGTCTTTAAGAAAGAGAATATTAATGAAAAACAATTTAAATATTTATTATAACATTTTTTCAAAATTTAATACAATTTAATATAAATTCTTTTTGGTTAGAAAGATCTTTATTATTCTGTTGATTAGATTATTTTATTTCAATTTGTAAATTTATTTAGAATTTCTAGTTCTCCTTTTATAAACTCAAGTATTTGGTAATAAAACTATTTCCTATTAGTATATTGAATATAATTACATATTATATTTATCTAAAAAACAATGATACAGTGGAGAGAAGTGTGAAAAAGTAAAAAGGATGGTTTTTTATCTACAAGTTAAGATATATATAGAGACAAAACATTAAAAACAAGTTCCAATTTTATGTATTGAAATAGCATTGAGAAAGAATGATAATGTAGTGGTAAAATGTTTTTGTAAAGTATGGGGAGAATCATTAAAAGATTATATTAATTGAATAAGTAAAAGATAATCTGTATAATTTAATAAATAGTATTATGACAAATCAAAAATGATTTAAAAAAAAGACTATTTGTAATACTTTTATATTTATAAATATATAATTGATACAAAATATATAAAAATCAATTATTCTTACTTCTAAATAAATTGGAATATGATGATTATTAGGAAACTCTTTGGGAATTTTAAATAGATGGTTATATCTTAGTTTGTTTAGTTGAACTACGTTTTGGATTGAAAGTACATTCGTTGGATTCATTTTACATCTACCTATCCCATTGTTCTTAGATCTTATAATTTCTCTTTTGTTGCCAATTGTTCATTCTAATGATGAGGTTTGAGTACTTTACCTCTCTACCATCAATTCAATTTCTTTTTTATTTAAAGGTTTCTTAGTAGGAACTGGCTCAGGCTCCTCATTAATTTATTTAATTTATTCTCTAATATCTACAAACATATGCTATGGTATTGTTACTTTAGGCTATACAAAAATATTAAGTTTTATACCTCAGGTTCTGTAATTTATTTCTATTCTGATTAATCAAAATAGAATCTATTTGGTAAACAAACTTTTTGAGTTTGTTCTTCCTATTCCTCAACTTGTTATTACTCGCTTTCTTATTGTTCAGGAGTACCACTCATTTATTTTTTATATTCTGTATATAATGTATTTGACATATTCTTAGTAAAGTATGGATGAGACTCTGATGTATTACGCTTAGTATTTTCTAATTAAATACAAAGGAACTTTTACATTATATTGTCTCATTACTCTTTCTCACTACATATAATCTCTCAAAAACGCTTGGCTGATTTGTATCAACTTCATGTGTTAATCGATTGGCATTTAATTATAATTCTTATGTCTATCTAATTAGTTCTACACTTGTACAGCATCATCATAACACTATTGTAATCTTTATGATTTTCTTTCATTCCATCTTAACAGATCATCAATTGTTCTTTATATATTAACCGATTTCTTATTTATCTACAATCTATTATTTTTTATTTACCTAAGGCTTGAAGCTATATTCTTCCGGTTTTACATTAGATATGTTTGATTTATGACTGTTTCTTTGATTTTGAGTGGCGAAAAAAGTGATTCTCTGTAATTCCTCAGGACTTACAAATAGTTCTGTTGATTAACTTTTTAACATTTATTATTATCATTTTTATTTTATCATAAAAATATTGAATCTCTAAGTGTAATTATTTTTGGAGGCATTAAATTTCTGATTTCAATATATTTATCAAATTTATTCAATGTAATTCTATTAGAATTGATTGAGTAAATTATAAAATATTTCTTATTAACTAAAGAATAAAATATTTGATTTCGATATAACTTTATCATCATCTCAAGAATAACATAAGTATTTCGATTTAATCAAATGCCATAGAATAAAATATTTGATTTCAATAATAAATTTATATAGTTTTAGCATCTCAAGAATAGCATTAGTATTTCTATTAAAACAAATGCCATAAGAACAAAATATTTGATTTCAATAATAAATTTATATAGTTTTAGCATCTCAAGAATAGCATTAGTATTTCTATTAAAACAAATGCCATAAGAACAAAATATTTGATTTCAATAATAAATTTATATAGTTTTAGCGTCTCAAGAATAGCATTAGTTTTTCTATTAAAGCATATATGCCATTAAGAACAAAATATTTGATTTCAATATAAATTCATATAATTTCTCTCAAGAATAGCATTACTAATTCTATTAAAACATATATACCATCAAGAACAAAATATTTGATTTTAATATAAACTTATATAATTTTACCTGTGTACCAGACTAAAATATTATTTATTATACAAATTTCTTTAGAACAGTTGAATAAAGATTCTAATAGAACTATTTAAATAATTAATGACAAGTATAATTCGTATACTTTTCAAATCATTGAGTCTAATAAAAATAGAAGATTCAACAATTAAAAAAAAACTATTCTAACAGTTAATCATAAATAACAAAGAATTTATTTTAAGAAAACGTTGCAATTTTTAGAAATAGAGCCACACAATTATGAAATTGCTTCAAATGATATGATTGGTAAAAGAAGTTATTATGATGTATACATAAATTAAATATTATATGAAATAATAAACGAAATGGGTCATTCTTTTTCCAACAAGTTTATCCTTGTTCTCATTTCGATCGTTCGTGGATTACCCATTATTATTGGAAACTGAAATAAGAACTCATTTCATCGTGAATCAATTCAAAATAAACTTACTGTTTTCGTTTAGATTATTGTAATGCCTTTAGTTAGAGGAATGTTATTAGATAAATATGGTACAAGAAAAGTCTTATTTGGGTTGATGCTCTTCATTATTTTCAGCACATATTAAAAACGATGCTAATATTAGGTTTTTGCTATTTGTCAAATTTTTGAATTGCTTTGCACTTATGTTGATAGGAAAATTTTTTATGGGATTGTTTTTGGAAAGTTGCAAGTAGGAATCTAAAAGATTATCTCCAAAATGATTTTAAGAAGCATCTTTTGACAAAGCATTTATTAGTGGTTGTACTATTGCATCTACAATTCTTTTACCTAATTTGGTAAACAATTACACTATAGATACAGCTATTTTGATGTGTTTATTACTTAGTATGGAATCATTTATACAATTGATATTAAGTTGGATAAAATTCCTTAATTTTGATTTGCTTTGTTAACTTAATTTAATGTTTATTTTATCTTATTGCAATAAGCTCCTTTTACTCTATACAAGTTATTATATTTAATCTTATAATAATGCCGAATTTTTAAATCAATATTTACATTGAGTTCATTCTTTGTGTTTCACAATTATAACTAATGCCTAGTTGTAAAAATACTTGTTTATTTATTCCAGCAATAAATTAATTATAGAATGGAATATTTTTTGTTGCTTATGATGTAACCTTATGGCCTAGCATATAAATGGTAGTCTCTCCTTGATTTTCAGAAAGTAGATTTGGTGTTGTAGTAAAGTTGTATTAGATGAATGTTTATGTTTATATTCAAATATGTTAGGAATTCCATTCTATATAGCTTTTTTAAGAAGAGCCTCTATAAATTACTTATTATTTTAGAGAGGCTATAAATATTTGAATAATAAAAAATCTGTGGTTTCATAAATCAGTACAGAAATGGAATAGAAAATGGTTAATTGAATGTATATTTAATTATAGATATATATTATACTAAATAAATCAACGATTTGTTTTTGCTACTTTTTCAAGTTCATCTCTTTTTTTAATTGTATATGATTTTTATCCATCTTCATTGGCTGCTGCAATAAGTTCATCAGCGAGTGCTTCTGAAATAGTCTTCATCTTTTTAAAGACAGATTCTCTAACACCTTTAGCTAAATTATGAACAGCCTTAATATATATATAATAAATAAATACTTCATTGACTCTTCTAATAGGTGCTACATCAACAGCTTATTATTTAGCAACACCTCCTGTACCAACTTTAGTAAAATCTTCTCTTGCACCTCCTCTTTAGACAGCCAAAGATAAAACTTAAAGTGGATTCTTGCCTGTAAGTAAATGAACTATTTCAAAAGCATGTCTTATTATAGCTACAGCTTTCACCTTTTTCCCAGTGTTACGTCCATGAAACATTAATGCACCTGCTAATCTCTCAACTATAGGACATTAAGCTTTTCTAAACTTCTTACGTTAATATCTAAAAAGATATTTATATATATTATATTTATACCTTCCAGCTGTATGAGGAACAAATACTCTTGATTTAGATGTTTGAACTGCTATATAATCTTTGAAACATTAGTCTGTTACTTGAACTTCATCATAATCCCATTTCCCAAAAAGTTTTGGTTAATTTGCAAACTTCACAGTCACAACTTGTTCTTCTGCCATATTTAAATAAGGATTTATTTTTATTTTAAAATAAAAAAAATTGATCACAAAAGAACTTCATTAAATATACCAATCAAAAAAAGTAACTAAAATTAATCATTGCAAAAAATTGAAAGACGATTCTCTCTAATTCAGCAATTTTCTCTATTATATTACATTTCTATTTATCATTAGATACACTCAGTCCTCTTAATTATATTCTTAATTCTGTTAATAATAATTTTAATGATATTCCTTACTCATTTAAATATTGTTTTTATTTTAATATATAAGTTTTTTATATTTTACATTGATTCATCAAATATTCTAAAATCTATTTGATTAATCGGGATGTGCCATTCTAATAATCATATCATCAGAACACAATACAAATACCGATCTTACAGCATTATCATCTAATTAAATATTCTCTTTCTCACAAATCTATTTGATTCTCAAACTGCCTACACTAAAACCAATTTATTTAAACTTAAATCGTGTACATCTACTTTAAACTGCTGGAATAATCTAAGATATATGATTGCGAATAAAACAAAATCTAGTTGTTTTTCCATATTTTTCAATTAGTTAAATTTAAATTAATTATTTACTTCTACACAATGAAAATTATGTTTGGTGCTGTTATTTCATCAGCTTTATCTAAAATCACTAATTTTATAGATTTATTTTTATCTTTTGTCAATGTAAATGATTCAAACACTATAAATATTTTTATTGTTTCTCTTACAGTATTTATACCTCTTTCATCTGATGCATTTCGCTATTTATATTCTTTGCTCTCAATATTTCTAATGCCATTTAATTGTAATTATTCTAATAAATTTATTTTGCCAATGCAATTATTGTTGAAGTCTTTCCTGTACCTGGTGGACCATAAAATAAGAGATTTTGTAACCCATTTTTTTCATTAAATTTTTTTACTTAAATTAAGGTAATTCTTACTTGTTTATACTATCTATTCATGAGATATTACTTCATCCAAAGTAGATAGTCAATATTTTTCAATCCAAGAAATATTTTATTTCTTTTTATTATTAGCTATTTCCTCAATTATCATGGCATGATTTTAAAATATTTAATTAATTTATATATATATAATTATATACAAACTAAAATTTAGAATAACATCAATTATTCATCGTTTATTCTTACTTATTTATTTCTTTACTCTAATTTCACTTGGATGTGCTCTTTTCCAAGCTTCAGATTATTTATCAACTGTAAAATTATTATCTTTTAACATCTTCTAAAATCTTGGATCAATTTATTTAATAGGTTATTCTATTTCAGGTTCTTCAGGTATCACATAACCTTTACTAGTTCTCTCTGCTTCCAATTATTTCTCATAATTTTATTAAATTCTTTTTTATTTGTAATCATCAAAATCGAGACCCTTTTATTATCTGAGTTTTAAATATAATTTCAAATGAATTAAATATCCATGAGAATAAGGTTTTAACATTGCAGTTTCTAATAAATGCAAAGCATCTAATCTCTCTAATTCTTCATATGATAAAAATTTATATTCATCATAAACTGTCTATTATTCTTCCTCTTCCATTTCTTCTGTTAAATTATCTAAAAATGGACACCATTTAGGAGCTGCATTCAATTGTGGAATAAAATAAATTCCCATTCTTGGTTATTCTAATGCTACTAAAAACATTCCAGAGTTTTTAATCCAAGTAAATGAATTTATTTCATTTTATGGTTCAATGTTAGTAAATAAACGATTTGCTTACCAAAATTTTAATATTTTAGCATCACAAGAAACAATCATATCATTATTCATAACTATCTTTTTAATTGGTAATCGATATTAATGTTAATAGATGTGAATTGGTATATGTTTTCTTAAATCGAATAATTTAATCAATCCTTCCTTTGTTCCCAAAGCTACCTAAAGATTTTGAGTTGCTAAACTAGTGATATCATTCACTCCTAATTATTGAACAACCTAATCACATCTAAAATCAATAACACTTAGTTATTTATTGCCTCCCACAAATCCCAATTACAATTAATCATGCATACATAAACAATTAACTCCTGTCTCTTATTGAATATTATATGATTCTACAAATGATCCAAGTTCTAAATTTAATCTGGTGATATCTTCATTCTAAGAAGACACTAATAAATTACAATTGTAAGGATTATAGATCTAATATCATATTAATAAATAATACCATGTCAGTTGGCTATTTAGGAACTCTAAGTTTGAAATGTTTACCATATTAAGCATGTAACTCAACATTTCTATCCTCACAAACCATAGCAATTTTTTTATAATCATCTCCTAATAAACAAAATTTTACTATTTCTGAATCAAGACCCCGACTACATTTCATTGATAATTATGATGTTTCAAATATTTTAATTGAAGGAGCATAAAGTCCTGATGCCACAATATATTATTAATCATTAGTTTCTTCAATTTAAGTTGAGGCAGTATTAAATTCAAATCCTTAAATAACTTCAATACGCTTTCTAAATTGCTCATTCTTTTTCAAAGACTTCTAAGTTTTGTAAGCTGTTTCCATAAATTCTGGTAATGTAGGACATGCTGCTAGATTATAAGCTTTAATCTATTGAGAAATGGTTATAGAAAGGGTCATTAATTGTGGTAAAATTAATAATAATTTTAATTTTCTTATATTATATACAAAATGTTCAGAAAATGCAATCACATATATATATCCTATCAAATATAAATTATTAAACTATATATAAAATCAATATAATTTCTCTATGGCTTATTTTGGTTCCCCATAATTGTAATATTCTCTTAATCTAAAAACTGATTATAAGACAAGTCTAGAGTCTGGTGCAGGTAATACTTAATCAACAAGAAAATCATATAACATTTTTAATTCTTTATCCTCTTTATTATCATAATATGGAATAATGGGTATTCCATTTTCTAAATGAACTCCAAAGCTGTATGCTGCATTATCTACTAAAACGATATCTTTGAGATCTCTATTCAAAACTCTCAAATCTTTAATATGTACTCCATCTTAAGATAATACACATCTATCCCTAAACAATTAACCAGAAAGAAGTGTTTATTTTGGGTCCAAATATTTAATCACTTAACTAGCATAGCATTAATGTGATGCAGTGAAAACTATAACCTCACAAAGTTAACTTAATTCTTATAAGATCCATTTAGCATAAGGACGAATATTTATACCTGCTTAAGCTTTATCTCCTGAGGGAAATGTTATTGGTAAATAAACATCTGCTCTCAAATTTTGATTCTCATTACAATGAATTAATGTTTCATCTAAATCAAATACTACAGTTTTCTTGACTAATAATACAAATATCATTTATACATTTATAATTTGATTTCATTGGGGGAATCTCTATTTGTTTTTATTCTAAAATCATTTTTGAAGGCTCTTATAATTTTACACAGAAAGATACACAATTAAATGTTTAAACAGCATGATCCCTAAATAATTATTGTTCTTAATTTTATGGTATTATATGTCTGAAGGATTCAATTAAAGACGATACATAATAAAGGCAATCTAATCTATTATACAAAATTAATACTTTTTGTGGGAACTACATTAACTCTTGTTGATGGTGATAATGATTTTGTTTACTTAAAAGGGGAAATTATTGATTAAGGTCTATTTATTTATGTCACAAAATCATCTAAGCTAACATGTAAGTTTTCTTTTTTTTATTATGGTTATTATGGTTCGAACTTCTTTTTTAATTATTGAGCTATTTATTATGCGAATTGAACAGATGAGAATCTTTAGTCAGATTTATTTGCTGAGTCAGTTGAAAGCAAATTGTATTTTTTTTTTACTGTATTTGGTGCTGTTGATTATACATTGTTTTATTAGCTAGTTGATGATTTTTCTAACTAAGAGAAATTTCTATGTAAACTATTCTTAGTCTTAGGAAGCAATTAAGAATGATTTTGCGGTTTATTAATTGAATCTTTAACTAGATTCTTTTAATAAAGAAAATATTTCATCTATTTTAAACTAAACATTATACTTCTTATGCAGTTCTACAACTTTTTGGAGTATTATTCCTAGGAGTGATATTCAATTAATTTGTCAATCCAGGTTTTTACTAAGATGGCAACTTCTTATTCAACAATTATTGTGTGCTTGTACTCTAACACATTTTTGTTAGAGTTAGAAATTATTCTCTAATGATTCAAGTTTATTCATACTTAGTGAGTTTAGCTTTCGCTTACTCATTTCGAGCTGTAACAGATTTTATATTTGTTTTTTACATTTAATTTATTTATAACTATCAACCCTCCTTAACATATTTCTCGAAATCCAAATATCCTTGTTTATAACTTGGAGACTATTTCAATTGTGCTATAAATTATTTAGTCTTTGATATTAAATTCAATTTACATTATTTCTATACTTTTTATCATAGATATAGAGCCAATTCTCTAATTTATCTACTTCAATTCTATTTGAGCCTGATAACAATCTAAAAGCCTCCAAAACTTCTCTTTACTCTTATTGTTAATCATTCATAAACACTTTATATAATTTTTCATATTAAATATCTTGTTCTCCTTCTGGATTGGCTAACTCATTTAATGCTTCAATCTCTTCATTAGTTGCATCAATATTCAAAAAGTATAACAATTCCTTAATTTACATATCTGAAGTCATTGGCTTCTTTTTTCTCATTTTTTCAACCCATGCAAAAGCTCCTTATAATTATGAGAATATTTATTCTGTTTACTTATTTATCATTAAAAATTATATTATATTATATTTCAACCTTCTTCTTCATTATAATCATTTCCTTCATCTCCAAATCCTTCCTATATATCTTCTTCTATTTAACCATCATTATTTTCCTTCTTATCCTATTATTTTTGGTCCTCCTTTTTTTTCACCTCTTATCCACTATTCTTCTCCATAGCTTATTTAAAAGCATCTGGAAGTTCTGTTAGACACTTTCCTTAATTATATTCCACTTCTAAATCTTCCTTTGTTTCTAATATTGTTAATTTTCCCTTCCCATGCATTCTATTTTATTTAAATGCTCCTGTATATACTATCTTATAATTTGCAAATGTTAATCTACCTTCCTAACAAGCTAACCTATTTAAATTTAATACATTTCAATCCATTTTCAAAATCGCCCTCGTATTCACTACCATCAGAATATATTATCCTCCCCTTTTTAATTCTATCGTTTTCAAAATCACCTTCAAATTATTAATTTTTGTAAATCAAAATTCCTTTGATTCTTTTATAATCTTATATAATTCCTTAAAACACATGTTTTGGACCATAAGTAAATTTACCTTCTACTGGTTAATTATTTTTAAATTCTCCTTCAAATTCTATTTTATTTTTATAGAATTCTTAACCCTCTAATTTATTTCCCATTTTTAGAGTTCCTTAAAAATAAACTTACTATTTTTTTTTAGGTAAATGTTTTTAATATGTTAATACATTAAGTAAAAGACCTTCTCCATTAGGTTTAAATTATTTATCATCGAATTCTCCCCAAAAAATATATTTATTTAACTCAGCTATAGCTTTCTGATACTTTTAAACAACAACTAAATTCTAAAATTTATAAATGATGTTATTATTTTATTTAATCTCAATAGTACCATCATCTGTCAAATTTCCATTTTAAAACATTCCATAATGATATTCATTTCCAAATTTAGCTTATCCATAACCTTCAGGTACAATTTTCATTCCATCTAATTTCCCAAATCCTACATAATGTTATTCTACATCTATTGGTTCTTAGAAAAACGGATTCTCCACTTTAAGAGGATTCTCAGGATGACATATAAGTAATGAAAATATAGATCTTTTCTATTAATCCAAAGATAAAATCTAGGATAAAAAATGGATAATTTTAGAAATATCAGTATCAAATGGTTTTTCTATTTTAGATAATGAAATAAATTATTTCTTCAATTTCAATTTATCTTAATCTTGATGTTTCTCCCTAAACATTTTTAAAACCTCTTATAATAATTTGGACTTCAATTATCCATCTTCAAAAAAGAACTCTGCTGAATTTATTTTTGTAATAGCACACAAAACAACCAATCCAGCTTAAAATGAATATGTGTATATCATATTTAATGCAGTTTTCTCTTTATTAAAACTATCAGTGATGGGAGTATATGGCCTATGAAATTTAGATCCTTTATATGATATTCCCATATTTGATATAACAAAATTACTATCTTTGACATAGATATTCTATGGAGCTAGATCTAAATATTCATAAGTTACACGCCCTATGGATAAATCAAAAATGAACCTGTAATTAAAAGATTTTTACAAAATGTAATCAAAAGGTTAGTCGCTTCTTCAGAGTTCAATTATTTGTATTAATCTAATCTCTCACTCAGTTCATCCAATTGATAAAGTACATATAAATCAGATTATTTATCATTTAACTATTTTTCTGCAATCAAGATTATCCTAGTATTAACATCATTAACACATTAAAGCATTACTCTCTATAATTGGAGTACCTTAGTTCTAAAAAGATCATGACCTAAGTTTTCATAAACTTATAAAATGTATCTGCCTTATTCTTTCTAATGCTGCATTAAATAGCTGATAGAAGTGATCCCTAAATAGAAATCACGTCCTTTTCCAATCACACTCATTTAAGTGTAGTTTTTATGAATGAAACTGGCATCTACAACCAAAGAATCGTATTATTACAACATAAAATTATAAATATTAAAATAATATATAATCAACCTTCTTCTCCATCTTCATTATCATACTCACGATTTTTATAAATATCTTCTTTTATTTTTCATCATCATCATTTTCTTATTTATCATCTTATTGTAAATTCTTCTAAATTTTTATTTTCTCTTGAATATCTTTTTATGCTTTTTCAAAATCGAGTTTAGCATTACATATTCCATAATTATAAACAATTTCTTAAATACAATTTTCCCTAGATTTATCAATAATTGTTCATTCGACAATCAACTTTTGTATTGTGAATACTTATCTTATTTAAAGCATTCTAAGTTTAAATGTTTCATAAACATCCACAAATTTATGTTATTTTTATATTTTTTATTTATTTAATACTTCTTTTTCATCTTTCAATATTATTTCACAACCATTCAATTCATAATTTTCAAATGAACCATTCTAAATATTGTATCTATCTTAGTTTTCTCATCATATAGATTTAGTACACCTAATGTATTTTTTCAGGTTTAGATATAATATAAGAATTACCATTTCTAAATATGTCCTATGGAGAAATATCTAAAAATTAATTAGAATATCTAGCACCCAAAATAAAATTATTTCATAAGAATCTTAAGTAAATTTTAGCTTTATCAAATTCAAAACCATTCTTTTATTCTCTTAAACTTTTAGATTTCTGATTAATCTGTCCAAATTCATATACTACCTGTAAATCATATTACATTTAATGCACTTTTACCCTTGCAATTAAAATTATTCTTGTTGATATAGATTCAAATACACAGTCATTACTCTCTATAATTAAGACTTTTGGTTTAAATATCTCTTAATTAAGGTTCTCATAAATTTACTAAAAATGTGAAACCCATCTCCTTTAAAATACATAAGTTAAAATATTATTCTTTTTCAATCTATAAATGTTTGGACTTATCCCATAAATTAGAACCTTACCTCTACCTAAAACAATATCTTGCTCAAATAAAATCTATCTAAAATTTACCCATATTTTTTATTATCTTGTTAAAGGACATTATTTCTTTATACATCATTTGTTAAACTTCTTGATCTGTTTTTTCTTTCTTTAAATTAATTTTTACCAGCTCTTTCTTCATGACTTCACCTTTAAACATTTCCATCATCCCTAATTTTTTATGAATCTAAATCTTTTCTTTCAATAATTATTTAATCTGTATCAGAAATTTATCTTACCTTTTTATGTAAATTAACATTTTGAAGATATTGCTATAAGTATCCAAAATAATAATCACGCATTAAATAACTATTAATATATATATATTTATAATAAACAAACTTTCTATGAGTGAAATAAATTAGTCTTTTAAAATTATAGCTTACTTCGATAATGTGCCTAAAAAATTTACTATCAAAAGGGATAAGACGATCAAAAAATAAATTTGTAGCTAATTTAATATTAAAGAGTCAAAAATGATTTTTAAAATTAATAATGAAAATTGCGATTTAGAAGATGATTTAGAAAAATATTTTAAACAAGATTAAAAACATTAAATAGTTGAAATTTTTGATATCAATCAATTAATAGAAAATTATAAAGAAATTTAATCATAAAAATATTCATAAATCTTACATTCTACTCAAAAGAGCTATTAGAAAGTAGAAGATTAAAATTAAATAAACGACCAAACCTAGTAAGTGAATAATTAAACTGATTGCGATAAAGATGATAAAATAGATTAAAATTATTTAAAGGAAAAAGATAGTTTTATAATAATCGAAAATTAAAAAGTTTAAGAGATGGAATCGTTAATTTTTTTAAAATCAATTATTTTAGATAAATAATATACTTGTAGAAATTGCTAATAAGAGATATAAGAATGTAAAGTGTAGACTCCTTGTTACCATTTTTTTCATTATGAATGTTTAGATTCGTTGATTTATAATGCTTTATAATAGTAAGCAACTACTTTATAATGCTTATGTAATTAGAAATTCAATATTCAAATATTAAAGTTGTTTGATGAATAAAAGTAGAAAACCTATTAGAATCTATTACTATAGAATTAATTGTTGTGTATTTAGAAAAATTACGATAATAAAATAGGAAGATGTATTGATAATGAATAAAGTAAATTTTGGTTTTTTGTACAAAAGTAAAGCCAAATATTAAAAAAAATCTAATGTTTTGAGTGCATAAAGTAGTGATGATTTATATAAAAATAAATAAATTTTTGAATATAATTTATATAAATTAAAAAAAAGAACAGCATATTTCTAACCTCAATTTGGATTATCTAATATCTCTTTATTTAGGATGAAAAAAGATATGGAAAAATTATAAAAATATAAGTCAGTGATAAAGGAATGTTAATTAGAAATAATTTGAAATAGTAACATTAAGCAGAGCCTATGATTGTTTATAAAGAAGATGAAGAGTGAAATGCAGATTAAGATGTTTAAGATCTTGATCAAGAGGTAAATAAATAATTTATTATTTATGTTAGTATTAAAATTATTGAATTATTTAATTTTATAAATTAATAATTAAAAAACAATATTATTTTATGAAAGAATTATCCAATTCTATTATAAGAAAAATAAATATTAGAAAACATTAATTTATTATATATGAATAAAATGGAAATTATTAATATACCTTTAGGTGAAGGATCTGTTGGAATTATAAGATAAATAAAAATTGGAGACTAACTATTTGCTATAAAGCAATTCAAAAAGGGAAAATTTGGATAAAAGGAATATAGCATTCATTCAATATTAAATCATGAAAACATTTTGAGATTTATTGTTGGAAATGAATAGTTTATAGTGTCAGAATTGATGCTTCCTTATGATCTATTTGAGTTTTTGTAAAGAGCTGGATAAATGTCAGTGAATGCATCAAATTGTATTTTAAAATAATTAGTAAATGCTTTGAAATATATGCACTAATTAAGAATAGCTCATAGAGATATTAAATTAGAAAATGTATTGGTTGATAAATTTAATTACAAAATCAAATTATGCGATTTCAATTTATGTACTAAATTAGACGATGGTAAAGTTCAAAAGTGTATTGGAACAGATGGATATATTGCTCCTGAAATAAATTCTATAGGATCTATTGATGCTCTAAATTTATAAGAATGTGACATACACTCTTTGGGAGTATTGTATTACATTTTACTTTTTGGATCATTTCCCTTCAAAACTTCTAATTCATCATGTGCTATTTATAAATTAATATAATAAAATAAATGGGAACAGTTTTGGTTATATTCTTAGAAGAATAAGGCCAAAAAAGTACCTCCTTATTGTTTGGAATTAATAAAGGGAATGATTGCATAACATCCAAGATTAAGATTTACTTTAGATGAAATACTCGATAGAATTGGAGATATAAATGAAATAGAGTATTTTAATGAAATGCAAGATATTCATACAAGGTTAAAATAAAAGATTTGAAGAAAGGCAACATCCTTTTTTTTAAGAATAGACTTTACTTTGGGAAATTTTTATAATGAATTGATTTTTGAATTATATAAAATATTTATACTTTCTGATAAGATTTATAAAAGAATTTATTTAATCACAATGAAAGTGAATTGAGTTTGATTTTAAAAAATTAAAAATTAGTTAAACTTTTACTATAAATTTAAGTAATGAAAATATCTTAAGAAATAATTGGTTCTGGATTAACATGTGAGGTTAGAAAGGTGATGATTAATGAGAAAGAATATGCTATTAAATTATTCAAAGATAATTGTTCTACAGAATGTATAAAAAAAGAAATAAATATACTCTCTCAAATTTAACATTAAAATGTTGTGCATTTGATAGATGGAAACCCAGAGAAAAGATTCATAATAACAGAGCTTTTAGAGAAGAAGGATCTTTTTGATGTTTTGGCAAAAGGATAGAAACCTTTTTCAATAGCTTCTATTAAATACATTATTTTATAATTAACAGCGGCAATTCAATATATACATAAATTGGGTTTTGTGCATAGAGATATGAAATTGGAGAATATTTTAATGGATAAGTCATTAAACATAAAGATTTGTGATTTTGGATTCTCTGAACCAATAAAAGGAGGTTTTGCAACAAGATCAATGGGAACTTTAGGATATTTAGCACCTGAATTATAAAGTTAAGGTCTAATAAATACAGAAGCATTACCTATAGCAGAAGTGTTTTCATTAGGAGTATGTTTATTTTTATTGGCTTTTGCTCATCCTCCATTTAGATAAAGTACTAAAGCATGTGCATATTGGAGATTCATTTCTACTAAATAATGGGGTAGATATTGGTAAGCTGTTGATAAATAAAACAAATATGACGATGAATTTCGTTCACTTATTTAAGGAATGTTAGAGCCAGATCCTTTAAAAAGAATGACAATTGAATAAGTTTTAGATCACAAATTCTTAATTGGAGGAAATAAAGAAACCTTCTAATTAGAAGTATGGGAACGAATAAAAATAGAATGAGTAAATTTTGGATGGTTAAAAAAGAAACGTGCATTGTTATACTGATTATATATTTATATTCTGTTATTTATAAATCTATTTTAAATTATTTCTAAAAATAGTTTAAACTTATTTTGATTTTATTATATAATTATAATTCATAATGTATAATGAATCATTTGTAATTTATTTTATAATAAGATGGATAGTTTTCAGTAATTGTTTCTTCACCATTACCTTTATCTATTGGTTTGAGTAAATATTTGGCATTGATATCAAATTTAATTTCTTAATCTAATTTACTCAATCCTTAAATAAGTAAGTTATCAATGTTTATATTAATTTTATCAGCCGCTATCTTTGTATATCTATTAGATTGAGATTTCAAATAATCTTTACTAGAGAAACTTCGGTAGACAGGTTCATCGTTTAATTGTCTTAATATTGATTATGTTGTTTCATCTTAATTAATAATACTTGGCTTTCTTATGACTTAATCATTCTATGACATCATAAATAATGGATATCCACTATCATCATCTATTTCCCTAATTAAAAATTATTAATTTACAATATCTTCATTGTCTTATCATCATTATTTCTATTTAATGAGTCATTTGTTATACAATATTCTTATCTTCGACGAAATCTATAACAATCCATCATTACTGATTTGCTTGGATCTTTATTTGCTTATTTTGTCACTTCTTATAATAAATTATTTTAATCTTTTTCTAATTTTAAATATTCATCTAAAGCTCTTGTTTCTTTCAACTATATCTATTTCTTTTAGAATGGCATTTTAATTAATTCTTAATCCTCTTTTAAACGAGACTCAAATAAGTGCTTCTCAATTAAATTTACTTTAGCCAACAACTCTTCCCCTGTAAATACTTATTAAGTTTTTGTTGTATTGTTATTTCTAAATGTATTTGTTGTATTTCCTTTTGCAAAAGTTCTTCTACTACTTGATTTTGGATCCTATCCTGTTATTTAGCTTAGTTTCCTTTTGAAAATGTCTGGTTTGCCTACTATTGATCTTATAACTATTTTATTATTTTCTAATTTTGGACCAATAGCAGAATCATATTTGCACAATTACACACTTATTGGATCTTTGAAAATGTTCTTAGTCTTTGATTAAATTTAAGCATCTAAAATTTCTGTCTTAAATTCTGGATGTTTATCAATTGACTTAGCTAACATATAACTTTTCTCTTTCGTTGCATTTAACTTATTCCAATGATTAGTGTATCCTGAAAATATACTCTATTAATCTTGCATTATATTAGATCGATATAATATATATTTATAAATTAACACCTATATATATAAATTTAGTTATGCTTCCTTCATTTAATCTTTAATTATTCAAAAATATTATAATTCAATTTATATAAAATTATTAATGTAATAAGAATAAGTAGGCATAAAGAATAATGAAAAATAATACACATATGCCTTGCTTAGTAAAGAATAAGCTGAATAGAGATCTAAAAATGTGGATAATTGTTAATATAATTTGGATTTGGTAGTAGAAGATGACTTAATTAGGGGCATGATTATCATTCAATTTACTTGTTATAGTGATTAAATTAAAATTGATTTTTGTGGATAATCAATTACTACTCTTAAAGTTAATAATGATGATTGCAGTTAAGAGTATATTGCTAAGAATTGGAAAAAACATTAATTATCTATAAATACCATTAAAGGTGAAAATTGTATAATGATTAATTTCAATGTTAAATTTTCAGAAAATGAATTTGGACTAATAAAATATACTTTAAATTCTGCAATTTACATAATTTCTTTATTTTGTCCAAATTATTGTCATTCGGTATAATAATTATAATCATAAAGTGTTTTCCATGTTTTGATTAACCAGATATTAAGGCTTAAATAAAATTGTAGTTAACCTGTCCTAAAGAATGGCTTGCCATTTCAAACATGAATCCTATTTTAATTGAACCTTGCTCTGAAACTTAGAATCAGTGGACTTTTGCTATCACTCCTAAAATTAGTTTATATCTATTTAGTTTAAATATGGGTTAATGGAAATAGATATCCAAATCTTTATCCTCGGGAATTTAAATGAATCTCTACTCTGAATCTGAGAAGTTTTCAGCTTGTGTTAGGTATTAAATCAAATATATATATTTATTAAAGTTAATCAAGACTTATTTAAGAATGTATTGAAGAAGGATTTAAATATTATGAATCATTGTTTGATATACCATTCCCTTTTTAGAAATATGATCTAATATTTTGCACCTTCTACTTCTCAGGAATGGAACATCCTGGAGCTGTACTAATATCTAAAAATAGTATATATAATAAACTTGATTCCAGTCAATTAACCAAACTATTCCTTTTATTATTACATGAACTATCTCATATGTGGTTTGGCAATTTGGTTACTATGAAATGGTGGAATGATTTATGGTTGAATGAAGCTTTTGCTGTATATATCTCTTACGAAGCCTTAGCCTCTGTATCTAAATCTCAATTATTTGATTAACTATAATTTGATGATACTAAAATACATTATCTACTCTACAAATAAAATGGAGTCAATTTAGATATAAATACAAACTCACATCCAATAGAAATGAAAATTGAAGATGCAAATTAAGGTTTATAAGCCTTTGATTCTATTACTTACAATAAAGGTTCAGCTGTGCTTTCTGCTCTTGTTAAATTAATTGGATTTAATAATTTCATAGAAATTGTCTAGTAATATCTGAATAAATATAAATGGACTAATGCAACTACTAATGACCTTTTTGATCTAATATAATAAAATTCTAGGACTGTTGATATCGAAAGATGGAAAAGGGAATTTATTTAAGAAAATGGTATCAATGTCATCGAAATAATATAACAAGACTAATAATCAATTTTAAAATAAAGTTGTGTAAGTGGAAATGCTATAAGACAACATCTGATAAATGTGTTATTAATTAAAGAGGATTAAAAGATGGAATAAAAGTCAATTTTGATGACAAAAGATTATCATTATCTCTGTGAGTTAAATGATTATTTGGCTGCAATTCTTAATTATAATGATGATGCTTATTGTATTTCAACATTCGATGATAAATCTTTAAGTTATTTGTTACAAAACTTCATTAAATTAGAATTATCAAATCAAATAAGAGTTTCAATAATTAATAATCTATTTTAAATGACCTACGTATTGGGAACATATAAAGTTAAATATTTCATGGAATTTGTTTTGTAGGCCATGAATCCAAATATTGATAGTGAAGTATATTGTCATTCACATAAACTGTTAGGTTCTGAATTTTATGATTGAAAAACTAGAGATACTATTTCTAAATTTAAATGTTGAACAATAAATTAGTTTTGGTCCAATCATCTTTGATAAACTATTTATACTTTTAGCATAAAATAATTAATTCAAAGAAACAATATTCAAAGAAATAGGAAACTTTGCCTTTTCAAAAAAACACATCCATAATATCTATCTAATCTTGACAGATACTAGCACTCATAAACGAAATTTATAATTGTTAGGAAGGTTTTTGGATTGTTTATTTTATAAAAAACACTTGCTAGATTAGGATTATCTCTTGTAATATGAATAATTTTGGGATACACTTAAACCTTATAATCCAAATTTTGTGATACGATAAAATGCAGCATAATTTGATTGGATATAAATTTAAGAATATTTTATTTGTTTACTTGAAAATAAAGCAGAATATAATTCAATGGAATATATATTAAGAGGAATTAACAATTAATATTCACTTACATATGACTAATATCTTGAAGTTTATCTTTCTAATATTAAATAACTGTGTAGTAGTCTTGATCAACATAAGATTTTATTGTATAAAATTATATTGTAAATAGGATTCTTAATTAAGGATTCCCAAATTAAGGAGATTATCAAGTCTTATTAAAAATTTTGAATGATTTAGAATAAGAATTTCCAAATCTAAAATTTACAATAAACAAGCTTAAATAAAGAACAATTTAAAAATAAAAAATACAATAATGGTTTGATTGAGTAATGATATAAAATAAGTCATTATTTCATTAATTATTATAAGATTAATTTACAATTTTTGTCACTTTTATCAAAATGAAGACTAGGCTCAGTTTTAAATCTCTTTAAAAATGTTTCAGATCTTTATTTATTTAATTCTAAAAGATTAAAATAGAAATTACTATCTTTTAAACTCTATAATTGATTCAAAGTTTTTTAAATGGATTCTTATTTTTTTTTTTTATCTTTTGAAAGACTTTCAATCAATTATTTAAGATGATCTTAACAATTTTCTTTATTTGCCAATAAACTTTCTTTCCTTTTTAGACTTACTTTAGTACTTTAATCAACAAAGGACTGTTCTTCAAGCTATAATAGGAATGAGATTATACTATAGTTTCTAATTGCTATTGATAATGAGTGCAAAATGATTGAATTAAATGATCTAAATATGGAGAATTATCAGGTAATACATCACTAACAATATAAATAGATTTGAGATGATAAAATTAAGATTTTTATTCATTCTTTAAGTATCTTGTTTCTGATGCTAATGAAAAGTAGGCCATAGATAATAGTATCAACTTTTCAGTTAAGACTTTTTAACTAAATTCATATAAGATTTCTCCTTTTAAACACACTTCTTCATAAGTGAGCAATCTTATATGCATAATGTTACTAACATTGAAAGATATGAGCCATTCATTTTCATTAAGTAGACCAATCATTGATCTTTAGTAGAGTTTAGAGATAGATTATTTAAGTGATTTATCATTGTGTTAGGAGTTCAATTTCCAACAAAAAATTTAATTTGCAATTTCTTGTAATTTTGGCTATTCATCTGATTCGATTAATTAACTAGTAATGAATTGTTTGATGAATTTCAACAATTCATCTGATCTCTTGAGTAGGAGATTCTTGAAATCATACTCTTCAAAAATGTATTGTCCCTTTTAATATTTTCGTGCTTTTTTATTGTTTGTCTACTAACTGCTTTAATATTGGTAACTGATGTCAAAAAGTCTATTGAGTAATTAAATAGTTGATTGGGCAACATTAGAAGCCACCTAATGCTAATTCAATTGTGATAATAACCCACAGTATTACAATTATACGACTGCTAGAAGATGCATTCGTTTAATGAGTAATACCTAATTGCTTTCCTATTGAATCATTTCTTATAAATTGAATACGGTTCCTTCTAAATATTAGGCAGCCTTGTCTAAATTGCATAAGCTAAAAATAGATTGAAATCGAAATACGCTTAATTAACACCAGCAAGATTATAGATGATTGTAACAATAAGATTACGATCGATGATTTTGCCACAATCAGCATTGTATTGTAATAGACCAAGGGCTTATTCAAGAATTTCTAAAGCTAGGTGAGAATCAGTTTATGCAAGTGCTTGTTTATTGAGTGTTTCAATTACTTCCATGTTACGTTAATTATATATTAAAATTGCAAATTAGCGGGCAACCAGAAAAAAATGCCACCAAGGAGAAATACTCATAATAGTCATTGCATTTAGGAATTCTTTGGTAATGGAACTAAGAAACATAAGAAAGAAATAAAATAGATACAAAAACAATTTAAGAAGTGTCCATAACTTGGATAAGTTGGATCATAATTAAGAAGAGTATTGCAATAATACAGAGAAGAAATAATGAGAGAGTTTAATTATGGAGATTTATTTAAGCAAATAAGTGAGATATCGAAATTGGAGTAAATAGGAGGAATGTTAAACTCAATTTTGTATTTAAATGTTAGTAAAGTGTCAGACTATTGGAGTGATATATATACTCCTGATCATGTTGATGATGTAAATAGTTATCTAAATTAGTTGCTTAGTAAACATAATATATAGATTTTGAAAAATTGGCTCAAGAGTTCATTTTCAATACTAAGGTAAGACTAAGTTGAGGATTCTGATTCATGGGGTTCTCAATCAAATTCAATCAACAATTAAAATTGGAATTATTAAATGCTCAACATTTATGGAACAAGTGGTAAAATGAGTACTATAGTTGCTATTGCTCGAACATATAATATTGAAGTCATTCTCACTTATGAGTATACTGAAAAGAAAGAATTTGAAGAGATGTTAGCTAGTCAACATATTAAATTCAAACCAGAATAGCAAAAAAGTGAATTTGGAATCAAAAAGAAAATTATTATCCATAGAGGCCCTTTGCCTAAATTTATAAATTAAAAATTTCTACATATATAAAGAGTCCCTTTTATTTGGATTACAGGTATTTCTATATTTAACTTTAATATTAGATTCAAATTAAAACCATGAATTGTTTGATGCTTTTGAATTACTCCAATATCAGCATATGGAAATAGTTAAATACTTCTATTTAATTCTTATAATCGAATATAATTATAGGGATTAATTGGATTCTATTAACACAGAATTTAAAACAAAGGTCATTTACGAAAATTTGTAAGAAAAACCCATATTTGGAGATTTCTATAATAATTTCTAAATAATCAAACCTAAAATTAAAACAAAAGATTTAAATATAAAGTTTGATCTCTCAGAGATCAGTATGATTACCTTGTATATGAAAGGGAATGTAAGGAGCATTTTAAATTGGCTACAATTCCATCATAAGGATCAATTTATATATACATTGATTAAGCAAATGAAATTAGATCAAACTCATTTACAATACATGCTTAAAAATCATTTACCCATCTTTAAGAGTGATTAGTTTGATAATTAGTTTAATTTAAATGCTTAATAATGGTTTGATTAACAATGTATTGAATTAGTGGATGATATAGTTCAAAATAGGAAAAATATCTTAAAAAATAATTATTCAAAAAGATCTTTTAAATTCAATATAAATTCATTCCTAGTAAATTATGTTCTTAAGGTAATGTAGTGATTAATATAATATAGATAAATGCAATAAATACATAATAATATACTTCCAGTACAAGATAACGAAGATTGAATAAAGAGCCAAAAGATATTTATAAACCACTTTAACAATTCTTCAAAGATGAAGAAGAGTATGAGTAGTTTAAATAATTTGACAAATCTTTTGCATTTTTGGTGAACTGATAAAAGATGCTTTAAAAAATCTCTAATCAAAACTATTTATCAAACATTGATAATCCTCTTTTTTATCGTCTTACTAATTGAGAAGGTGTTCTTGCTCGAGAAAATGTTTCATCCATCTCTTCTATCTGAGAATGCTCCTTAATCATTTTGAATTTCGAAGACCCAGATCTAAAATTAGTTTGTGTATTGTTTTGAGATTAAACAATAGATGCACTAACAACTCTGATTGATCCTCTCTTTAATGAACGTATTGTCATATTTTATCTGCTCATACGTGGTTCATTTACTAATTGATTCTATATTTATTTCATGTTAANATCCATAGAGGCCCTTTGCCTAAATTTATAAATTAAAAATTTCTACATATATAAAGAGTCCCTTTTATTTGGATTACAGGTATTTCTATATTTAACTTTAATATTAGATTCAAATTAAAACCATGAATTGTTTGATGCTTTTGAATTACTCCAATATCAGCATATGGAAATAGTTAAATACTTCTATTTAATTCTTATAATCGAATATAATTATAGGGATTAATTGGATTCTATTAACACAGAATTTAAAACAAAGGTCATTTACGAAAATTTGTAAGAAAAACCCATATTTGGAGATTTCTATAATAATTTCTAAATAATCAAACCTAAAATTAAAACAAAAGATTTAAATATAAAGTTTGATCTCTCAGAGATCAGTATGATTACCTTGTATATGAAAGGGAATGTAAGGAGCATTTTAAATTGGCTACAATTCCATCATAAGGATCAATTTATATATACATTGATTAAGCAAATGAAATTAGATCAAACTCATTTACAATACATGCTTAAAAATCATTTACCCATCTTTAAGAGTGATTAGTTTGATAATTAGTTTAATTTAAATGCTTAATAATGGTTTGATTAACAATGTATTGAATTAGTGGATGATATAGTTCAAAATAGGAAAAATATCTTAAAAAATAATTATTCAAAAAGATCTTTTAAATTCAATATAAATTCATTCCTAGTAAATTATGTTCTTAAGGTAATGTAGTGATTAATATAATATAGATAAATGCAATAAATACATAATAATATACTTCCAGTACAAGATAACGAAGATTGAATAAAGAGCCAAAAGATATTTATAAACCACTTTAACAATTCTTCAAAGATGAAGAAGAGTATGAGTAGTTTAAATAATTTGACAAATCTTTTGCATTTTTGGTGAACTGATAAAAGATGCTTTAAAAAATCTCTAATCAAAACTATTTATCAAACATTGATAATCCTCTTTTTTATCGTCTTACTAATTGAGAAGGTGTTCTTGCTCGAGAAAATGTTTCATCCATCTCTTCTATCTGAGAATGCTCCTTAATCATTTTGAATTTCGAAGACCCAGATCTAAAATTAGTTTGTGTATTGTTTTGAGATTAAACAATAGATGCACTAACAACTCTGATTGATCCTCTCTTTAATGAACGTATTGTCATATTTTATCTGCTCATACGTGGTTCATTTACTAATTGATTCTATATTTATTTCATGTTAATACATTCATAATATCTTCTTTGACTTTCTATAAGAATGATATCTTGTAATTTGGATGCTGAATCGGATTAGGGAAAAGAACATCCGGTAAAGTATTTAATCTCATTTATTTAATATTTTTAATGATATCTTCTCAGAAATGCTACAAAGAAAGAATTCAATACTTACAACTATTAATCTTAATATTGATTGAATTAATATATACATTTACCTTCTAAAATTGTTACTATCAAATCCCAGATCTATATTCTAAAAATGGATTACCCAATATCTCAAATATAAAAATATTGAAGACAAAAATGCCCACTCTTTTGCAACTCAGTAAAATGATTTTACTTGGACCATTATTATTTGCTTCTTAAAAATTTATTAAGTGATTTAAATTCCTTATATTTTATGTCTTTCATCTATTCATTTTATACTGTTGGTTAAGATTATATCCAATAATAATTGAATATAATGTTTTTAGAAAATGGATTCATATTTATTAGCTATGAGATATGAATTACTTCAATGTTTTGTACTCAGACTATACTTTTCAGGTAGATTAGTTTAAATCTTAAGACAATGTGAAACATATGAAATCTCTTTTGTATTACATCATCATTTTGCTTAAAAATACATACCTTGTTCTATATCGAGATCGATACTATCAAAAATCAAAAAAATCATCCTGACTATCTATTTAAGTGTTCTTAGTTGTGGGTCTATCTATTTTTATTTCCCTTTTCAATTCCTTTTATAGTTTACCATTTAAATAAGTATTTTTCTAACTGGAAATTACATTATTTTTTAATCTATAATCAATTATATTAACTATGATTGGTTTTAGATGATTACTTCATCTATAAATATATCCACCTTCAAATTAAAACTTTTATAGATATGCTAAAAACTATTGAACATTTTAATTCCTTATCAAACCATTATGCAAGCTAAAAAACTACAATTTATTATCATAAATATTGGAGATTACTTTCATAGTTAAAATAAAAAAATAATTTAAGATATTTACTTCTTTTTTAACTTAAATTTTTACTTTTTTTTTAAATATTTCAACCTCCAAAAGAAATAGCCATTTTGAAACTTGTTGTTTTATTTTACAATTTTAGAATGATATCCCAAACGGAATAGAGATCAAGCAAATTAATTGTCCATTATACAACAATAATATTAAATTATAGGTTTAAAATACTTTTTAAAAAAAATAAAATTTATCTCCAATTTAATTATAAGACAGATCGTTAAAAACAATTAAGTAACAGTATAAATTTGAATCTGCTTCAAATAATTAAAAATTGAATAATATATTTAAATATTATAATTGACTTTATTCGTGAGAGAGATTTTTTTATGAATTTTATTGAAATATTTAAATGAAAAAAAAATGTAATAAAAATTATTATAAAGACATATAACCATGATTCGATTATATCATGATTTCACTGTTAGTAGCAAATGATTGTTTAGCTTAAATAAGGAGGTAGTTTCTAGGCAAATTGAATATTGTCAATACTATCTTAAAAATAAAAATTGAATTGGTCATAAATTTTTAATGAATAAAAATGGTAATGATTATTTGAATAACTAAGATTTTATAAATTTATATATACCTTAAATAACCTTAGAAGCTTTATGATTCTTGAGAATAAATACATGACAGGATTATGATTTATTATTCTTCAAAAAAACGTTCAGAATATCTTATTAATCATGATAAAAGTTTTTTTTTTTCTATCTAATTTCCTTATAGTTGTGATTGCGTTGAACTAAATTATCATCATATAAGATCATTCATTCAAACTTTAAATTTTATGTGAAAAATTATGTTCTAATAGTCAATAGGCTTTTTACCATCTTCCAAATTGCAAGGATAGAATGCAAATAGATCTGTTAAAAAGTTAATTTAAATAGTATAAAAATAGGTTAATAATATTGTATAATATTTGATCTTAATTATTTAGTGTGCGAGAATAGAAAGATAAAAATATAGAAGAATATAATATAATGATGATGTTTTGGAAAAATAGACTCATTATTATCCATCTGCCTATTCTACCTCAGTAGTGATTCCAGAACTTAATAAGTATACTTCTTGTTTTAATTCTTCAGTATTTTCTAAATAGATAGAATGAATAATAAATTACATAAGTAATTGAGAAATTATTATTAACGAAACTTATACAATTCTGGAATTCTAAACTCATCTAACAATTTCATTAATTCATATGCAAAATACTTTAAAGTGATTTAATCTAAACTAACAAATTTAATCTGCTCAAAAGTAATTTCGTCATCATTTATTGATCTAAGTAAAATAAATGATTTATTAACTATAAGATAGCTCTAATGAGAACTTCTGCATGAAATTGTTTTGGAATAGAAAAGTTAGGGGAATTCTACTCAGTAAATGATATTGAATGATATCCCTTTTATCTTAAACATAATTGATAACTCTAAAATATTAATTATAAATCTCTAGTATCCTTGATAATAAATAATTAACTTACTTAATAATAAGGTAAACGTATATGATAGATTTCTAGAGAATTAACATTTTCACTTTTTGTTTTTACCATGTCTCCTATTTTCACTATTATTTAATATTTTTAAATATACTTTATTGGGTAAGCTCATTAGCATTTTTATTCTTATCTCTTTATAATGAAATATTTAAAACTGTACCTTTTTGCTAGATAAGACCATGCTGGTTCATGAGATGCATTCACTAAAATGAATTATAATTTGTACCAAGAACATCTGCTAAATCTTCAGCAATGTCTGCCTGAATAATTGAAATAGTAGTTGAATTAATTGTTCTAGTTATGATTATTTTTGATTCTGGATGTAAAACATGTTTCTTTTCTTCCTCTAATCCACAAATATCTGAATAATTTTATAATTATACTGTTTCCCATATAAAATGTATTTTTTGATTAATTAAATTATTGATGACAATCGTAAACAATGCCTTCATAGCGTCAGTTCTAATTTATTCATTTCTTTATGATTCTAGACTGCTATACATATTTATTGGGATCATCAGTAAGAATCATTACGATATACTAGTTATATATTAAGTATTATCATATTTGTTCTATCCAAATGTTGGTTATGGATCTGGTAGAAGAAGATTATCTTAAGCTCTTTGGAGTCCACCAACTGAAGGAGTTATTCATAATTTAGTAGAAATAGATTTGACAAACACTATGAAATATCTATCTTCATAACAAGCAAAGTAAATAAATAAACAATAATTCATTCAGAGATTCACGTGTTACATTAACTCATATTTGTATAAGAGCAATAGCTGAATGTATTAATGCTAGTAGAAAGAAAATATGTGGAAAAATTGTATTTGGAAAGTTTGTTGAATTTCCTACAATTGATATTTCATGCTTAGTAAACATTGGTGAAGGAGATGATTTAGCAGCATTATTAGTTTAAAATGCTGACAAGAAAACCTTTGAAGATATTGCAGAATATATTAATGGCAAAGCTAAATTAGCTAAATAGGGTAAGGATGAAGAACATTAATAAAGATCAGGATTATTAAAATATCTTCCTCCTTTGTAATTATTATTATTTTATATTTATAGTGTTATTAGTTTACTAATTTAAGTCACATCTTTTCTAACATATAATTTAGGAATCACAATCAAAGCATTAGGTTTAAAAAAAGATTGCTTTGGAGTAGCTACTGTAACTTCTATAGGAACTCTTGGATTTAAAAATGCCATTGCTCCATTCACTCCAATGATGAGAAATCTATTGATTGTCACTGTTAATTAAATTGTAGATAAAGCACTTGTTAAAGATGGATAAATTGTTATTGCCCCTACATTTTAATTAAACTTTTGCACTGATCATAGATTCTTAGATGGTGGAGCTATCGTTAAATCAAATAAAGTGGTAATCTTATTCAATTTAATATTATTCAGTTATATGATGTATTTGAAAATCCAGATAAATATGCAAGAAAATGATAATATTAAATAAAAATTATTTATTTCATATTCATATGCAATTTTCTAACAAGCATTAAGGACAATATGCAACCTTCTTTTATATATTATTATCTAAAATAAAATAAAAACTACAAGCTACAGTCTTGCACTTCTCAATTTAATACCTTTTTGCTATCTCCTTCACTTGATTTATTAATAATTTTTATTTTAATAGAGTTCCAAAATTTACATCACTAAAATGCTATAGTGTCTTTTATTATTGTGAATATCCACATAAACAACTTAAAATAGGAATTTACAATTGTAATTGACTAAAAAATAAAGATTATAAACAATCTTCATGATATGCATGGGAACAATTTAAGAATATTGTGATTCCACCTATATATTTTTAACAGAAAAAACAACTTTGTATAGATGATATCGCTTAAGAAATAGATGAATTCTCTAAATTACAGTTTTCTTAGTAGCAAGTAGTTTCAATTACAGAAGTGACTAATGATTATTATGAAAATAAAGTTTATTTTTATTATGTTTTTTTTAATGCCTCTATTTAACTTTTTTTTGCTTAACCTAATGCCTCTAAAAGCTTTCTTATTAATTTATTTTAATCTTCTTAATTTAAAGTAGATTGATCTCTAGACTCAAGATAAGCAGTATAGATAGTTTCAGTTCCAAATTTTTCTTTTGTATTTTAAAATTATTTTAATTACTCGTCTACTTTTCTGAATTCCTATTAGAGAAGTTAATAAGTTTTCTAAAAATCCTCTAGATCCTTCATTTAAGTATATGTGGCTTAGAGTGATATCACATTAATAGTTAGAACTTCTTTATTCTAAATTCTTTTACTAAATTAACCAAAAGTTTCATTGAAATAACAAACTTATCCATTGCTAACTACCAAAACATCCTCATCTCGTTTATTTTGTTATAAAATTTTTTAATAAACTTGATCATCCTTATTACATAATTCACTCTTACTCTACCCTGTCTTTGACTAAAAATTAACTTACATTTCGTTGTTCCGTAAAAAATTCAAACTCATTTATAATATATAAAATAATTTATTTTTTATATAATTTAAGTTTAATAAAAAGCATAAAGATATTTTATTCTAGATAGAATTTATCAAAATTAGGAATAATAGATACATATTATCATCTTTCTTGACTCAAAATAAATAATAATTTAATAAAGTATTATTAATCTAGAACCTTTTATTGATGATTTGATTAAGAGCTTATAAAATTGGAATTGAGCATAAAACTGATTTGAGACATTATATGATGATTGTTATTTAATTCATCAACAAATTAATGGAGTATTTAAAAAGGAAATAAGAAACAACTTAATAGTAAAAACCTTTTTTAATTTTCAAAGTTGAATTCCATTCTAAAATTATCAATAGTAATAATAACGAATGGTAAAAAGGATATTCCAATAAATTATAAATTAATTTATTTGCTTATCAAGAGAACTTTTATATCTAATTTCATCATATCATCAACAACTATTTATTTATTATTAGTGTATTATTTTCTTTGTAATTTGATTTTAGTTTGACATTATCTGGAAATTCTATTAATCATCATAGAATTTTATAAAATAAGTTAGCACATTTAAAAAAAATAAATAGAGAGGAGAATCAAATTTATTCTCCATTAAGAAGAACATTTATAAAATTCCAATTTTAAGCTTAACCTAGTTTATAGAAATCTTTATTTCTCATTATTTTGATACACTCAATTATTACTATATGAATTAAGTTCCAAAATTTATAAAGTGTTTCATAAAGCTTTATTTGAGAGTAAAAGAGTTTTCTTGAGTAATCCTTAAAAATAGTTGCTTATTATATAAGTTTTAGGTAGTTTGAAAGGGCTTTGCATCTTTTAATTTTTTGATTACTTAAGTTAGATCACTGAAAAAGAGATTTTTAATTTGAGCACCTTCTTAAGAGCATCTATTAGTATAAGAATCAGGACTACAATTTTTAGTTGATAAAGACCCATTTATTAGAAATTGAGTTTCAAAAGATTTACAGAAAAAATTCCACTAATTTTAAATAATTTTTAATTCTATATATCAATCAATACTGTAAATATATTAGAGCAAGTTTTTACGATCTAGTTTTTGAATTTTAAAGTTCCATTTCAGTCTTAAATTATATAAAAATTATATTTTTCTTAACAAAATAATTGGTAAAGATCAAAAAAATCTTAACATTTTCCATAGTGAAATATCCTAAACTATTATTTTTTATTATTAATATATTAAAATATTAATTAAATAAGAGAATCTTTAATGAGTAAATAGAAAAATAAAATATGCATAATAGAAAACGAATTCAAATCTAATACTGAAATGAAGTAATTTGCAGACATGTAAACTTATTTTTTACAAGTAGAATTTAATTTTAGCATAGGCTGATAAAAAAGAATTAAAATAAATTAATGGTAATTCCATTGAAACAACAGAAAAAGCTTAAAACGTACATCTTTCATAAAAAAATTTATAAAATAAAGAAATTAAGAAATATGTAGAAGGTAATAATTTAAATTAGACAAATATTCCTTAAGCTTTAATAAAAGAATTTAAACAAATGGAATTTAAAAAGTTTAAAATTGACTTTAAAGATTAAATAATTGACCAATAAAATGAGCTATTAATATAAGATAATAATTCTTTGAAATCTATTTAATAAAAGTCGTAATAAAGAGTTTAAAAAGCTTCATAAAACGTAAAAAATAATGACTGCTACCAAGATCAAAGAAATAATTAGAAAAATTCTCTAAAATCAAAATTCGCACATAAAGAACCTGATAATGATTTATTATAAATAAAAATATAAGAAGAATAAACAATAATGCAAAAAGAAGAATTAGATAAAAGAATATAGATGGAATCACGAAACTCCATGAAGTATATTCAAGATTTGAAAATTTTTAATGAATAGTTATCCTATTATAAACAATAAACTATTTAAAGGGATTCATAGTTGAAATAACTTATTGAAGATTTAAAAAAATAATAATTAGAAAATGTTTAGATGAAAGAATTAAAGGAAAATTAAATTATTTAACATATAAAGGTTCTAGAAAACAAATGTCAAAAAATTTCAGAGAATAATGTGAATCTTGCTTCAAATTGGGAATCATATGTTTAATAAATAAATTTATATCTGATGTATATTGACGAAGAACTTAAAAAGAAAGTCATAGAATTAAAAAATTATATATAAATTTAAACTAATTCTAAATCAAAAACAGTGAATAAAAAGCAAAATTTTGAAAATAAATAAATCAATACAAAATTTTAGGAAAATTACCAAAAGTAAGTTGAAGATTAAATAAAAAATTTGTAGCAAAAGAAAGAAAAAGTAGATTAATAATATTAAGAAAAAGAATTTGATTTTAATTATATGAAAAAACTTTATGAAAATGAAATTGATAATTATAGAAAAGTAATAAATAAAAAATAAAACTAAATATAAAATCTTAATTATGATTATTTATAAAACGAATCTAAACTTAATGAAGAATTGTAAAATGCAACTCAGAGTGAAAAAATATGTAGAGAAGAAATATAAAAGCTAGAAAAGAGAAAAGAAATAAATTAAGATGAGATTGAGTAAATCTCAGTAGTATGTTAAAAAAAAATTTAGGAATATCAAGATCAAATCAATAAGGGAGATAAATATTTAAATTTTTTAAAAGAATAAAAGAATGTTATAAAAAATTAAAAAAAGGACAAAATATTAAAATAAAAAACTGAATACCATTTGGAGATGTTTGAAATAGAAAATTAATTAAACATATCATAAATATCAATAGGATTATTTTAAAATGAAATTTCCATTGATGAAATTTATGATTAAGACAAGAAAGTAATGACCCTATAAAAATTTAACATCAGATATTTAAAGGATAATATTTGGAATAATACTATATTTTAAACATTATAGCTTTAGGATGATATTCAATCATCAGGAAAAATGTAATAGGAAGATTAATAGAGCTTAATCAATTCTGGACTTTAATTAAAAAATCAATAAATTAACGCTTTTAGTGAGTAATTAAATAGTGAAGATGAAAAAATTTATTTTACATAAACAAAAAATATTAGAAAAACATATCCAAGATTGTATATTTTTCCCACTCATTTTATAGAATAATTCAAATAATATTTTGAATCTAATAAAGAAAATTGTATAAGCTTGATTTTAAAATACCTAAAAGATTATTAAGCAATTTAATATCAATTTCAGATGATTTACAAAAAGATAGCTTTTATAATAAATTAAGAGAATTAACATTATTATATAGTTACTGTTCATTTAGAAAATCTACTCATTATAATTTATGATTCTTTTCCTTAATAAATAAATAAATATAACTAGATTTTATCTTGCTTAAATTATTTATTCAGTACTATCCTCAAATAAAAAACAGAGTTTGATTTACATATTAGTCCCACATTCCCCATTTAAAATGATATTAACAAAACGAGCTATTATGCTTGTATTGCTCTTGAGTATTATAGTTAGAATTAAATCCATAAAAAATACAAAAGTTATGAAGAAATTTCAGCTATTTTATAAAATAGTATAAAAAAATGAAGCAGATTATAAAGGAATGATAATTTTGATATTATATATTGATAGAAAAGTAATTTTTATTTATTTATTTCAAAAAATTATTTGTATTATGTTATAAATTCATATTAAAACTAATTTCACATTAAACATTATGGACAAAATGATGAATTTCTTTATTATTTTTCATCGTAGTAGTAAAAAAAATTGCAATTTTTATTTTAGCAATTTAAAAACTTTTAAGGGTATACAGATTTAATATAATTCAATTAATTTAAATCTAGTTTTAACTTTAAAATTTAAGCTTTTGTAGTATCATGGATAAGCTTTAATAATTATGGTTTTATGGATTTTTAACATAAGCATTTAAGTTTTGGTTAATTTAAATAGCATTAAGATTCTACTAAATGTATTAAACAATCATGGTGGAAGGAATGTTAACATGAAATCATAATACAATCATCATCTATATTTTATTAGCAAAAATAGCAAATTTAACTAAATGTTATTGATACTTAAAAATCAATAATTGAACTTTATTTTTTTTTCAAAATATCAATCTATTATTAAAGTTGCTCGATTAAATTTTAGATATGATATTATTATTGTTCAATATTTTCGTAATTACTTGCCGTTTATGTAATTGACTCTACTAAATTTTTTTCAACTTACTTTTTCTGATGCCTTACATTTTCTTATGATTCCAATTAAATTTTTTGTTATTCTATATTCTTATCCCTTTCTTAAATAATATTTTAGAGATTTATAATCTCTTTTTTCTTTTAAGTTAACTCTTCAAAATATCTTTTATTTTACTCTTCAATTTAATTTTTCTGATTGCTTTCATTTTCATTTAATTCCAATTAAATTTTTTGTTATGCTATAGTCTTATTCCTTTCTTAAATAGTATTTTGGAGATTTATAATCTCTTTTTTAATTTAAGTTAATTCTTCATTATATCTTTTATTTTACTTTTCCACTTTATCAAAATCTGCCAATTTCTCAATTATTTCTTTTATGGAAAACACTTATAAAATTTGGATATCATTTGGCTTGGTTTTTCTGAAAAATTGATTGTCTTATAAAAGAGACTCTTCATAAAAAATTACAATCTCATTTTATTTCTTCTCTATTAAGTTTGCTACAAAATTATAAATATCTTTAGGGAGCCTATCAAACTAATAATCTAACAATTGATTTTTGTATTCAAACATATAAGTTTACATTTATATATTTAATATTATTTAATTTATTTTCTATTATCAACTAATATAATTTTAAAAATATTTCCTTTTACATTCTATATTTTTTTTTTCTAATAATCATCTAATCTAATTTAGATTAACTTTATTTTATAATTTTTTATATATTTAACATATTTTTTAATGAATTAACCTGAAAATTAATAAGAATAAAAGTAAATCAAAATTGATGAAGTAGTATTTCTAACCTCATAAGAATTTCGAAAATTTATTTAATAAAACGTCTCTGACTAATAAGAAGAAATTATTATGAATTAAAATTCAAAGCAATCAAAAAATTCATAGAGTTTTATTTAAAATAGAAAATTGTTAAATCCTTCATAAGAAAACTAGATAAAATATTTTTAATTTATTGATGAAGAATATTAAAAGTTATAAATCCCTTGTTCAAATAAGTTAAAAAATTATAAACTTGAACATAAAGATGATAAATTAGATTACTAATAAAATGATTTAAAATAAGAATAAATGAAGTAAAAGTAAAGTAAAAATCAAATAAATCATCTTATATGTTAAACAGATAATTAGAAATAGATTAGTGAATAAAATAATTAATCAGAAAAAGTAGTTCCTACAAAAAATAAAGCAATTAAAATTATAGAATAAGAAATATAGTAGATATAATCAAATAATAAAGTTAATTAAAATCAGAATAGAATTATAGAAGAAATTTAAGAAAATAAATCTTTGAATAATTGTTAAGAAATCGTAAAAGAATAATAATAGAATTAAATTATTCAACCTATTTAACTATAATTTTAGGAATAAAATCAAAATAAAAAGCTTAAAAAATATGAAAGATATGATGAGATTAGGGATGAATAAAATTAATTAGTTTTACAATTAAGAAAATTTGAAATTAAGATTTTTTAAAATGATAATTAAGTATAAACAATAAGAAATGAAAATTTTGAAGAGTATTATTAATTCTCATTAGATTTGGAGAAATAAAAAAATTGTATTTCTGATTCCAGATTTCCATTAATAAGATTTAATTAGGAAATTGGATTAAAGGATAAGTAGATTTTAATAAATTCAAAATTATTTGTAACAAGTTCAATAATTAATGCTTATGCAAATTACCTTTAAGCTGTAGATGAGAATTATTATTTTTCCCTAAAATCAAAAGAAAGAAAAAAGCATTAAAGATTGTTTATATTTAGATCAGATTTTTTAACAAATTGTAATTTAAAAGACTATCATTTGTCAGACTAAAATAATAAAAAAAAACTAATATATTTAATGTTAGACTATTTGAAAAGCTTCAAAAATATCTAATATTAATTTTGGTTAATCTACAAGAAAATTGCATTTATTGTAAACTAAAATAATTTACATTGGTATTTAGCAGTTTTGGATATTTAGGATGGATGTTTAAAAATTTATGATTCCATCCCAAAGGAAGCCTTTTATTATAGTTAACTTAAGAATTTATTGTAATTCTTGTTTTCATATATTTCCTTAAAGTCATTATAATTTAATATCTTTGTTTGTCCAACTTGGATTAAATAAAAAGATTATTATTCGTGTGGTTATCATACTTGCTTAGCTCTAGAATATTTGAGTTAAAATGAAGCAAATAGTTAACCTTTAACAAAAGAAAAGATTTAAGATATTTTGATAGAATTGCTATTAAAGGAAGAGCCTGGAAAACTAGAGAATTTTTCATTTGATGATCAATAATGATTATTTTTGTAATATATTGAATTCAAATTCACTTTTAATACTCACAACAACATGGACAATAAGGTTTCAATTTACTAGTATTATCTGTTTTAATATAAATGAAACAACATTAATTTGTTTATGTACATTTTCTTATTTTAAATGAGTAATTTTACTCAATCTCAGTGATTTGATTCTTATATAATTTTTCTGCCATTTCTTTTCCATTTTAAAAATTGTTTATCAAAATTTTTTAAATAATTTTTTGATTACAAATGCAATTTAATCTTGATTAAAATTAACTTAATTAATTGTTGAAATGTTCTTCTAAACATTCTTAATGATAGTTGTGCAAACATTTAGTTTGAATGGAGGTTTCACAAATTTTATTATTGCATTTATAACATGTTTATAATTATACCTTAAAAACAGAGTTTTAAAATATATCCTCTTAATCAGATTAATTACTAAAGGTAGAAGATTAGCATGAATTTTAATTTTAGATCTCTTTATCTATAGGATATTATTAATCTTTTTATTAAAATTATTAATCACCATTTAGTTATATTTAGGATTAAACTATTGAACTATTTGTACATTAAGTTGATTATAAACTACTATAATCATTATCTATTTTTGAGTTATTGTTTTGTTCCATATTGATTTTGTTCTATTTTTATTTATCCTAATTTTCAAATTTTTCCCTTAATAGTTCTTTAATATTATATACCCAGAATTGCTTTTAATTATATTAATTTAAAAATTTATCAGTTCTTTTTATAGTCTTGTTATAGTCATTATCAATTATTATGATCAGATCATCTTCAACAATATTTAGAAATTTTGAAATATCCTTATAGATTAAATTAGTTGGATCTATTTTGAATGTTGATTCTTGGTCCATATACATAATTTTTATAATTCGACTCATTTAATTGCTTTTGTGGAATAAATCTTTGTTATTTAATTAATTAAAATAGAATATCAAAAGAGAATAAGTATTTATATAGTATTGTAAAATATTATGGAATAGATAAATATACATAAAAGAAAAATTAAATAAAAATGAAGGGAATAATTAATATATTAGTATAATAAAAATCAAAAAAAGCAACTTAATAATTATTAACGAATTTCAGATTTTTTGATTTCAGATAATTTGTATTATCTACTAATATTGGTTATTATTTAATCTATGTTAGAATCTTCATATAAGTAGATTTAGTTTAGAGTATGGTGGCCATTATCATTAATATTGAAATTTACAACTGCAATTGGGTTTTTGACATGTTTTTCTAAAAATGAAATTTGTTATGCTGCAAATGATTCCCAATCATCTTCATTAGAAGTCTTTATTCTTTTTTCAACAGAGTTTTTTTTTCTTTAAGCAGCTAGACTAGTATAATTATTAGGAGATTATTATCGATTTTTAGTAGATTAAGGGAATGTACATTATGAATTGATATTAGTAAATGTAATATTATTGGTTCTACTCTTTGATGTAAGACTGAGAACACTTGCATATTCTGAGAAATCTCTCATTTTTCTATTGTGTTTATATAAGTGAAGATATTCACTTACTTTCATTCGTTATATATATATGTAATGTAGAAAATATTATTTTTAATGTACGAATTTATGAAAATATCATCCATAGATTTTAATTGGTTTACCCATGGAAGTCTTAATGTGGAGTGTACCAACATTATTCCATCCTTTTTTAAGAAGGGATACCAAGAAATTAATGGTTGTACTCAAGTTTTATCTGAGTTAATCTTCAGTCATTTCATCAGTACCGAAAGCTGTACCAAGTGATAATGTATTTTTTAATTAGAATCTTAATTGATATTTAAAATAGAGAATACTTGACAGAAGCCTTGACTTCATTAACTTTACTACTAACAGATTCTGTTTCAGGGATGGCAATGGGGAATTTACCAATCTTTGTAAAGACATTACCAACAAGTCTTGGAATAACTTTCATAAGGGATTCCGAGGCAATCAAGATGTCAAAAGGTTTGCACCACTTTTTTATTGGTTTCTTCTCTTTATTAAACTTCTTAAGGCCATCTTAATCGATCGCGGTGAGACCGAGAGCCTTGGCCTGATCTGAATCGATGAGAGGTAAATCGTACCGCAATGAGTTAAATTACCAATAACACCGATTTTGATGTTAGGGTAAGGAGAATGTAACAAACGTGTTGAACCTTAAAAACGTTTGTCTTTCTAAACATCGTAATCTCTCAATTAAATTTACAACTCTGTTGTCTCTTTAAAGTTTCTCTTCTTTCTCTCTGTCAACATTTCATGGATGTATTTCTTCAACTATTCACTTTAGATCTTGCTAATAAAGGTTTAAAAGACATTCTATACCTCATTCCTAATTTTTTAAAAAAAATTTAAATAAAATTAAATCCATCTAATCAACTCATTAATTCAACATTCTCACTATAAATTTTATTTATCATTTTTATTAACGGGGTATCCTTTCTCTATACTTCTTCGATTCAACATTAAAATTACTTTATTATCATTTATTTATATTATCTTATTATCTCCACTATTATCTTATTTAAATATTATATTCAAAAATAATCATTTTAAGTATTTTAAATGATCATTCATAAAATATACCAATTCCTTTTCTCAATCAAATAAAAACAATATCTTTCTGTATTATTTTTAATTTCATGTTATAATCATAATTTAAATAAAAATAGCTATTTTAATTATATTTGTCTCTTTATACTACATTTTTCTATGTAGAGTGTTTTTTTATGTCACAATAGTGAATAAATTACAACAAATGAATTAATATTCACAATTATTTCAATATTAATCATATTACAATGAATATTAATTATTATTATTTTATATATGTCTGATTCTGATGATAGTGTTACGGAATTACAAGAGGAATCTGATAAAGCAGAAGTAATCCAATACTTTAGTACTAATTATGCAAAAGTGATTTCGAATTTTCGATAGTACTATGAGACAAGAAATCAGATGTCATCAATAGTGATGAAAATGAATGCATTTGAAAATAAAATAGATGTAATTACTATTAATGCATTCAGAAAGTAAAGAAAAGCAACCTCTATGATATTCGTGAAATTAGCAACAAAACTAATCTCATTATAAATCTAACCAAGTTGTAGAATATGTTATTATAAATAAAAAATAATATTACCCATGGGTAGAAAGCCATAATGAATATTAAATAAGATAAACACACAGCTGCAATTAGAGCCATTTAGAAATTAGACTCTAAACATTTGACAGACTTTGTATCAAATCTTTAATAGTTAATAACAAATAAGGTTTAGATTGAAGCTAATACAAAAATTCAATAATGGGTAGAATTAAGTAAATAATAATAAATCGATATGGGATTAAGTGTGATTTAAAATTGTGAATAACTCTAAATGGTTAATTCTTAATTTGCAAGAATTTCATTATTCTAACCTGATGTTAGGTCAAGCATAGTTATGAGATAATCAACTGTTGGAAGAGTATCAATGATAAGATAATCTATTGTAAGATAATCTATTGTAAGATAATCGATGGTTCCGAATCCTAATAGAGTTTCTTTTTTTACTTAATTTAAATAGTAGTAAACATAAAATATGTAAGTGTCACGATAATCTTAATTAAATTAATCAATAATGGATCAATCTTAATAGATGTTACATGAATCTCTAATAGAACCAAATGCATGGGAATTTTAGATAGATTATTCTTAATTAAAATTACCATAAATGATTTATGAAAATTTAAACTAAAAACTAAGTTTTTATTAGTAATTAAAATAAAGTAGAATCAAGTTCTTGTAATATGTTTGTGGAAATGAAAATAGATAAGGTATGAATGATTTTAGGAATTATCTTGCTTGTATTTTAGGGTTTGTTTTAATGGATTTAGAATTGAATAAATCATTTAAGGATTATGAGGAAATGAATTTAGTAGTATTAGAAAATGTTAAATTGATTGAAAAATAAATTAAGAACTCATTTATTACATTTGATTTAAGAGATTTGTTATAAATAAAAAAAGAAATTTAATTATTTAGTGTTGCTTTAGCTAAATTACATCAATATTAATTATCAAATTAAATAAATAAATGTTTGAATGATTAATTTTTAGTTTATTCAAATAGAAGAATTGAAGAAATCAAAAAATCTTTAACAAAATCAATTCAATCTGATAATGGATATCCATTAACATTGTAGAATAAAGAATAATTTGATTTATTATGCACAATTATAAAATGTCCTCAAAATAAAAAATTAGAGTTACCTATATCTTAATTTGTATAGGATGCTGTCTATTAAATAAATTTATTTATTGAAGGATCAATAACTTATTTATAATCGTTAAACGAATATTTTGATTAAAATGTGATTTTTTACATGGACACTCTCTTTATAGCAATCTGTGATATAATAAAGAATTATGTTTAATAATGTGATGACTTTATGCTTTTAGTATAGGCTACAGTAAATTTTAATCATTTAGAATTATCAATATAGTATTATAAGAAGAACATTGAAAGTTTATTATAAGTAACATAAACAAAAGAAATGGAATGTTAAAACCATTTCAAAAATACAAGATATTTTTGTGAAGAAGCTTTACAAAATGCAATAAACTAAAAAATAATACTTCCCTAAATGGATTGGGCACCTTCAATTCCACATAAAGGTCCTCATGATTATTTTATCATGATAAATGGTTATTATGAAGTAATATTTAAATTTAGAATTAGAGCATTATTGGAACATTATAATTAATGGTACCATAATTTATAGAATCTTCAATTTATCTTACATTTAAATATTTGAATAAATTGATTTGGAAATAGTTATTAGAAACTAAAGCATTCAATATAATTGGTTTATTTAATTTAGAAGTTGATTTGTAAAGTTTTTTAAAAGTTTGCAATTAACAAATGTTCCCAGAAAGTTCAAAAGAAATAATTTAATTTTTGAATTTATTTTTAGTAGATATTCCAGCATCCTATTTAGACAATTAAAAAAGACAGGCTAATTATTGTTATTTAGAAGTGCCTAAATTATTGAAAATATTTCCTAAATATAAAGTAAAATTATTAAATAATGTAATATAGAAAGTGGTTTATAATAAATTACCAGTAGTAAGAAAGAGAGAGGTAGATGCAGTAATTAAGAAAATTTAAGAAAATTTATAGGCATTTTGAATTCAATCAAATGATTTACATTATTATTAATATTCCTTAATTAACTTAGATAACATAGTGGTATGTTTGCCAATGGAATGTTAGTTCTTTCGAATTTCGCTCAACATCTACATAAGTAAATCTATCCCTTATCTCATACACTACTCAGTCACATTTCCATTTTAATTTGCATGGCCAAACGTCACTTTAGTAAATTTTTAAATGTCATTCGCATCTTTCGGGATCTTATTTCTGTTAGTCATGATGCTACAATGTTAACTTACTTGTCAATAAGTGCAACAATAACTGTTGTTATAACCTTTTTAGAACGGTTCCTCTTTCTTTTCTTCTAAATTCTTCCTTCCTTTAGATAAACTGATTTTACTGCTTTGACAGTAGATAGTGGAATTTAAAATTCTTAAGCCACCTAAATTATATATTCAAGTATTACTTCCTTTATTTTCATGTTTTCTTTAAATATTTTCTCCACTATTTATGATCTTTTTTCGTCATCCACAATACTATATTTCGATGGCCTCTTTTTTCTACTTTATGTCATTTTTTTCATTCTTATAAAAAATTATTAAAATAATTAATATTCTAGAAAATTCATTTATTGGTTTATGATAAGCTTATATTTTACTAAATTAATTGTGTATATCTGATCATTATCCTATTTATAAAGATAAGAATATAATTATACAATTATTTTATATATATTTATATATATTTATATATATAATATACTCCACATTCATTACTATTGTTATGATACTGATTACGTTGATTATGATGATTAGAATTAGCTAATCTAATTATTTTGCCATTCCAAATTAGGGTCATTTGTATAAAATGGATTTGTTGTCTATAATAACAAATTTATTTACTTTAGCAGTAGGATATTCCTATAAGAAATCTAATTCATTGGATTCCAATTAAATATTAAATGGTTTATTTTACAAAATATGTTCACAATGCAATTCTAATTAAATTATATGATTAATTAAATACTTATAGTTTTATCTAATTGAGATTTGATCTCAACAGATTTCCAAAAGTCAGCATCAAATTTATTCAAATCTTATTAATACTCTTGAATATATTAAAGTAATGGTCCCTTATATTAATTTACTATTAAAAAATAAATATAAAATTTTACAATATTAAATAATCATAAGTTGATATTTATGATTGACAATTTGATTTGTTTCAGTTTGATTATTTCTGAGTTTATTAAGTAATTTAACACACAAAAGTGGTCTATTTTATTGTATGTAAAATGAGACTAACTGTTTAAATGCTTAAAAATTAATTTCTTTATTATTATAATTGGTATGTATCAAAACTTAAGCAAATTGATTTTACATTTTAATAATATCTTATTCAGTTTTTAATTTAGATAAAAGATATTCTCCAGAAAGATCAAATTTCTTTTATAATTCAATACTATAAATATGTCCTTCAATAGAGAATTATTCTCTAAGTTATTTTTCTTCTTCTTATTTTTATTATAATTTTTATAACTGTTTCTTTTCTTTAGGTGTTAATTTTTTCTATTCTACCTTATTATTATCTTATAATTTAAGTTTTAATCTATTCAAACCTTCAATCATTAAACCTGCAGTTTCAATAAAATATTTAGCACTATATCTATTATCCATAGCATCAAACATTTATAATAAAGATCTTAAAGTATATTTTCTAATTGAAAATTAATAGAAATCTAATTAATCATCATACATTTCTTGATAATGTTTAAAGATCAAATAAAATTAAGTTAAAGCTGGTCCAAGATAATTCAATCTTAAAAATGTTCTACCAACTCCCAATTCAAACCAAATCATTTATAATTCATATGGATTTGAACCATCTCTTAAGAACATTCTCAACAATTCTTATGATAAATAAACCATATTAGCTCTTAAAGCATACTTAATAGTTTTATTATTCAAATATCTATCAGCTAAATCTAATTATCTAGCTCTATCTGTAGCCTCATATGCTTCTTTAAACTTTTCTTATTTATGCAATGCTTTTGCCTTAATTAAATATAATTCATGTAATGTTGGTGTATGTGCTATTGCCTCTTCAACCAATTCTAATGATTTTGCATATTATTTAATTTAATAATGATGTTAAGCTAAAAGCATTAATGCCCATAATTTTTATATTGGTCCAGATGTTAAATATGATTCAAAAGCCTCTTTTATTACATCCAATTTCTCTTTCTATCTATATAAATGTTTTATCTCTCTAAATAATGAAGGAAGAGATTTCTAAAAAAATGGATCTATAAACTTTAAAAAACTTTCTCTAAATTTATCTCCATTCAATTCAGCTAATAATTAACCTTAAACTAATGTGTTATCATAAACTGATAAATCAAATTAGGGATTTGCCTTTTTTAACAGTACATAGTATTTCCAATTTTATGGTTATAATTCTAATAAATGTTTTGCTGATTCTACTGCTTCTTAATTTGATCCTAATTTCATAAATAAATCATATTAAAGTTCATAATAAGCCACCATATCTGTAATATCACTTGAATATATTAAATATATTACTTTTTAAATGTTATTATATTTTATTTAGCTTTCTAATAATCTTTTGCATCTATTGCTAATTAAATTTAATATAATTTAAATTCATTCATTTCAACCTTCTTTATTGGATTCTATTAATCTTTCTAGATCAATTATTCAGCTGAATTTATTGCTTTAAATGCTATTTCATAATTTCCTATTAAATGTTAAGAAAATATAAATGCTATCCAATTCACAATCATGTTTGATTTTTTTGTCAATATCTTATGTCTAAGTTAGGCATTTCCTTCAAAATCCCTTGTGTGAATTTACAAATTTGCTGTATCTCTCTCTAATTAGATGTTTTCTTCTCCTTTTTTTATTGCCTATAAAAAACATTTTACAGCCTCAATATAATTTTTTTAGGCCTTATAAATTAAACCATAAATATGCCAACAAAAGTCTGATCCTAAATTCTTAAACACTGCTTGCTTAGCTAATTCTAATCCCTTTTGTTGTTCATCATTATAATACATAAATATGGCCTTTAAAGATACCACTTCCCAATTATCAGGTACTTGTTCCAATAATTTTTCAGTATTTCTTAGACCCTTTTTATAATCTTTTGCATCAAGCAATTTCTATTCTTATTCATTATTCATACCACTAATGCTTTGAATTCACTACTCTATTTATTATTTAACGAATTTTAAGCGGGTTTCATATCTTAAAAAATTAAATAAATTTAATTATTTTATGTATTATTCTTTCCTTTTTTTAAAATATATTCTCATTTTCAAACATCATTTCTATCTAAAGAATATATAACAATCTCATATATCCATTTTACTCATTTTCTAATTTCAATAATAATTATTAATTATATCATATAAATTATTTATAACACTTCTTCTAATTACTTATATTCCATCATAATTTTAACAATCAATCTTAAATATTAATTAATATCCTTATTCTAAATATGATTTTATTCATTATATATTTTTATACCTATTTTTGATTTTTACTTTCAAACACAATTATACATTCACATTAATTAATATGAATCCCAGAAATTCTAGAAAATAATTTTATCAAAATTTAAATATTCACAACATTTTGAATTTATAAATTATAATTAATTAACTAAATATGATCTTAGTATTAGTTATTATAATAAACTTTTTTTTTAAATTTTTAAATCTTCTTTATCTCTTGAAATATTTATTCATTCTTTCAAATATTCATTTCTAAACATATTAAAATTTTATCAGCTTCTTTTTCATTAATTCTATCAACCCTTCATTTGATAGTCTCAAATTCTTCAGCTCTAAATTAATTTATACATAATATCTTTAAATATTAAAATATTTACTATTAAAAATAAAATCAAACTAAATTTCAATAATTTTGTAAAATCGAAGAAATATAACTTTAAGATTTTTCTATCTCCAATCCTTCACTCATTCTATCTATTTTCAAATACAAACTAAAATATTGAAGTAATTAATAATTCTTTCTTTGCAATAATATTTTGTTTAATCATAAAAATATGTAGGAAATTACAAATATATGTAAGAAACCAAAATAAAAAATTATTAATATATAATAACCCTCAATTTTAACTGAATTAAGGTGTGAAGAAAAATACTTAATAACTTAATATTTAATTAATAAAATAACTTAAACTTTATTCTATTTTTATAAAGACTAATAAATCTTCTATCAATGTAGAAAGAAAATAATGATATTATAATTAAAATTTTAGTTACTTCATCAATTTTTCAGCATATAATATAAGAGTAATGTTTGGATATCTTATAATAATTAATTCTTTTCAGATTATTAAATATATTTAAAAATAATCACAATAATGAAATTATTTGCTTTTAAGTTAAATATAATACACATTTAAACTCAAAATGTATAAGAATATAAAAATTCAAGAATTATTTAAAATAGATAACCTAGAATAATTTAAATAAAAAATTTAATCTTTTTGTCATTTTTGTTACAATCACAAATAAATTATAATTTAATCTAGACATATATGAAAAATTATATATATATTTAAGTCTAGATTTAACGCATATTTTTTAATATCATTGAAAAAAATGTTTAAAATTAAATAACAATAAACATAAATTTGCATTAATTGACAATTTTTTGTTTTTAAGTTATAACTCCTTGATCCAAAAGTATTTTAGATGGATACAATTAAATAATAGGCTTTAAATCGAAAAATAATTTGCTCAGGATGAAATAATTTCAATTAAATTACTCTTGAAGATAATTACGAGATTTTTATTTGTTTTAAATTAAAAAAAACTTTAATTTAATATAGACAATCGACATATATTTAACCAATTAAGATATGAAATCCTAACTTAAAAAAGCAGTTTTTATTGTCAATTGTAAGTATTGCTGTTTTATCTTAGAATAAATTAAACATAAGAGAATAAATGAATAATCTTTTGAAATGGGGCTTTTCTGTAGAAAAATTGTGAAGTAGGAATAAATAATAGATAATTTTGATAAGTTATGCAGTTTAGAAGAAGCTTAGAAGACGAATAATTAAGATGAAGAAAAAAGTAACAAAATATTAATATGGATAATTTAATGTATTGAACAATTAAAAATAGATTTAGGAACAAAATAATTGATGAATAGAAATAAGATTTGATTCTAGAATGTTAAATAGAAAATTCAATTCAATACATTAGTGGAGTAACATTGGTAATTATTTTAAGAATTATTTAGATTAAAGAAATAAATAATTCAGATTTAGCCTGATATGACTGTCTATGCTTATATGAATTTTAAGTCAAAGGAGCTATTCATATGAGTCATTCAATGAATTTATTTGAAGAGCTTTTTAGTATAATGAGAAAAACAAAAAAAATAGTATTAAGTTAACAATAAATAATTTAGATATTTTGAAATTCATAAGTTAGACAGAAACATAAATCAATATCCATAATTGATTTATAATAATTTTTATCTGTTGTCTTAAGGGTATTCAGAGTTTTATAAATTGTTTCCTCAAATGTGTAATGGTAATTATGTTTCAATGAATGATATTTAATATTAATTACAGATGTAATAAGAATTATTTGAAAGAAGTATTATAAGAGAGAAAATTAGATTATAGTAATTATAAAAATAGTTTGTTGTTTTTTATGCTAAATGAATAATAAATTAATATACTAATTTTATTATAAAAAATTTAAAAGAAATAAACAAATGTAATTTAAATAAAAAATATTGTCATTTTTTGAGATTATTAATAAATTCTTAATTGATTTTGTTGTTTGATTTATAGTTGAAAATTCCAGGGTGAATCAGTTAATTTAAAAATGTTTAAATGAGAAAGATGAAATGGAGAATCTATATTTATTTTGTTGACAGTTACAGGTTGAAATAAATAATTTTTGAAGGTATAGGAATGTACAGTTAATAATTAAAATAATTTTTAATAATAATATATAATATGGAATATCGTTAGAAATAATTAATGTTCAGAATTTGACTTTTTTATATCCACATCTTAGAAATTGATTCTCTTAAAGTTAATAGTAATGTGAAATGCAATTGCGTTGTTTTGTTTTTTTATCATTATGATTGAAAGAGATGGGATTTTATTGTGGTTAATAATTGTAATAAATATGAAAGTTGATAAGTTGTTCTTCTTGTGTTGAGCTATTTAAGTGTTCGACTTAGAAAGATACATCAGTCTTTAATCCCTTTTCATATATATAAATTAATTAATACCTCTGGATATAGATGAGAATATAAATAATATTCATGAGTCTGTTATGGATGTGCTAATGGTTTGGCAAATTCCATTATGTTTTTGTAATATTCTTAATTTGTACTTCCGTATTTGAGAGAAATCCTGGAAAGAATTCAAATTAAATAATTACTCTGGAATTCCGTATTTAAGACAAGAATCAATGAATTTCGATACATTAAAGCCAAGTTCTTCAATTAGGCTTATATCATATTCGACTTGTGAGATAAAAAGCTGGTCGAGATCTTTGATATATTTATATTAATAAAGTCCTGAAGCTCTATAGTTTGTTATCTGATTCTAAACATATGTTATGTTTATAAACATACTTCGAAAGTTCCGTGAACTTATTAAAGACCATTTTTAAGAGATTCAATGTATTTTTAAATGTATTAACTCAGTTCATGAATATTTGCATCGCCATAACTATCCAATTTTTTAACAACGTATTCCCATGGAGTTATTGAAAAGTCTAATTAGGTATACTAAATAACAAGTCTTCCCTTGTCGATTATTACTTTAGAGACTTTTTTGTATGGATTTTAGCTGCTAACTCCTAATTTAAGATTATTATTGAAGACGATATTTTTGGCATCAGAATAGAGATGAAAATCCTATAGATAAAGAGTAAAAAAGGAATATTACTCCATTCATTCTAAAGGTTGATAGGGGATTAAGAAACCTTTTTGGAAAGACAACAAGTTAGACTTATTTTAAAGTGTTTTTGTCATCATCATCTTCACTACAAGATGTAGTTAGTAAATGCTAATCCATCTCAATTTTTAATCAAATTAATTAAACTATATCCATTTTTAATTTAAGCATTATATAAGGCATAAATGATTATTTGTTATTTTGAAAGGAGAAAATATTATAATAATAACATTATTATTTTGATTAGAAATAATTAATTAAATTAACTTAATGATGAATATGTGTATTAATTGTTTAGTAATTGTTCATTAATTATAATTATATTTATTAAATAATAACCAATTCGAAAATACAAGTAAAGTGACCAAAATTTCTAATAGAATGAAAGTTATAAATAGGACACAAAATGTAAGAGATAAGTGAAATTATTACACACTAAATAAGTGTATTTAATAAAATAATGGATATTCATAAATATATAAATATATTTAAAAATATTGATTAATGATTTTCAGAATCTCTAGGTCATGTTTTTCAAGCATTTCTGTGAAATTAGTAAAATTGATTAAATACATAATAGCCTTCATTTAAAGTGCATCATTTAGAATTGTAGTAGCTTCCAAAGACAGCTACAACAACATCATCTGAATTGCTTGCTTATTATAAGAGTATGTAATTATAAAGACGTATGGAAATTGCATGTGATAATCTATATAAATAGAGATTAATAAGAGGTAGATAGAATATATATAAATATTATAGGATTTTTACATTTGGCAGATGGTCAAGAATCAATATATGAAGGATTGCATGCAGGATTGACATATGATGATTGTGTAATAACAGCATATAGAGATCATTGTATAGCATTACTGAGAGGAGATACACCACATCAAATAATAGCTGAAATGATGGCAAAATAAACAGGTAGTACAAAGGGTAAGGGAGGATCTATGCATTATTATAAAAAAGCCACAAATTTTTATGGAGGTCATGGAATTGTTGGTGCTTAAATTCCATTAGGTACAGGATTGGCATTTGCATAAAAGTATTTGAAAAAACCTAATGTAACTTTGATAATGTTTGGAGATGGAGCAGCTAATTAAGGATAATTATATGAAGCTGCTAATATGGCACAATTATGGCATTTACCAGCAATATATTTTATTGAAAATAATTTATTTGGTATGGGAACATCAATAGACAGAGCTAGTGCTAATACTAAATTTTACACAAGAGGAGATGTTATTCCAGGAATATAAGTATTCACTATTTTTACATTTTTAGATTGATGGAAATAATGTATTTTAAGTTAGAGAAACACTCAAATTTGCTAAAAAACATTGTCTTGAAAAAGGACCAATATTTATTGAAGCTATGACATATAGATATCATGGACATTCAATGAGTGATCCTGGTGTTACATATAGAACCAGAGAAGAAGTTTAGTAATAGAGAAAAACTAGAGATTGTATTAATTATGTCAAAAATATCATTCTTGAAAATAAGGTTGCTGATGAACATCAATTAGAAGTACATCATAATTAATTTATATATAGGAAATTGATAATTCTACTCAAAATGAAATTGATATTGCTGTTGAATAAGCTAAAGTTGATCCAGTCCCACCAAGTACAGAATTGACAACTGATGTTTATGTTGACAATGAAAATCATTTCATCAGAGGAATCTTATATAAAGATAGTGTTCTACCAAAAAGTTAATGAACAACATTTAAATAAATAATATATATATACATACATCTGATATTGTATTCCTCAAGATATTCAAATTTCTAAAAAGATATATTGTATATTTGACTGAGGAAGTATTCTAATTTTATTTTCAATCTCTTTCATCTATTTTATCTATTTCCTTATAGAAATTCTTAAAATGTTTAAATACTACTGCTAAATTACATAATATATAATAATATAGATGATCGTCACATTCTCAAATTTAAGTTTATTTTATAAAATATATAAATTTATTATGAACTTCAGATTTTTTTAACAATTTAAACAATATCTTCATCCAATAATTAATGATCCTTTCCTACTTTCTATGGATTATATTTCACACTAGCTCCCCAAACCAATGCATATCTAAAGTCCTTAATCATGTTTTTATGTAACTTATTACAAAAATCTGTTATTGTTGAAAACTTTCTTTACAATATTACAGGTGCATTGTAATCTATTAAAATGTTAATAAATTCTTACCTGGTTCTAATCCTTTAGGTTTAGTATAAATACGGATAAGATCCAAATAATCCCATATTCTTTCAACCAATTCATCCAAATTCCATTCCAAAAAGGCAGAGATAGGTACATAATGTGGAATCTTATCTAGAACATTTAATTCTTCCAAAGTTATATCATCAATCTTATTCATTACATAAAGACAAGGAATGTATTTTCGATTACCTTCAATAATATCAATTAAGTCTTCATCAGTAGCATCACATTTCAGATTAATATCACAATTATTAATCTTATATTCACGTAAGATAGCCTATAATAAATTTATATAAATTAATATATACTTTTATTGTTTCCTCATCTAATCTTGGAGCATCATGTGTTCTAGATATTGTTATACCACCTTTATCTCTTTTCTTGAATTCTATTTATGGTGGTTATTTATTTAATCTTATCCCAAATCCTTCTAGTTCTCTCTCAATGATTTTTTTATGAACCATAGGTCTTGTGGCATCCAACACAATTAAAATTAAATTACAAGTACGAGCAACTGCTATAACCTATTTACCACGACCTTTCCCATCTTTTGCACCCTCTATAATTCCTGGCAAATCAAGTAATTGTATTTTTGCACCTTTATGTTGTAACACCTATTAACATATTAATAATGTTTTACTCCAGGAATGCATGTAAGTGTTGTAAATTCATAAGCTGCAATTTTTGAAAATACTCCTGTAAGTTTTGTAAGTAATGTACTTTTACCCACAGAAGGAAATCCTATCATACCTATACGAGAATCTCCACTTTTAGAAACTTCAAATCCCTCTTATGTTCCACCTCCCTTTTTTGAAGAAGAATCAATCATTTCTCTCTTCAATTTAGCAAGTTTAGCCTTCAATAAACCTAAATGATATGATGTGGCCTTATTTTTTTAAGTCCTCATCATTTCTGTCTCAATTTCAGCAATCTTTTATGCTGTGGTCATTTTTAATTAAAATTAATTGTACAAAAACAAACATTTGTTTCAGGTCGATTCTTGTTAAATATATAAAAAGAAAAGAAATACTAACAATAACCACTTAATAATGACCTTCCAAAAAAAGATGAGCTATTTAACTAACTTGGAATTATGCCTGATAATGAATGTCTCTGTTCAATTCAATGATCATAGTGGAAATCCTCTTTAAATTTCTAAATAAATGATATCAGAGAAAGTAAATAGATCATTATATTATTTACCACCTAAACTATGTTATTTATTAAAAAATAAGTTCATAAAGACTTACTTCTTAAGAATTAGAGAATATGTTAGATGAATATAGATAATAAATGCAAAATATATGAACACTTAAATTTCTTATAAAGGTAAATCTATTCCAGATTTTGAAAATTTCATTCATCTTTTTAGGATTAATTAAATCGTGAAAAGTTATAAATGAGAACAACTCAACCTTAGCCTTTCTATTTGTAAGAATCTCATAAAAGTATTGATAGAACATTTCTAGATAGAGAAAATCAAACAATTAAAGAAGATAAAATAGAAGAGCAAATAAAAAAAGAATAAAGCATTAAATCTGCCAAATAACCACCTTCTACTAAAAATGGGAAAATAGTTGCATAATTATTAGAAAAAGAAAGAATCAAGAAAGCTGAAAAGCAAGAATAAATTAAAAAAGAAGAATAAGAAAGATTAGCAAAAAAGAAAAATATTATTAAATATGTGATTCCTTTTTGAAAGACATAATATCCAATAAGAAATATGATTTGCCATTAAAAGAGGTTTTCAGTTAAAGAAAATGAAATAACTGAATAAAATTAATAAATTGTTAAAGTAAAATGGTGTTATGAATAAAGATGAGTATATCAATATAGAGGAAACAGCTATGCTTGATAAAATTTACTATTTAAAGAAACATTGATATGAAGATGATTTCGAAAAAGAATGATTAAGATCTTTGATAACGATGAATAAATTTATATTATAATTTAATACTAGTAAAATGCATGAATAAGATTATTAAAAAAGGGTAATCAATAAAAAAACCACTCCAAATAGAGGTATTAGAAATACAGTCAAGCCTTGGTTTCCTGAACTCAAAAATCGCTTGGCTGTTTAAGGTACAATGAATCAACCAAATAGATTACGATTATAAATATTTTGCATTGCCTCCAAATAAGATGGTATCATTGCTTAAAAAAGAAAACATCAAAATTCCAACCGATACACAAATTAAAGAATTTTTAAGAAAACACTCTCTTAAACATTTGGTTCATTATAATACTGAAGATTTTTAAAATATAGAAGTTATTTAAACAAAACAAAGTCCCCCCTCAAAAAATAATCAAAATCAGAATAAATTTATAACATAACCTTATTTAACAAATAATGGATTTTTTTTGGATAAAAAAAAACCAAAAACTGCTTAATAAAATTTAGAAACCTAATCAGAGCTGTAACATTCGAAAATAAGAAATCTATAATCATAAAATGTTTAGAGAAACTAAAAAATTCAATTTCCCAATTAAGAAATGCGTTTTGAGAAGTTTAATTTGAGATTTCAAGAGTTATCAGTTAAATCTACTCCAGTATTGAATAATGCAATTTCTAAATGTTTTCCAAGCACAAATAAAATGAAAAATAATAGAAAAATAAACTTATTGATGCGATCTCTTAAGAAAATAAAATTACTTGGTCTCACAATACCTGAGATTTTATAATATTAAATATTTTAGAAAACTGCATTTGCAACCTAAAATTCAAAAGAATTTATTTAGGCCTCAAAAAATAATAATATCGATTAAATTAAAAGTTTTTTATTGATTCAACCTTTTTTGGTGTTTCAGTTTGACTATTATAATATGACAGCACTTCATTGGGCATGCAAAAATGGCTATATAGAAATAGTTGAAATATTATTATAATATCATGCAGATTTTGATGCTATTGATGTTATGAATCGAACTCCATTAAGTATTTCGATTTCAGAAAATTAAAAAGAAATTGTTAAATTACTTCTAATTTATGGAGCCTATCCTTGGAGTACTATTTTAACTGATTTAAAGAAACCTTTATAACGTTATCCTGAATTAAAAAAAATAATAAGTCAAGCAAGAAAATTTTAAATTTTAAATAAATGGAGTCGGGTCACCTAAGCTAAGTTAACAATTAGCTGGTGAAAATTAATTCTATAAGTTAAATTAAATTATTTCATTTACTAATAAGTTTCTTAAATCGATTAGTGTTAATTAAGAATAATAATTTTTTATTTTACTCTTCCTAACTTCCATTAAAAGAATAAATAAGAATTTATAAATAATTATTAATTAATTTCATTGTAATTTTTTATGTTCTTGAAGGTGATAATTTTGTTTGTTCTGTAAATATATATTATTTCTAAAATCTTCTATACAATTCCCATCTTAAAATAAAATTCTTTGATTATGTTCATAATAGTATTTCTATTAATAATTCAATTATTTTTGCATAGCTTCTAAGTTATTATTATTCCCTTCTGCTCTTAAAATTCTTAGGTTTTTTTCATAATTAATTTTGGATTATTATTATAATAACTTTGGGTTTAAATGAGAACTTTATGGTTATGGTCTCATTTGATTATCTTATCTTTAACTAGGATAATGTCCATAATTCATATGAATTGAATTAGATATACAAATTTTTTCAGACACATAATTTTAATATTATTTCGCTTATAATTAATTTATCTTCTAAAATTTTAATTTTTCATTAGTTTTTTCACATTAAGGGCATTCTCTATAATTTGTATATAAACAACAAACCCCTACTGCATGTTATTGACAACCTATGTCTTATTTTATATTGAAATTATCAAAAGGGCATTAACAATAAGTACACCTTTAAAATGTATAACCTTATTCTTTAAATTATTGTGATTATTCTAAATTTTAATTTTCAATTCCCTTTATTAAATCAAAAGGTTATGATTTCTCCTCTTAAAAATAATCTAATGCTTTTTGAGATCTTGTATATTATTTTACTTGTCTATTCAAATTTAGATCATCTCTACTTTCATATGAACTAAAAAAATGATGTTAAATAGTTTAAACATTACTATTATATATTAATATAAATTACTTAGCATAATGTTCAATTGATTTCATTGATAATTCTTACTAATTATTTTTTTAATTAGATTACTTACGAATCTCTGGAGAGATATAAAATTCATTTTAATTTTAAATATTTTGATTTTCAGTGTTCTTGATTTCTTTGTGCTCAATATATTTTTACTACTTAATTGTAGTAAGATTTTTTAATATTTCCAATTCTCTTATCATTTAATCTTCTTCTGTGATATTCTCATAATATTCTTTTATTAATTAAATATATTCATTTATTTATTAAATATTTTTAATCTCTTGAATAGCATCTTCCAAAAAATTATTTTTCAAAACTATCTACCCACAACTACATTCAAAAAAATCTTCTTAAATTTTTTTTTTTGAAGTTTAAATACAATTTAGACATACATCATGCTGACAATTGATTTTTAGACAATTTTAAGTTTAATTACACGTATTACATAAACTTTGAGGTATATTTTAAAGTTAAGGAGAAGGAACAATAAAATAAATGTTATCAAGGTTTTAAATAAGTAAAATTTCATCTTTTCCTGATCCATATTTTTCACTATTATGCAAAAAGATGATTTTTATTTATAAAAAAATTGCCAAGTCTTTCAAATTTGGCTTATTGTATCTTTTTAGAAGATGGATTTTACAGAGTTCGTCTAAAAATTATCCAATTTAAATAATATTTTTTTTATTTTGGGATAATGAATCAAAAACTTATTAAATTGGATTCCTTACTTCTAAACTTTGAATAATTAATTAATGTATTTAACGAAAATCTTCCTTTAAGTCTTTATCATTTATATTCAGAAATTTTTAAATTGGTTTATAATTTTTCTAGTTTAGGAAGTAATGTATGATAGAGCAAAAAAGAGCAATATTTTAATCATTTCCTAAATTTTACCAATATTGCTATTTCTCTAATTCAGAATGCTGAGATTTTATTGAATCTGGAATTAAGCTAGTTGAAAGCATAATTTTATATAAAAAATTATTTCTATATTAATTAATAGGTTCTTATTTCATGATTAATAAAGAAAAAAATTCATAGTCCGAATTCCCTTATATAATTTTTCCTCTTATAAGATTATTTAAATTTATACACAAATAAAGAATTAAGCACAAGCTTAATCCTTTTAATATAATATTTAAGCGCTTTCATTTTTATATGATTTAATTATCCATCTAAATTATTAAAATAGAATAATTTATGAAGCTTTTATTGAATATATTTTGTACTTTTAAAATTTTTAAGCAATTACATATTATTTTTTTTTAAGAGAAATTTTTTTGGATTTTCCTAGAAATATTTATTTGAAGAGAATATGTAGGATATAAGGGTAATATAATGCAATAAATATTATCATTTATTTTTAGAGAGAATTAAAAAAAAAAATTGTATTTCTTATGCAATACCATTTGAAAACTCAATTATGAATAAAATTAGGTTATATAAATGAATATCTGTAAAGTATGAAATATATATAATTATTATTTTCTACTTTGGAAGGATTTTGTGAAAATAACAGGATATATTATTTCCAAATTCTATCACTAAATTTTTAATTTTTTAAAAATATTTTTAATAAAAATATCAATAAAAAAATTATTAAGAGAGATTTATTATAAAACTTTAATAATAAAATATTCTAAGAAAATATATATATAATCTTTATGAATGCTTGATCAGACATTTAAATTATAAAATTAATGCCTTTTATAGATTTCTAAAGCCTTTTAGAATCATTTAATCAACTAGATGATAAAATATTAGCTTAGATAAAAAAATTCAATGATCATCAAATTACTGAAAAATTTTTAAAAATAAAAATTTCGGTTTTTAATTAACTTGCAAATCAAAAAATATAAAATTCATATTAGTGGTAGTCTAATTTGTGAATGATATAAAAATTTAATAGGTTTTTAGAATTAGAAAATAACTTTTATGATGAGATAAAAATTTTAAATATAAGTTCAATTTTATTTAATAGTTTTATTGGCTGTATTATTTTTGACTTTATTTATCTAATTTTGATAATTATAATCAAGAATCTTTTGGGTTGAATAAATAATTGATCCTAAGAAGCTAAGGAGGATTCCAATAAGAATTTAAGTATTATATTCTTCATTTAGGTAAAAGAAGGAGTAAGAAGTCATTACTAAATCTTTAAGATTGTTAGTGATAGCAATAGCTGTTGGAGAATTATACATAGTACATAAGTTTGTAAAATAGCAAAGAATGACTCCCATAAAAGATGATAAAATAAATATTAGAAGAAAATATTAATATTAATTAATGAGATTAATAAAATTATTAATTTCTGATGTTGTGATAATTCCTAAAATTAAAAATGGTATTTAGTTATATGCATTTTAGTAAGTTAATTCTAATGGATGAATAAATTTATCAGTATTCAATTATTTAGATTTATTTAAAGCTAATGCATTAAAAAGATTATTAAATAAAATAAAGATATAACCTTGGATATTTTGATCAAAATGTTGGATGCCTAAGAAAATTAGATTAAAGTACCTGAGAGAATAGCTCCAAAAGTAATTAAAAAGACTGGAATGAAAGTAGTTATAGAATATTTTTTCGACATTAAAAACACAAAAAGTATGAGTGTTCTTCTTAATGAAGTGTAGAGTGAAATGTTAATGATTTATAATCCTCTAATTCCAGTATAGGTTTAAATAGCATAAAGAAGAGAAAACAAAAAGGTTTCTTTTGAGAAATGAGTACGTTTGTTGAGGATAAGACACATGAGGACAGTTAAAATATTTTCACACAAAAGTAACTTAATTTATTAGCTATATATTACCATGAAGATCATTTGGGATTGGAAAGTGATTGATAAATATTTAACTGTCAAAGCAAAAGAGAATGAGCTTATTCCATAGAGTAAACAGTATATTAAACTGAATAAATGATTCATATAATAATTAATGAATAAATTAAACGAGTTATTAATCGATTAGGATGAGAAACAATCAAATTTAATCACTCAATATTGCAAACCTTTAAGAATTCTAGGAAGAGGAGCATTTTCAACAGTAATAGAGATACAAAATTTGATGACAAATAAGAAGGCAGCTCTTAAGATTATTGATAAATATAATTTCAATAATTTACAATTAGAGGTGATAAGAAAGGAAGCTCAATTATTAAATTAATTGAATCATTAAAATATTGTAAGAGTTACATTTGTATGATTGCTTTGTGTTATTTTAGAGTAAAGAAACCAAAAGTAAATTGTTTATAATGATGGATCTAATTACTGGAGTTACATTGGAATAGTTCTAATAAAGAAAGTTAGATGATTAGATAATTTTGAGTATTGTGAAGTAGTTATTACAAGCAATCGAATATTTGCATTCTAAGGATATAATTCATAGAGACATTAAGCCAGGTAAGTTGAGTATAATTGATTTTTAGAGAATATTATGATATCTTAAATGGGAGAGGATGTGCATTTAACTCTTATTGATTTTGGACTTTCAACTTAATTGACTTATATGGAAGGTTCTGGGATTATGAGTGATAATTGTGGAACTTTTTTGTACATGGCTCCAGAAATGATATAGAAAAAGAAATATAATAGAGTATAATCAAATTCTTAAATTGTAAGAGCGTGGATATATGGGCTATGGGCATAGTAGTTTTCAATCTCTTAACTTAAGGCAAACATCCCTTTTATTAGTAATTTGATGATAAAGAATCATATTGTGAAAATATATAATGGATGAAATGGAATTGGTAACCTGGAATTAATAATAATTCTATTAATTTCTTAATTAGAACAGTTGCCTATTTACCAGAAAATAGACTCAATATTATTTAATGTCTAGAACATCCTTGGATTACTGGTAAAGAAGATTCATCTGAGCCTTTTACTTTTATTGAAACACTTAAAAGTCATTGTAATTTTAACAAAATTAAGTCACTAATTTAAGCTATTTAATTTCTTCAATAACTTAAAGATTTGTGTCCTAACGTAAATTAATTTAGACATTATTCAACACCTCAACAACCTAATAGTTAAATAAGAATACCTAAGATTAAATAATAATCTAATGAAAAGTTTAAATCATTCAAATAAGAAGCTCTTCATGGATCAAATGTTGATAGTGCATCGATTGGTTCTAATAAAGTTTCTTAATTCAAAATCTAAACAATTACACTCAAAACCTAAAGAAGAGAAAGAACTTCTTGTGATTAAATGTAAAAATTGTAATAGCAAAAAGAAACTTCCAAATTTTTATTTCCTCATTACCCTAGATCATTGGATAGAAGTGTTAAGTCTGTTTAAACAACTAATACAACAGCTGATAATTCATTAAATCAATCATCCATTCTATAAAAATCGGGTATCATAGAAAATAAATAATCATAGAATACTAAATCAACTCTTCAATAAGTAAGTAAAATTTGAAATACAATATTAGTTAAAAAGAACAACTCATGTATCCAGAGGTTAGAATATACTTACACAATAAGAATTCTTAGCCAGTTAGAGGGTGAGAACTAATAAACCTCCTATTTAAAAAAAGTCTTAAAATGATTGAATTAAAATATATACTGTATAGATTTGATAATCGCTTATATATCATTTAATTATAATTTAAAATGTCTTAATTACTTAAACAGGTAATGATTGATGAAAGTGATTACCTACATGAATTAAATAGATATGAATCAAAGTAAATTTTAGGAAAAGGAGCATTTGCAACAGTTATTTCTGCTTTTGATAAGGTTATGAGAACCAATGTTGCCATTAAGGTAGTTGAAAAAAATTTGTTCAAAAGTAAGGAATAGGAGGATGCTATACGTCAGGAAGCAATAACACTTTAAACTCTATTCCATCGAAATATAATTAAGATATTGGGAGTATATTAATTATTCTATAACTTATCCTAAGTTTCTTGAGACATAGCAAAAGTTCTACATAGTTATGAATTAGGTAGATGGTGTAACATTAGAAAATTATATACCTAAACTATAGTAAAATGAAGTGATTCCAATAACAAAACAGATTTTAAAAGCTTTGAGTTATTTACATTAAAAAAACATAGTTCACAGAGACATAAAACCAGAGAATATTCTTATAAGTAAGTCTGGAGGAGAATTAGGAGTGATTCTGATCGATTTTGGTTTATCAACATAAGTTAATAGAATAGAAGATGGCTTAATGAGTAAGAATTGTGGGACATTGTTGTACTAAGCACCTGAATTGATAAAGAAAGTTCATTATACAAGAGTATATATAAATATATATGAGTTAAGTCAGTAGATATTTGGGCTTTAGGGATAGTAGTTTATAATATGTTACATAATGGAGAACATCCATTTTATGAAAATGGCGATAGCAAGATCATATATGTTGAGAAAATTAAAAATTTTTCACTGAACCTTAAAATGAAAGAAGATTAAAATGCAAAGAATTTTTTAGAAAGAACAATAGCATATTTACCAGAACATCGTTTAACAGCTGATTAATGTTTAGAACATCCTTGGATTATAGGCAAAGGCGATATATCAATACCATTCACATTGAATGAAATAATTTAATTTTAAGTCAAAAAAGAATAAAAAATAGCTAAGTTTATTAAGATGTTTGTCTTTCTGAAATATTTACATAAAAGATAATATGATATATAGACAGATGAAATAAATGAAGCTGGATCTCCAAATGATAATGTATCAATAATAGGATCAGAAATTTCAATGTCTTCAAATAAATTTAGAATACGTCCATTAATGATGAAATCTTAGACTAGATTTAATAAAAATGATAGTTCTAATAATTCTTTTTTTGGAGATAGTAGTAGAAATACAACAGATATGATACCTGAGACAATAGTACATGTAAACAAACCAAGTTTTGTAAAAAAATAATTAAGAAAAAGTAATTCAATGAATCCTTAGGAGATGATGAATAAATTGAAATTGGTAAAGAATTAAAATTGTTTATAAAAGGTACAATAATTTGATTAAATGTAGGAAACATAATTGAAGAATAGAAGAATAATGAAAAATGTGAATAAAAGTAGTTATAAGTTGGTGACTGAACCTCAGAATTAATTGAATACGATAACAGATTCACCAATAGGGAATAGATTTCGAAATTTTTAAAGATCAAATTTTTGTAAAAAACCTGCATAATTATGATTTTTTGTATATTATTTAATATAATGTTAAAAATGTTTAGATAGGCTAATTTATTTAAGCCTTAGTTTATGAGAAGATATGATTAAGCAAATTCTCCTCTTCATTTAGCGATAGGTGACACATCTGAATTAAGAACAAAGTTATTTCCAGAGAAGAGGAGAATCCCAGGAAGAAAAGGGAAAATAATCATAGCAATAGGTGTTTTATTTTAAGTTTGGGGGATAATGCATATAGTGGAAGTGAGGAGATAATTTAGGTACGGTTGAATGGCTAAATAAAATAGACGAAAAGAATTAGAGTTGAAAAAGATGTAGAGAAAATCTATGCCATTTTATTAAGCTATGCAAGATATTAGATATTTAGCAGCAGAAGATAAGAGGAACATATTGATTGAAGAATTATTTGCTGATCATGGATCTGATTATATCAAATAGATTACTGATATTTATTTCCAAAAAGATGTGTGGTATAATAATTTATAAAGAATATAGGGTTCCATTTAAGAAAAGATCTGCTCATCAATATACAAGAGCAACTAAGGACCCCTATCCTTACTTTGATATTCCAGGATCACGTTTCTTGCATGGTTACGACGTATACAATATTTGATTTAAATCATAAATATTAAATAAATAAATATAATATTATAATGTTAAAAATTATCATTACATCATTGCTGTTATCATCTGTACTATCTACTAGTAAACCTACTATTGGAATTTTAACTAATCCATCAGATCTCAAAGATTATGACAAATCACTCTATTCATATTTTCCTTCCAGTTATGTGAAATGGATTGAATAAGCTGGAGCAAGAGTTATACCTATTCATTGGGATAGTTCTTATGATGAAATTACTGTCATTCTTAATTCTATTAATGGAGTCCTCTTTACTGGAGGTGATGTAGATTTATATTTAAATAATACTCAACCAGGATTCACTTTTAATAAATTTACTGATACTGCATCATTTATATTCTAAAAAGTTATATAATTCAATAAATCTGGAAAATTCTATCCTCTATTAGGTATATGTCAAGGTTTTTAATTGATTAATTATATTGCTTCATCATATTATGAAGTCTTAACTAGAATGACAGATGATTTAGGAAAGTAGAGATTACTTGAAATTGTTCCAGATGAAGATTCTTTTGTTTTAAAATCAATTGATACAATTACTTTAGATTATCTAAAGAATATAGGTAATTATTACTTTTATTATTATTATAGATGGACCATATTATTCTCATAATTGGGGAGTTATATAATAAACATATGAGAAGGCCTATTCTTTAGGAGCTTTCTTTAAAATAATTGCTTATAGTAGAGATGGAATTGATTTAAAATATGTTGCCATTTGTGAAGCCAGAGAATTTCCTATCTATGGTTATCAATTCCATCCAGAAAAACATTAATTTGAATGGATAACTAAAGCAACTCATGATGTTTAACATATCAAATATTCATAATAATTAGCTATGGATTTCATTTCTATGGCTAAAAAGAATGATAATACTATCTCAGATGAAGAATTGGCTAAACTAATAATTTACAATTATTAATAAATCAATAGAATGGATAAACCAAATACTAGTTTTTCTTAGGTATATCTTTTTGAAAGATAACGTAATGAAACCAAATCTGATCAACAATAATTAGGCATTTATTACAATATCAAATTCTTTAGAAAACATCACTGATACTTTGGTTTCTATATGTAACAAAAATAATAATAAAATTATTATATATATATGCTACCTTCTGTAACACCTATTAAAGAATTTCAATCATAGCCTTTAGTTAGAAAAATCATGAAGTCCTAATTAGAAAGCACTATCAAATCAAATAAGTCTTCATCTGATATCATTAACAAACAATGCAAATCCTCATATTAACATTATAGAAAATAGAACAACCCATAAGAAGAAATCTAGGTCTAAAAACTCTTTTTTAGAAATAGAGAAAGCTCTTCAAGAGATACACCACCATCATTTCTTATTACTAAACATTTTGAAAGTAGATAAGAAATCAAGCCGCTAACTATTGAAGAAACTAAATATTAAGAAAAAATTGAATTTCATGGCAAAAGATTGAAGTTAAATCAAGATTCTATTGAAAACAACCTCATGAAAAGTTTCTAACGCTTTCGTTTACAAGAAAATGTTTGTTAAAGATCCATTGTAACTTCATAAAGAGCCAAACGTTCTTCCATTACTATGGAATAAATATCTACCAGAGATCGTTTTTTTACAAAATAACCAGGGTAGTTGTCATCACTATTTTAAGAATGCGACAAATTGTAATTGTAAATCAATTATATGTAAATACTAATTCGTTGCAATATATATTCATGTATGTACCTGATCATTCTAATAAGGATAAATAAGTTTTTGAAGAATTCACTTCAGTTGTCAAAAACAGGTTTTTTGTTCAATTTTATTTATAGACTTAAGATTAATTCCAAAAAAATATACTTCTATTTGAAAGATGGAACTCCTGTTTATTCACATTTAGATATTCCACCAAAACAGAGTGTTCTAATTTATTCAACTTCTACGGTTTATAAATAGATTTTTAATCCATAATTACTCTATCTCGAAAATTGTTGTGCCCTTTACAATTGTGAAGAAACAACTAAAAAAAATTAACCAGATTATTCTTAATAGATTGATAGTATAATTCATACATTGGTTCATTAAAATTATTAATCTATTGATGATGAGTATCAAGTAGATAAAGTACCTGAAGAAATAGAAGTTAATTAATAATTTATGAATTCTAAAGAACTCAAGCATTCATATAAAGAAATTAAACGAAACAAAAATTTTAAACCAATAATCAATAAAATGTTCTAGCCTTGTAATGCTGTCAAATAAAAAAATTACCTATAATAATATATGAATGATGAATATATTATCAAAAATCCTAAAATTGAAAAATTAGAAAAAATTGAGGGATGGTATGAATAAGAATTGAAAAAGATCAAGTTCAAACCAGAAGAAGAAAACTCTAGTGAAGATTTAATGGCTGTTCATATTGATAGTGTTTCTAGTCAATAAACAATTGAAAAGTATTAAATATTTTTTAAATAAATAAGTTAAATATCTGAAGCTGCCAAATTGTTAGAACCTCTACTCAAGAAATTCTTAAATAAAAGTAATGGTTACTCAAGAGAAGATGGACCAGAAGTCAATTTTAATAATGATGATGAAGAAGAATAACCTTAAACTATTAATCATATCCAGTAAAATATTAGAGAATTAATTACAAACAAAGGAAGTCTACATAAATTATTAAAAATTAACAAAGAAATGTTTATTTAAGCAATTCCTAAAATATTGTCTGAAACTAATTTCTCTAGATATGAATTACATAATACTTATATACTTTATTGTGCTCTATAATAAATTACTTCTTAGCGTTATAGATATTATAATGTGGATGATGGAGTTGATTATAATACATATAGAATGGGAATTTATTAGATTTTCATGCAAAGTGAATACTTAGCTTAGGAAATCTTTAATAAAATTGATTTTAATTATAGTGGTTTTTTAAATTGGAATGAATTTCTTAAATTGATGGTCAGTATTAGAGCAAAAACATTGGTTTAAAAGTTAGATTTATTTATTCAAATATCAGATAAGGATGGTAATGGATAATTATGTTGGGATGAAATCTTTTAATTATCAAAAGTTTGTTTATCAAAGTATATTTAAAATAGTGATGATTTCTTGGATATGCTATGTGAATATTATACTAGATTAATATTTAAAGTTGTAGAAAAAGAACCTCATGAAGAAATTCCATTTTCAGCTATCAAAGATGCTATATTAAATTAAAAAGAAGATTCTGATTTACTTTGCATGTTTTGTGGAGCAGATATTTGATTAATTACAATTTATGTTTTTTTCCTGTCATACCTTTTTTGTGTTTAAATAAAAATAAAATTAAATATTTTACATTTTAAAACTGATCAATTTATATTAATTCTCAATATTTTAATTGTTGATTTCATAATCCCTTTCTTTGTCATCTAAAATAAAAGATTCTTATGGATAGTCGAATTAACTTTTATCATATTTAATTCTTAATTGAATTAAACTGTTCAAATAAATTTATCAATTTATATTCCAAAACAATTTATAATCCCAGTGCAATAATTAATCAAACAGAGAATTAAAAAATTCTCATTTTCTGATTACAAAAAGAAAAATAATAATTATAATTCCAATTGAATATGGAATTGCATTCTGAAAAATATTAAAATACTCTAATTATGAAGAAAAAAATGAAAATTTAATTTAATATTAATTACTACCTAATAATTTCTATTCTATCATCCTTTATTTGAAGTGAAGCTTTAAGATTTGATTTAAACTTTTTTTCACTAATTATTATATATAATGAATGAATATATTCATAACTACAAATTTCCATGATTAAAATTGCATATATGTTTAATATGAAAACCTAATTTTTGGATTATTTTTATTTTTGGAAGTTACTCTATAAAAAATTAGAATATTTAAGAATAGGCAAATTTAAACTAATTTAAATTTTCTAATAATCTGATTTTTTTCAATATTTACTAATATTAAAATAGAAAAAAAGAATCTCTTTAAATTTTTGGAATATTTAAGTTTAAATATTAATTAAAATAATATAAATTAAATTTTAAATTATAAGATAAGGAAATATAAATCAAGCCCAAAGCAAATAATTTGTAAAAAGAACCAATCCTCCCAAATTGAATTACAATATATAAAATAATACCCATTTATTAAATTTACTATTCTTTTTATAGAAGATCAGCTAAACAACAATACAATGGAATTTGAGTACTGAAGAATCTAGTACTACAATTTACATGGGCTATGAAAGTTGAAATTATAAACAAAGTTATTGTAGGTAACATTATTGAAACTCCTTGAATATCTTTCTTAATTGTATAGTGATCAAATCTCATAATAATTGAATAATTATAATAGATAATGAATCTTCAATATCTATTATAATTATCCATTTGTATAACCAAAATCCTTAATTTCTATTTGGCAAATAAAACATTATAGAAATACTTATCAAGTAAATAATAGCAATAGGAATTGCTCCTATAATGGTTGTAAATACTTATTTGAATTTGTAATATTTAAGTAAATTGATTACCTTAATTAGAAAAGGATAACCAGAAAAAGAATGAAAAACGTACCATTAGATCTTAGATAAATTGATTATGTAAAAATAAATGAATTCAAATAAGGTTTTTGTTTTATTTATAAATATATTGCTAATAATACAAGAAATGTAAAATAAGCTTTTTTATATAATGAATTAAAAAATACAGATGCAGGAGTAAAAATTAATAGTATGACTGACAATAATGAGAATTTTTGATTATTATTTGAATAATGCATACTAATCCTATAAATTAACTCTGATGAAATAGAATTGCATATTTTTTGTAATATTAATATGCAAATTAAAGAGTTTGAAAATAGTTTACGAATTAGAAGTATTTCATATCCAAATGCATGATTTTTAAAATATCTGTAATAATTTTCCATAATTTCCATAAAAAATAATCAATCTCATTTAATCAATTAAATAGCAGAGAGGATGCCATGTAATAGATATGAATAAAGAGATATATATTAATTTCATTATAATAAATATTCAATTTATAAAGGGAAGTTATACGACTCGTACAATAGTTTCTAATATAATAGATATATTAAATTACATTTTTGAATAGAAATGATTTCAAAAGGGGTATTAATGTATGATTTTTGATCACTCTATAACATATCTAATCTAATAATTCTGATGTAATTTAATCATAATTTCTATTGATCTAGGTTAAAGATAATATCTCTATAACTTTAAAACCATAATAATCATTAGCCATTTACAAATATTGACAGATCTCTTTCAATTAGTAAGGATAATGGTATTTTGTTATTGATTTTAATATAGATATACAAATTTCTTCATTATTTAAATTGAGTAACTATTTGCATATTTAATCCCAAACTATAATTAGTTATTCTTCATGGAAATGTTTCCAATTAGAGAATTAAAGAATTTCAAAACCTAATTAACTATATTCTGAATTAAGTAATTTAAGAATGGAAATTGAGAGATCAGGTGATAATAATTCTTATTTTGATTTTATGAGTATATTTAGACAACTAAGTGCAGAAATAACATAAGTTAAATTAATTGATTGGGACCATTTTTAAAGTTCATCGAAAACTAAATCTACTTCCATTTCGTTTAAATTAGGTACTTGAATTAAAAATAATTCAAGAAATTGGAGAGTCATTGGATCATTGAAAGTTAAAAATATCTAAATGCCTGTATTTTGAATCAATTTTACTAGTATAGGTTATGAGGCCATTTCCATCTAATTAATTAGAACTATTAAAATCAAAATAACATATGAAATATACTTAGACACTTAAAACATAATAGCCTACATCCATTTAATATTAGATAGTATCTATAAAATTCTAAATTAATAAATGGTATAGTGATGATAAATTGACATTTTGACTCATTGTTGTAATTTGTTGAATTGATTCCTTATATAATTTAAATTACTAGAATTACTTAATATTCTAATGAATCATAGTGTTATTAAGTAAGAATTTGTTCTAATTTATCCAATTTGAAAACTAAAAGAGATGACAATCTATTTTATTGAAACAGTTTATTAAGTACAATTTATCGTTGTTTAGCTCGAAATTGCTACCTTTTTAACGCAATCATTAAATTTAAATTTATATATAAATATAATTATAATGTGTCTTATATAAATATTACACAATATTGTATTATGATTTTTTTTAAGTAAAATATATATATTTTTCTAAAATTAAAGTGTCTTTACTATTCAAAGCTGATTATCCAATAATAGTAATTTGTAATAGTGTAACAGGCATAAAAACTATTAGACCAATAGATTGAGTTTCAGATAATTCAAGTATGAAATTGCAATAATTTCTAAAAATATGTTTATGTATATTGATTTAAATTCTGAAGTTTATTGAATGCCATTTTATGACATAGTAATAATTTTATTAAAATTTTTATTGATTTTTTATTTTTTATTTAATATAATTACATTCAAATACCTGGAGGAGGTTTAGGAAAGTAAGGATTTATTTAATTATTTTCATTCCATTTTAATGGCACCTTTAAAGTACTCTATTCAAATTGAGGTAATTTATGTTAAATTTAATTCAACATTGATTCCAATCTTTGAACACTATTTTTATCAACCATTTCTTCATCAGAATCTTATGGTAAAAATATTGGATCTTTAGTATCCCAACATTCTTGAGAAGATTGAGTATTCATTGTTATTTATGTTGGAATTGTAAATTCTACTCTCTAAAATAAATTGAAATTCTTTTAATTTTAAACTTTTCTTTATTCCACTACCTTTTCCTAATATTCAGAAATCTAATCTTCATCTAAACTCTCACCTTAACTAAAATGAGATGAACTCTCATCAATTTGAGATTATAAATTAGTGTAAATAATATTTTCTTTACTCATTATATCTTCTTGTATTAGTATATCCTAAATATCATCTACTTTATCAGAAACAACCTCATTTGTTTCAGATTTACTTTGTAATTATAATTAAATAGATTCTTGAATCCTAAAAATAGATTAAAAATCTATCTATCCTTACAAAACATTTCCTTCCATTGCAATCTTTAAATCCTATGATTTTTTTATATTATTTCTTAACAAACTAGCTATATATAACATATTCAAAATTGAGATTACTATTATTATTATGTTTGGTTTCTCTAAAATTACTACTTTTTATTATGAAATTAGTATTTTTGTATCTTGTTTTATAATTTTCTTTAAAATTTATTCATTATATTTTTAATTAGATCTATAATTAATAAGAATCTCAGAATCCTATAAGACATCAGTCTAAATCTTAATTTTATTTTTACCAAAAGAATTCAATAATTCTTTAGCTTACTATTTATGATATTTTGAATCTGAATAGAAATTTTGTTTACCCATATAATCAATATGTAAAATATCAGATCTAGAATTTGAAGCAATATTGGTAGCCATTGTTAACAACGAAATATTTTGATGTTTAATTTATTGATTCTCAACTTATAATAATTGAATATTTTCATTAAAAGTACTTCTAACATAGATATCAAATTATTGCATTTTTTAATTCATACTTGGATCTAATGTTATTACAGAAGGGTAATAATTTACAGAACCCTTCTATACTGAGTATGTTACATCTATTTCAATGATTTCATATTAACTTCTAAAAACCAATTTACTATTGGCCAGTATTTCATAATAATTTGTATTAATGATAACTTTTAATTCAATTCTTTAAAAAGGTTATATTTCAAATGAAAATTTACGTTTTGAAGCTGATTTTATATCATTTCTATTTACCAACAATACTCTAATTGGATTTTTTTTCTTTTCATTTTGTTTATATGAAACATCAATTTTGACAGGATTTGGATTATAAAAAGAAAATTCTTTTGAATATTGTTAATAAATGCCTAGATTATTAAATTCAATAGTTGAATGTTATCCTTTTACATTACATTAGCCTATTAATTTAGTTTAACACATTAGATGTTTATCATAGACAATTAACTTAATTGGCACTCTTAAAAAGTATGATATTTCTACTGCTAACCAAATTTCAAATGATTTTGATTGAATATTTGAGATAGATTGTTCAAATATCACAGTGCAAATTTTAGTTTTTTGAGTAGTTTAATTTGATGGTAAAACAATTTTTTCAAAAACAACTTTTAAAAGCGGAGATGAAGTAAATATATTAGTTATCATAAGTTCTTTATTTATTAGATTTTTAAAGTAAAGATGCTTAGTGATTCGAATTTACTAATTAATAATGCTAACCTAAAAGTATAAATAAACAATTATACATTCTAAGCATGATCAATCAATCCACCTGTTATATGAATTTCATCTATGTTCAAATATATAGCCAGATCTGAATACCAAAATGGATTCTGATTCTCTAGATTATCTATCTCTTATACTATTGCTTTAACCTTATTCTAACTCACAGAATCCTATAACATTTAATTACGAGCTTCCTTTACTTATTGATGGTCACTAACACAAAAATGAATCCCTAAACTTATGAAGTTGTATTTTCAAACCTTTTATCTAAAAAGAGTCCATGTTTTACTTACAACTCTCAATCTGTCTACTCTATATCAAATATAATAATATAAACAGGAACATTATATTAATAATAAATATATAAATTCTCTCTAATAAATACTATCAATCATAATCCTAATCATTATTCTTTACTCTTGATATAGAACTGCCGATTTCATTACCTTGAAAACCACAAATTTATGATCATTTTATACTATCTTAAATACAGTCTAATAAAAATCTAATTGAATCTCTTATCTACAAAGTTGAATCTTTCAGTCTATTATATAATCTTGGGAATCATATTAATATTTTTACTCATCTAATTATTTCTGCTATTTATTCAATCCTTTCAATTTTACTATACCTTTTAATTCTTAATTATGAAGTACTGCAATAATTATTGAAACAATATCCAAATTGATTCGATTTATTAACAACCAATCTTTTAATCAAATTTTAAATTATTTAAAATTCCTGTTTCTTCAAAAATTATTACAATCTTAGAAGTTATTTCATTCATTCAAAAATGAATATATTGAGAAAAAAAATAGTTTAAGTCATAATAATTTTATAACTAGTTATAATTCCTTTAAATAACTTGATTTCTATAAAATTAATATTTCTTGTATGTTGAGCTCATTGAATGATTCAATTAAATTTATAAATTTCGTATATTGTTTGACTTACATCATTTTATTCAAAGCTAATTTTATTTAATAATATTTTCAAAAGAATGGATATATAAAAATTCTAAATAAGTTAAACTTTAGGATAATAAATTAATTCAAACTTGATTCTATAACATAATTCAATTTCTATTGTCTTTTTTTATTTGAGTATACTTTGAAGAATCCTAAATACCAAAATAAATTAACTAAATTATATCTATAATATATGTGAAAACATAACATGATTTTAATATATTTTTGTTACTAGATTGATTTATAGTACAATATCATGAAATCAAAATATTTCAATCCAAAATAAGAGTAGAATAAATTTAAATGAATAAAAATTATTTAATATAAAATTAATAAAAGAGTTCATATTTAAAATTGATTACATTTTTGAATGTGTTTAAACATCGAATTGTTTTTAGAACTAAAGTAATATTTTGGAGTATCTAGATATGCACTTTTATTATAGGAAGCGGTAGAATTGATATCTAATATTTCACTTTAATGTTAATGTGATTACAATTAAGGTTGGATGTTGACGATAGATGAAAAATTGTAATCAGGAGTTTTTAAATAAGTTGGAGAATTCAATTCACTAGATTGATTTAATTCAAATTTATCAAAAACAATTTAATTTGATTGAATTGATTTATCTAAAATAATAGGATGTTTAATATTTCTGATTTGCCTCATTTTAACAATCATTTATAACTTTTATTTTAAAATTTTAATTCTAATTTTTTTTGGATTGCAAACACCTTTAAAAATAATATCTTATAAAGCTTAATTCTTTTTTAGTTTGCTAGAATTCAAATTTGATGATAGTCCTAAGAGTAATGGAGCAGTATTTGGTTTTATTTTATTTTTAACAAGTTCTTACATTGCTGCTTATTAAGTTAAAGGATTAGTTCTATCATAATCAGTAGGTAATTTCATATAGATATCTTCATATCTAACTTATTCTTCTTCTTCATAAATATCCTTATACAAGATTCTATGTATTCTATATGTAGGAATGATTAGTTCTAAACCAGATATTACTAAAGATGCAACATTGATTGTCTAACATAGTTAAGTTGAATGAAATGAATAATCTATTAGAAATTACATGGTACTTAATAGAAGTGGAGATAGGTCTAATAAACTTAACATTTCTCTATCAAGATGACTACTTTGAAAAGGAGGCTTACAATTTCTTCGTAAAAGCAAATACTTTTATATCCAATAATATAATATCAATCCAATCAATCCAAATAAAATTGAAATAGGAATTATGGGAGCAAAGAAAAGTGTAAGCCAAGTAGTCTTGCATAAATATGCATATTAATCATAGAATGAAACTTAAGGACCTTCAAATAATTTATTGGCTTCTATCTAATTTAAATCAGTATTTTTTTCAATTCTCATTTACTTTAATTTCTTAATTAAATAAAAAATATTAAAATAAGCTGATAATGGTACTAATAGAGCATTAGTACCTGATACATATAAAATATCATCTGCTATTCCTCCCTATTATTATACAGCTAAATTAAATAGATGTTTATCTTATTTCGAATACTAATAATAAGTTCCAATCACATTAATTATTATTACTAACAAACAAGAATTAATGAACTAAACATAACTTAACTTTTCAGCCATCGAAGTATCCTAATGAGTTTTTGTAACATGTCTCTCTTAATTAGCTAATTTAGTTATAAAATAATAGATGAGTCCATCAACTATTGTAATTATCAACGATTTTGATAATGAAGAAATCGTTTTCATTAGAAATTAATTATTTTCTGAAGTCAAAAAAAATTGATTCTAATTTAACATTAAATTCTACTTAAAACACATTTAAACCATAAAGTGTACATAAAGATATACCCAACAAAAAAAGAATAACGAACCAACTTAATATTCTTCTCTTTAGATGATTATATTCATCTGTACCACAATTCTCCCAAAATACATCATCTGGTTCAGGAGCTCTTGAAATTTCAATATAATGATGTTTTAAGTAAAATCCTCTTCCATCTTTCTTTTTAATTATTGATTTCAAAACTATCATTAATCTTTCCCAATATGAAAGTTTTGTTTACTCTAACAAATTTTGTAGTTCTAGATTTTATTTAGTATTAAATACATTTTTTTGTTTGAAACGTAATAAAGGCTATTTAAGTAGTTTTTTAATATGAACCATTTTCTATCTCCTCTTCTATCTTTTGTTGTTATTTTGAAATTTCTTTAATTTATTTTAATAATTTCTCTCTATTATTATATGATGACTTTTCAAGTTATTTTTCTAATTATATCTTTTGTCTTCCTTTATCAACATATTGTGCTATATCATAAGCGATATTGATCTTTACTACTTCATAATTATTTCTTGGATCAAACTCTTTACAATATTGTTCTAAAGCTATTTTTAATTCTTTTTCATTATAATCATTTTTTGGTAAATTGTTCATAATCGCTGTAAAATCAGATGGAGACAATAATTCTTTGTCTATTGCATATTCTATTTTGTGTTATTTCTCTCGAATCAATACCATTAAAATTTTTACAATTATTACCGAAGCTAGTATCAATGAAGATTAGATTAATTTATTTTCATCATCTAGTTATTTATTCACAAATGATATTTTCGATGTTTAAGACTATATACAAACATCAGAATAATGTTAACAGATAGTCTCACAATTTTAAAATAAATTCTTAAAATCTTAATAATCTATATGTTAGAGTGGACAATTTTAATTACAACCATTTTATTTCCAATATTTATATGCATAATTACTAGGGGCAATACAATTATTTGATAAATAATTATGAGAAACATTTGGAAGTGTAAAAATAAAAAATAAAATTAAGTGTAACAGTATAATGAGCTGCATTAAGTTAAAAAATAATGGAACACCTTATCCTAAAAATGCTAAATTTATGATATTAATATTTAAATGTATAGGCAATTTCTTAATGCTAAGTCCACAACATTGACAGTAATCAGAGTTTTTAACATTCTAACCACAACTAGTTGCTTACTAATATAAATTACTTAAAATTTACTTGATGTTATACTGCATATTATAATTTAGGTGGTTTCTAAAGAGGATCAAATTCTAATGTTTCACCAATAAATTTTGGATAATTCATATATTAATATATTATATATAATAACACTACCATCTATATGTAATTATTTAGAAATAAATAATGATAATAGAAATGTATGTTAGAAGGTTATCAACAATTAAAAAGATTCATCAAAAAATATATTGTTTGACTTATAAAATAATTTCAAAAAATATTTTTAGTTTTTTTTAAGTCTAAATAAGTTTAAGAAAATTTCTTACCATCAATATGATATTATTTGTTTGAGAGATTAGTAATTTATTAAATTTACAATTAATTGAAATACATAAAACGTATAAATTTATACCTTTTGTGATTAGAAAACAATAATCACTGTTTAAAATAAAATCTTTTGTTAATCATCAATATAATCAAGATTATTCTTATTGATCTTAAAGTAACTCTTAACCTTCACTTTGCATAGTTTTACTTTTATGCAATCGAGCAGACTGGATGATAGAAAGTTTCTTTTTTTCTTCTTGAACAATGGATTTAACTCTAGATCCACTTCTTTTTTCATCAATTTTGATGAATCTATCTACTCTTTTGAATTAAACCCAAGCTTTTCCTTCCATTAATTCATCCAACTAGAAAGAAATAAGAATAGACATACTTCAAGATTGATTTCTTCTTCTGAATAACCATTTTTTTTAACAATTTCCCAAAATGCCATCCATTCATCTTCGGTGATATCTCCACTCTTATCAAAATCTACAGCATCGAATAATGCTTCAGTATTAAGTTTAGCAAAATTAGACTTCCTTAGTATTTAAATGATTAGAATACCAAAACTGTTAAGTTCCTTATTTGTCAATTGTTCCATTGCCTTTAATATCAATTTTTTTGAAGATTTCAATAGCTTTAATTCTTAGTTTTTCGCTTAAAGGTTCATCTATAGTAGTTGTATGAGAACATCCCATTAGATTTAATAATTTAATGAATAATAAGGAAGTAATCAATTTGTACATAGAAGACAGATAGGATACTTTAGAATGGAGTGGAGATGATGTAGAAATAGAAATACTTGATGAAGTAGTGACATTTATTCTAAATGACATAAAACAAAAGTATTAAACTGATTTGTTGACTTTGAGAGATTAAGAGAATCAATATTATGAGATTGATTAAATAGTAGAATTTAAAAGACCTCATACATACATCACAATACCATAAAGACATGATGTAAAAACATTAGCAAAGGTATTAAATAGAATAAGCTAAGAATGAATTAAGGACAAATAGAAACATTTATACCATTAAAAAAGACAGTGTTCTATTAGATAAGTATAAGGAAGCTAGTAAAGTAGAAAGTATTGAATATTAAATCACAGCTATTAAAAAAGCTAATCAAAAATATGTAGACACTTTAATAGGCATTTTTGATGATTTAGTAATATAACCTAAAAAACGCAACTCTATAAAGAATGAAATAGCTAAACCTATACAATTTTAGAATGAACCTGAATCTCCAAAATTTGGATAATCTCCTAAGGAAAGTGTCTCACCAAGTTGGATCTTAAGGAAATCACTTAGTGATAGCAGCAAGAAAAACGATTTAAAGTAATTTACAATCGACGAGGTATGACTATCCTACTGAAAGTAGGTGGCCAAACATAACACTATCAATTCAGCATGGATTGTTATCAATTCCAAAGTTTATGATGTTACTAAATATTTAAATAAACATCCTGGAGGCCAAGAAGAACTTATGAAAGGAGTTGGAACTGATGCAACTCCTTTATTTATGTAAAATCATCCATGGGTTAATGCTCATTATCTATTAGAACAATTTTAAGTTGGATTTCTAATCAATCATAAATGAATTATATATATATATTTATATATAACTCAAATATCTATAGGTGGCATCGTATCTCCCTCTACTATGTGAGATTCATGTTCTTCACCCAATTTACTTTTATCACATAAAATAAATTTGCTTGATTATAATAACTAATCTATAAATTCTACATTCCTTTCCAAATTTTTATTATATTCAAATACCAAAGAACCTCGAAAATGCATCAATTTCAACATATCTACTAACTATGTTTCATTATTTATCAAATCATTACATGTGAGTAACTAACTATCCCTTCAGATAAATTCTACTGTTTTATATATTGCTCTTCAAAGATGAAGTTTTTCAAAAATATTGTATTATATTACTCATTAACATGCTAATAAAGGGTTGCCAATATATCTCTATTTTAATCCAATTCACTCTATTAAGGATTTGCATATCTGTAAATATTAAAATTGACACTTTTCAAAGTTTTCTGTTGATTTGCCAATTTAAATAATAAATCATATGTGAATTTTGGATTATAACTAAGTACATGATTCACTTCAAAATTGAATGAATTCTCTATTACAGTTTGTAAATCATCTAATTCCTCTTTTACTAAAGTCAAAAATTCTTCCTCTTTAACAATGTTTCCATCATGTTTTAATGCATAAAAATAAATTTATCATATATACCATAAATACTTGGAATTGAGTCTTATTTTGATCTGTTTTCAATTTAAATAGATGTTGACAAATTTATAATAATGCTTTTTATTCTAATTTTCTAAATTATCCATCTCTCAATATTGTAGGAACATTTACACTGACGCCACGAACTAAGATTTTTATATTTTCTTAAACTTACATATAAAAAAGGATGGGTCAAATATTTTCTTTATACATTCATTATTATGCTCAGCCAAAAAATCCATTAGTTCTACTTAATCATTTAGATTATATATTATGCGATGTATTTTTAAGTCTCTTAACTTTTGAAAATCATTAAAATCCTTCAAACTATTAATACGAACACTGAAACTAATTGCACTCTTGTCAAATTCATAGATTTAGTCTCTAATAACATTTGCAGAAAACTTATATAAACATCGATTAATAAATTTCATCTTAATTAATTTTATTATCACGCATCATTATTATTATTTGTAATTATTCTTCACTAATTTAATAAATTTTACCTTCATTATTTTAATGTTCCAATTCTTAAATAAATTAATGAACTCTGCTTTTTTATTTTTTTAATTGAATATCTAATAAATTCATAACTCTTTCTAAATAGGATTCAATCACAAGACTTTATATTATTATTTACATCGTTTAATTAGAAAAAGAAAATTCTCAAATAATAAATATGATTATAGACTGATGTAATAATTCTTTCAATTTTGAAAACTTATTTAAGAGAAATTCTTTTGTAATTTTACTTATAAAAGATTTTTCCATAATCTAAAAAGTAATCATAAAGAAAAAGTAGTATGCAAATCAATGATTCTACTTATATCTAATTATTAATTGTTAGCTAAATAAATATCATCAACTACTATATTTGTTAATTTATATATTTAATTAATTAGATAAAATATTCTAAAATAACATTTGCATTTTCGATTGGCATAATAATTAAAATTATTATATTCATGCTAATTAGGTTATCAACTAATATCATTAAAAGAATAAGGTAAACATATTGCATTCAAGTATCTCTTCAATAATATATAAGAATTCTACTAGAACTCAGTTGGAAACATTATCCAAAATTGATGATCTAGAAAAAATATAATAAGAATGGATAGATTTGGCTAAATCAAAAAACAACAACAATAATGATTAAGATGAAGAAATTGAAGAGTAAGAAGATAAGAAAGAAACTAAAGATGATAAAGATTTATAAGAAAGTGATAGTGATTCTGATGATGATGAACCAAAGGGAGGAAGGAAAATACCTTTAGTTGAATTGGTCAAAGGTTTTATTCCTAGACTTTTAAGACCAGAACCTCAAGAGTGATAAATATATAGTGTGATTTTTAACATAACTATTTATAATCCATTTCAATATTAAAGCCAATCTATAAAAATAATTTATTGAAACAAAAATACGTTAATTTCATTTGCTCTATTTATAGAAATTATAATGCATTAAAAAAATTTAATTGGTTCAAATAATTGATTTAATATTAATAAGGACAAACGAAAACATAAGTATTCCATCTTTTATGTTCTATTTTGAACCTAAAAATTACACAAATAATAGAAGCAATGATTACAAATTACATCAATCATCAACAAACTTTAAAAAAGAAGTAATATTAAATAGAGATATTCATACAAATTTAAAAAGATTAAATGTAAATAAGATTTTTTATAAAACCAATAAATAATATCCAAATATAATATTATTATGCTCATATACATACTTTTTATAATTCTAACAGAAACTAATTTGAATTTTTTATATTTCTTATTCCTACAACAGTAGTTTTCAGTATTTTGGAATTGTGTTATGGCGATTTAAATACTATTGAAAAAGTATTTTTTAATGAAATATGATTTTTTTTAAAGTAAATATTATTTATCAAATCAAAAGAAATCTTTAATTATTAAAAAATTTTACTGGATCATACTAATAAAAAATATTCAGCTTAAACAGTTTTTAGTAGAAAAAAACAAAAACAATTGATTGATTTACATATGGTCTTTAAATTTAAATTTTCAAAAATAATTTCCAAAGATAATCTGTTAGAACAAGTTTATAAGAGTTAATTAATTTTTAAACATTTTTTAAAACTTATTTCTTCTTTACATTTTTAATTTAAATATTTAAAATTGTATATATTTCAAGAAATAAAATAAAGAATGATTTTAGATAATAGGCAAAGTACAAATTTTTAACTTTAATTTTGACATTATATATAAAAAATAATTTAATTTTTTTACAATATTAGATCAATTTTGTAATTATAATGATATGAATATATAGTATTTTAGATTAAGTTAGGTTGAAAATATGTTATTAAAAACATATAATTTAATTTATAAAAATAAATGTTTAAATAATAAGGTATAAGATATTAAGTTTGTTCAAAGTTATTAAATAAACTCAAACTGAAATACAATCTCTAATTTAGTAAGTTAAAATTTAAAAAAATAAAAATAACCATATATTTTTATCATACTCTCAATTAATTAGAGTAATTTTATTATTAAAAATGCAATTTAACTTTTTAATCTCAAAATGCATGTCAGTTAATGAAAATGGAATGAGTATTTTAAATGGAGGTTAATAACACAATCAATAACTTGATGAAGTGATTAAAATTATGGGTGAAGCATCTGCAAAGGTATATGAAGTAAATAATGTTAGGCATAAAATTTGAAATAAGTTATAACAAGTCCATCAAGATTTTATCAAACTGATTAAGGAATATATATTAAATCAGAAGGAAAAGTATGAATATAATTATATGTAATTAGCAATGTTTAGGAATGTTGAAGATTGGGAGAAAAAATTTATTTCATAGAGATTTAAGTGGATTAGTTAAAGAAATACAGCCTTTGTGTGTGTTAGACTTTTATGTGCATGAATCTGTGTAGAGAAAGGGAATTGGGAAAGAATTATTTGAAGAAATGCTAAGATGTGAAATAATTAGCCCAGAAAAATTAGCATATGATAGACCATCTCCAAAATTACTTGGGTTTCTTAAAAAACATTATCATCTTTCTAATTATATCCCTTAGAATAACAATTTTGTTATCTTTTCATAATATTTTGAGAATAGAAAGTAAAACTTAAATAATTAACTGGCATCCTCTTAATCAACATAATTTTAATATTCATCAACACCTTCAAAAGTTGAATAATTGGGATCATTAATGTCATAAATGACTATTTAATCAACGTAATCGAAGAATCAATAATAAAAGGACAGCAAATCTTAAACTCCATGGGCAACAGATCAAAAATAATAATAAAATGTATACAATTATTTTTATTTATAAGATGTATTAAACTACAACTGGACTTATGTCAGCTTAAATTTGCAAAAAAAGATGAAATATTAACATACTATTATAACAAATTCAATTCTACATATAAAAAATAAACTATTAATTTTAATATTCATAAAAATCTTATGTTTTTCATCCATTATTCTTTAAAATAAAATTTAGAAATTTGTTTTTCAACTCCGAAATAAAATAATCCATTAGGAACTGAATTTAAATCTTCAAAGGACTGTTAAAAATGCTTCTATGTCATTCTAACAAGAGGTGGTGAAGTATACAAATAAAACTCAAGATTTTAATCTCCTAACATCTATTACATATAATTTTAATTAAACTTACATCCTTTATTAAATCATACAAATCCTTTATTGTTTCTAATGGTCCAAAGAATGCTTAAACAATAACACTATCTGGAAATTAAACTCTAATTTCTGTTTTTGAGTAGATTGGTTTTTTAAGTAATTCTTCATATTCTTTTTTTCGTTTAGAAGTAAATTGCTATTCTTCAAGAGACTATTATAAAGATATAATATACCTAAGCAACTTATTAAAGGAACTGTAAAAGTTATTGATCATTCTGAGGCTCTACTTATTCATAATCGTATTAGTTTTAAATTTATTATTGCATTTACACAGATGATTATTATTTTCTACCATTAAATACTTTAATTTTTCTATTAGTTATTGGTTAACTCATTATTTCCTAAAATAACAAATTATATGTTACAAATCTTATCTAATTCAATTATTCAAGTTTCTAAGAGAACTAATAAACATTATAGCCTTCATTTTTTATTATTTCAGAGGTGAGAACGACATTTTATGATGAAGTATGAATTTTAGGTTTTTAAGGATCGAATTCTTATTTATTTTTGGAATAATTCTCTAATATTTATGCAGCCTCTTTCCATATAGTTTGTTGTTCATTTTCATATTAAACCATTAAGTATTCAGCTACTAATGTCCAACCTAAATTCATTAAGTAATTTAATGCTGATGGATATTTGATTATGTTATTTTAAAGTGTTTTTGAGGATATACTAATTTTTTATTTTTCTAAACTATGTGGATTAATTATAACGTTGGAGATTATTTTTAATAGTATTTCTAAAGTTTTAAATAGTTAATCCTCATCTGGAATTTCTGATATTATTTTAGCTAATTCTATTTGCCAATCTAATTTCTACTCATTCTATCTTTAAACATACTCCATTAATAATTAACCTATTCTTTTTGGAATTTTGAATTCTTCAAAATTTTCCTATTTCATATTTTTAATCGAGTCTTTTGTGTCGTACCAATTTTATTCAAGTCTTGTGTTAGATAAATTAATATACATTTCAATATATGGTTCTACAAGAGACACAGGCTTTTTCATTTCAAATGCTATTTGATATAATGCTGATCTAACATAAGAGGTCTGTTTTTATTACATTGCTATATTATTATATTTATTTGAGAAAATATTATAAAAAAATACATCAACAAAATATTATTTCATAAAAATAGTTAATTACTAAGAAAAATAAAAATACTAAATGGATTTTGTGTGAATTCTATCTATATTGAAATATTGTTGATCCCAATAATAAATACACTGAGGTTGAGGTCAATAATTCTTACAAACTAAAAATATTGAATAAAATTAGTAGACCAATTGCAATAACATTAAATTCCAATTAAGATATAAAATTTCTTTGACCAAATATTACTGGAATTTACCAAACCAATAATGCTAATCCATTTAATTTCCATTAATAAAATAAAATCAAACCAACTACTGGTACTAAAATCCATCTATATCCTATTCTAGTTATATAACTTGTGATTAAAATTATGATTGAGATTTCTAATGCAAATCCTATAAATTATTTCCAAAATGTTATATCCAAATAAGTAATTGTAAATTACAGAATATAATACTCTATAATTAGTAATAATATCGATCCACTTAAAACTAGTAGATTTTCACAAATACGTCTCCTTTTTTTAAGATTTAATAGTGATTTAAACAAACCAAATATGCTTGCTAAAGTTCCAATTATTAATACATTAACAGTAAATAATTCAAAAAACCATAAAAATGGATAAAAAAGATATAATAAGTAATAAAATACTCCAAATTGACGTAACATATTAATTAGAGATGTTAAAAACAAACCTTTTAACATTGCTTATTAACCAAAACATTAAATTTCTTTATGTCTTCCCCATTATTATTTACAAAACCAACAAAATTAATGAGCACATGCTTTACATGTCATGTGTTTACAACCTCCATTTCTCTAGATTAAAACACCACAACTTGGACATTCATTTGCAGTAATAAAACAATAAAAAAATTCTCTAATGATTCCAAAGATATTTTTAATCCTATATACTGCTTTAAAAGTAAATGATGCTAAGGCAAAATCTCTCCATTTTATGCCACATTCTATACATTATAGTTCATCATCACATTTATTTTATAAATCAATGTATCCATAATATTTGCATTTTCCATTTGGGCATGGACGAACATCTTAACTTTTTAGGTATTCTTTTACCAAAATCTCTTAAATCATTCTTTCATATGGTTAGTCAGAACAATAACTTAAGATTTCATCCCTAGTATAACTGAAAGGACAATCTTAATTTGGACACTAAATTATTTAAACAGCTTTATCTTTATTTTTCTCTTCAAACCAATTTATTAGACAAAGCAAACAAAAGTGACAACCGCATTTTGTTGTAAAATTATTTTTGGAAGTACATATTATACAAATATACATTTAAATTATAATATATTGAAATTAATATCATACAATCATAATATCTATTCTGATGCCAAATCAACCAATTCTTCAAATGACAAATGTTAATTTTATTTGACAAACTTATCAAATTTATCTGGAGATAATTTAAATATTTCAGATAATTTTAATGTTTTACTATGCAAATCTTCAATTATTTCTTTATCTTATATATTTTATTATAATTATCTCTATTCTTAATTAATCTATTTTTATTATTGATTCTGTTTGTCATATCCAAATAGCACTTATTTCTTCTTCAAAAGGGCTTCTTTAAAATCTATGACACTATTTTTTAGATTTACTATATTAACAATTGAATAAGTTCTTCACTTTATTAATTGATGTTTTAAAAAAACCATCAAAATATTCCTCATGCTCTGGTTTCGATAATATTAGCAAAGGATGAACTTAACCATGACCTAAACATTTTTCACAAAACTCCAAATTTTCACAGACTATACATTTATATCTAGCATTTATAATTGGAGTAGAATGACATTGACTGCAAATTGTGTTTGGATGAACTATTGTTTCATTTTCTTTCTCTTTAAGAATGATTTTGATTACTTACTAATTCTAACCTTATAAAATCTTTAATTATTGATCACTATCAATTATTAATTATACTCCCTCAGAATTTATTGATAAAAGTTGGAACTCAGGATATAGAACTCGACCTAAACGATTTTCTGCATATGATATCAATTACTAATATGACATCTCTTTGAAATTTCCAGAATATAAAAAAGATTAGTTCAAACTTGGAATTGATAATTTAAGATGTTGCATTATATATTTAAATTTATCAAATTAAATTAATGAATTCCTTTTATACTCTAAATTCTAGAACAAATATTAGAACTCATGAATTAAATTTCAAAAATCCAAAAAATAAATATCTTTCATAATATAAGTTTTTCACTAAGAATTTCTTTGCTAAATCTCAATTGTTTTTAATCTTTCATTTTTCTTTAATTTTTTAATCAGATTTATGACTTTTTTTTATAAACTAATAATTATAATAATAATTGTAAAAAAAAAAGAAAATATGATTTAAATAATTAAATCTGTTTATTAGCCTCTGCCTTAAACGAGTGATATAAATATTCATGTAAAATGATCAAAATCATAAAAATTTATACTATCAAGCTAATTATTTACTAAAATTATTCAAATTTTTTTAATCAGGAGATCTAAGAATAAAAATAAATTTCTATTCCTCCAAAAATAATTTAGGATTTTTGGATACCATTAGAAAGTTAATTGATCCATCTATATCATACATCTCTATGTCATATGATGAAAAACTCTTCCAGATTTCATAAAACCTGATAATTATTTCAAGCTCTTTTATAAAGAATCTTAAACTTATTGATTCTTTTATGAAAATAACATCCTATATATATGATATATTGCCTCTATCTTATAAACTCTCTTGTGCCATAAATAAAATATATATTGTGTAATAGTTGTAGCTCTTTAATCTCATAGAATATTTACATAAATTTTGTTTAATGATCCTATAATGTTATTTAAATTATACTATAGAATTTTTTAAATTTGATGTTTTTTGGCAGTTTCTGTTTAATTTATAATTTCATTATTTTGACTTTATTTAAACTCTTTTAAAAGTGGGATTTTTTAATTCATCGCATACTATTTTGCTTAATTTATTAAAATGAAAAATTCACTCAACTTTCAGCAAGATTTTTTTTTAATTATAACCAACTACTTGAAAAAATGATAATTTTTGATATTTATCATAAATCTATTGAGTATATTATTTTTTATTGTAAGTGTTAAAATTACCAATTTTAAATATTAGATAAACTTGTAAATTACATAGAGAATATATGATACATTATATAAAATAATAATATATATATTGTAAATCTTATTTATAATCATAGTTTTTTTTAATTTTGAATCATAATTAATAGCTGCTTGTATCAAAGTTCCAAATTTCAATTGAGTTAATCTTGCCAAAAATAAATTTATTTGGCATCATTTTTGAGATAAAAGCAGGTTGAGAGAGTTGTGTTTAGTAATCTAATAAGATTTGCCCTGTTTCTATATTTATAAATTATATTTTATCAAGTTATTCTGAAGGATGTATATTAGTTTAAATCAATAACCTATCATTGCTAGATAATTTTATTGATTGAATTTTTCCTAATGTTTTAAGTTTTCGAATAAGTTTTCCATTAATAGTGTTTAGAAATAATAAATTTTGATGGCTAGCTACAACCATAAAATAATTGTTTTTTGAAACAACAATTTCTTCAAGCTAAGAAAGAATACAACATGTAAACTTCAAGGCTTTATCTATATTAAAATCTCTAATGTATATGATGCTACTATTTCCAATTTCATATATTTTATTTTGATTAATATCAAACGATGAAGGTTTGTGATTGATTTTTATCGTCTTAGCTTATTCGTTATTTTCTAAGTCTATCATAAATAAATGAGATTTTCCTTAAAAACATAATTATTTCTCGTTATTGAAAAATAATGTTCTTGCAATCACCCCAAATTCAGTTTATATAATTCTTTTATATTTCACATTTTGAATTTTTCTAACATCATCAACATTCCACAAAAGTATTTGTTTCCCATAACAACCAGCACATAAATATTTGTCATTTTATGAAAATAATAATTAGTAAACTTAATGTGAGGTCACATTTAATTGATTACATTAAGTCATACTATATTGATCATAAACATAAACAATGTGATCCTTACTAATACCACCAACCACCAACAAACTTAAATCATGACTAATATCCAAACACCAAACTCGAAATAAATTTAGTTAGATGTCTTATATATTTTACTCCTTTAATTCTTTAAGCCATTAATATTTTTCTATAAGTTAGCTATCTATTCGCAAATTTTCTGATATTTGATACATTTAAATTATTTTTATTTTGATATTTTAGATTTATATCTATTAATAAGTGTAGAAAATAACACTGTTTATTTCGGAACAAACCACAGAATTAAAATTTTAATAAAAAAACTCTAAATTCTTTAATCTAGAAATCACATAAACATTAATAATTTTATTTTTTGAATAATGATTTCATTATTAGGATCTCATATAATGGAAAGAACGTTTCATAAATCAGTACATTCTGATTTTTAAAATAAAAAATAGAAATAATAANATTGTAAATCTTATTTATAATCATAGTTTTTTTTAATTTTGAATCATAATTAATAGCTGCTTGTATCAAAGTTCCAAATTTCAATTGAGTTAATCTTGCCAAAAATAAATTTATTTGGCATCATTTTTGAGATAAAAGCAGGTTGAGAGAGTTGTGTTTAGTAATCTAATAAGATTTGCCCTGTTTCTATATTTATAAATTATATTTTATCAAGTTATTCTGAAGGATGTATATTAGTTTAAATCAATAACCTATCATTGCTAGATAATTTTATTGATTGAATTTTTCCTAATGTTTTAAGTTTTCGAATAAGTTTTCCATTAATAGTGTTTAGAAATAATAAATTTTGATGGCTAGCTACAACCATAAAATAATTGTTTTTTGAAACAACAATTTCTTCAAGCTAAGAAAGAATACAACATGTAAACTTCAAGGCTTTATCTATATTAAAATCTCTAATGTATATGATGCTACTATTTCCAATTTCATATATTTTATTTTGATTAATATCAAACGATGAAGGTTTGTGATTGATTTTTATCGTCTTAGCTTATTCGTTATTTTCTAAGTCTATCATAAATAAATGAGATTTTCCTTAAAAACATAATTATTTCTCGTTATTGAAAAATAATGTTCTTGCAATCACCCCAAATTCAGTTTATATAATTCTTTTATATTTCACATTTTGAATTTTTCTAACATCATCAACATTCCACAAAAGTATTTGTTTCCCATAACAACCAGCACATAAATATTTGTCATTTTATGAAAATAATAATTAGTAAACTTAATGTGAGGTCACATTTAATTGATTACATTAAGTCATACTATATTGATCATAAACATAAACAATGTGATCCTTACTAATACCACCAACCACCAACAAACTTAAATCATGACTAATATCCAAACACCAAACTCGAAATAAATTTAGTTAGATGTCTTATATATTTTACTCCTTTAATTCTTTAAGCCATTAATATTTTTCTATAAGTTAGCTATCTATTCGCAAATTTTCTGATATTTGATACATTTAAATTATTTTTATTTTGATATTTTAGATTTATATCTATTAATAAGTGTAGAAAATAACACTGTTTATTTCGGAACAAACCACAGAATTAAAATTTTAATAAAAAAACTCTAAATTCTTTAATCTAGAAATCACATAAACATTAATAATTTTATTTTTTGAATAATGATTTCATTATTAGGATCTCATATAATGGAAAGAACGTTTCATAAATCAGTACATTCTGATTTTTAAAATAAAAAATAGAAATAATAAAAATATAAAAAATAGAAATAATAAAAATATAAAAAATAGAAATAATAAAAATATAAAAAATAGAAATAATAAAAATATAAAAAATAGAAATAATAAAAATATAAAAAATAGAAATAATAAAAATATAAAAAATAGAAATAATAAAAATATAAAAAATAGAAATAATAAAAATATAAAAAATAGAAATAATAAAAATATAAAAAATAGAAATAATAAAAATATAAAAAATAGAAATAATAAAAATATAAAAAATAGAAATAATAAAAATATAAAAAATAGAAATAATAAAAATATAAAAAATAGAAATAATAAAAATATAAAAAATAGAAATAATAAAAATATAAAAAATAGAAATAATAAAAATATAAAAAATAGAAATAATAAAAATATAAAAAATAGAAATAATAAAAATATAAAAAATAGAAATAATAAAAATATAAAAAATAGAAATAATAAAAATATAAAAAATAGAAATAATAAAAATATAAAAAATAGAAATAATAAAAATATAAAAAATAGAAATAATAAAAATATAAAAAATAGAAATAATAAAAATATAAAAAATAGAAATAATAAAAATATAAAAAATAGAAATAATAAAAATATAAAAAATAGAAATAATAAAAATATAAAAAATAGAAATAATAAAAATATAAAAAATAGAAATAATAAAAATATAAAAAATAGAAATAATAAAAATATAAAAAATAGAAATAATAAAAATATAAAAAATAGAAATAATAAAAATATAAAAAATAGAAATAATAAAAATATAAAAAATAGAAATAATAAAAATATAAAAAATAGAAATAATAAAAATATAAAAAATAGAAATAATAAAAATATAAAAAATAGAAATAATAAAAATATAAAAAATAGAAATAATAAAAATATAAAAAATAGAAATAATAAAAATATAAAAAATAGAAATAATAAAAATATAAAAAATAGAAATAATAAAAATATAAAAAATAGAAAAAAATAATAGCATAGTTTAGAAGAATGGGAAAATATTAGAATTATGGTTATCTGGTCATTTAATAATAGAAGGAAATGAATCTGAAGATGTATTAGGAAATGGATGTTATTTAATGTATCCTTGGGTCAATCGACTAAGTGATAAGAATGTATAATGTTAATTTCGTGACTCAAATGGTTATCCATTACATGGTTTATATGTAAATTCTGAAAGAGAAACTTTGATGAATGGAATTTAAAATTAATTATGCTTAACACCTAAAGATCGTGAGGAAGAAAAAAGCCATTTTCAAGAGATATTAACTTTTACTTAGGAGAATTAAATATCTTTTGAATTTATAATTTCTGATAATAAAAACTTTGAATATGGAATAGGTTATCATCCTTATTTTAATTTTGAAAATATTGATGATATAATCATGATAACAAATTTAAATAAAAAGTTAATAGTTGACAAAGATTTAATTCCAATAGGTGATTAATTATAATGGGAAGATGTTAATTTGGCAGAAATACCTTTAAAGAATTAATAATTCGATAGTTGTTTTACGAATTAAGAGGATAAACTTTTTATAAAATTGGTAAGTAATAAATATACTTTAATTATTGAATCAGATTCAATGAGATATTGCTAAATTTACACTCCTCCAGATAGAAAGAGAATTGCTATTGAACCATAATCATCAACAGCAGATTGTTTTAAATATAAGACATCTTTAAAAGGAAATTGCAAAGTTGGCTTTAAAATTACAATATAATGAAAATGATATTGATTATAAATCATTTAATACATATTCCACAATCATTATTACATTAGCTAAGGTTATTCATCTATCAAAATTTTAATATATTCAACCCATTTGTTTTTTTAGCTCTCAGATTTACAAAGAGCATTCAAAGTTTTAGGTTTAATATTCTTTTAAGCAAATAATGTAAAACAACGATCAGGTTCAATAACTATTCTTAATTTAATTACTTTTACCTTTATGTTTCATTTTATGAATTTATTTCACAAGCCAATTTTAATTTTCAAATGCACTTGATGATAATGATTTTTTATCAAAATTGCTTTTAATTTCTTGAATTTAATTTAATTTTAAGATCCATTTTTGCTTAACTAATTTTGTGCTTTCTTATCTACATCTAATTTATTATAATGTTTCATCACAAAAGAATCTATAATAACCTCGACTTCCATCTTCTTTATACATTTTCAGAATTTCTCCTTTTTGTAAGAAATTCTTGATTTCATCAGTTAATTTAGATAGTTGCCTCTTAGGTCCTTACAAATATTTAATTAATTCATTCAAAACTGGTTCATTTAATTTTTCTAATTAATTTAAGAACTATTCAGCAATACTTTATCTATATTCTTCTAATGATTTAGCAACATCAAGTATAATAGTAGCTAACTAATGAAAAGAATTAGATTTACGTTTAAAAGAACTTCTTTTTCTTTTGTAGCTAAGACTTCTGCTACACATGCATCAATTCCTTTATTTACAAATATTTGATTTGCAAAAACTTTAGATTCTCTGGATAAAATAATCTATTTTAATTGATAAATAATCTTACACTAATAGTTTTAGTATGTTTGTGATTGTTTTTTTAGATTAATTCAATTAATGTAGGTATGAAGTTTTCATTATCATCAACTTATTCTACAATCAATAAAGTTTTATCAATTTATAATTCAGTAACTTCATTTTATTAAATAAATATCATTAATTAATTAGCTAACTCATTCGTTTTGTTAAACAATTTTAAACTATAGTCTAAAATTTAATCATATAATTTTTTTTCATTTTTATTGACTCTCAAAATTTCTGAAAAGTCAAGTCCAACATTTAATTGTTCAAACTTAGAAATAGATTCTTTATTTATTGCTGCCATCTTTAACATAACATCAAGGGTAAGAACACAAGAACTTAATTCAGCTTTCTTTAAAATATTAGCTATTTAAACGAACCCATTTAATTAATCAATAAATTAATAGCAGTTACCTAATATCTATCTAATAAGGCGGAGAGCTTATTATTCAAGTTTTTCAAATTGTAAACATCTAAAATTGACATAATAATTACATCAATGTTGATTCTACAGTATGTATATCAATAGGAACATTTATTTAAGCAGCTATTTTTAATTCTAAATTAAGCAATAATAAAATTGAATCAACTTCCTTTTAATGTTTTTTAATAAATTCATTGATAATTTCTAATAATTTCTATTCAATCATCTATTAAATATTTGATGTATAGGAAGCAAGATGAAATAATGTATTAACACATTATTCGAAAGATTTTTACTTAAAATTTTAAATGTTCTTCTTTAAAATTTTAATTAGATATTCTAATTTCATTTATTTTTTAATCTCTTCATTCTTATAACACATATTATTAATTAAGGTTAATAAAGATTCTTCCAATTCATCTAAAATTTAAGATTATAAAATTTAATCTATAATTTTACTTTCCATTACAATAGTTCCATTCTCTGCATTTCGATATACAATTTTAGACAATGCTTCTATTGCTGGTTAGACAACTTCAATTGTATTAGGATGTTATTTAATTTATTCTAACAATTGTTAAATTATTCCTAATTCTGCAATTTTATCTTAGTAAGTTTCAGAAACAGATAATTGTGATATCATTTCATCACATTTTTTAATTATATCAATATTATCTTAATATTTAGTAAGAAGATCTTTTTACAAATCTATTCCATTTTAATCCCCTATTGTACTTAAGATCATTTCATCTTAACATAACTTTTGTAATGCTTCTAAACCAGTCTCAACAACTTTTGGATTATCTGATTAATGTTATATTAAATTCACCATTGAAACAGGTCCATCGCTCTATGCAAAATTGCTTAAAGTTTCAGGAACTTATGAAATCTAACCAGCTGTTTCTAAAACTTATTCAGCATATTTTGAATCCTAATTCTTTAATTCATTAAGAGTATTTTAATAAAGTTTTGAATTTGGTTATAATACTTATTCAGCTATATCTTGATGTTTAGTTAATCTCCTAAATACTTCCCAAGAATCTTCTATTTGAAATAATCTTTCTAACATTCCTTCATCTAATATTTATTATGGATTCTTGACTGCTATTTCTAAACAATCTTTAACTAATTATTTATTTTATTCAGGTTATGTTTATTCATTATTCATCTATGAACTATCATTCATTTTATCTTGACTTTACTCTAATTTTTATTATTTTTCTTATTCTTTTTCTTATTTTAATTACATAAGCAACTGTTTTTATTGTAAAAGTGATTGTCTTTACTTTAATAATGATTATCTTGGTATTAAGGGTTGTTTAGGTTTGAAATGTTTAAAAAGCTTTTCACATTGATCTGGATAATCATTTTACCATTAAAGCAAGAGTTATTATCCATTTTGTTATTAAAATTCTTATTTTATCTAATCATTTTCAAATAAAATATCAAGAGAAGTTAATATTTCTAATGGAAATTATTTTTATTTCAAATAATCTAAAAAATAACTTAAAGAAATTGATTAACAAAATATAGCTAAATTAGCTAATATTTTAAAAGCATACAAAGTATGGCCATTATTTTATTTAATAATTAGATAGCATAATTCTCTTCCTTTTTCCCTCTATATTCTGACAGCCACTGGTTCAGATGATGATAAATTCTCAAGCCAAGCCAAGTTCTTTTTAGCTTATTCTTCATTACTTTATTCAATTACTAATTCTTATGTTTATAAAATTAATTTTTAAATAAATCTTTTATCTCCTAAAATTTTACTGATATCCTTAGATTTCAAACATGATCTGTACAATATATCATATAAATTAGTAATTACAAATTTATTATTCTAATATTCTTCCATCAAATCTCTAATATTAACTCATAGTTTTACAAAATAAATTGGAGATAATCTGCTTAAATTACTGCCTCCGCTTTAGATAGATAATAAGTCAGCAAATTTACAGGATTTTCACTATGTCGTTTTTATTATAGAAATTAAAAACACTTATCTATTTCTATAGGTTCTATGTAATTATTTATCAACATTTATGTTAAAATGTTAATAGATGAACACAATAAACGATCATTGTCTATAAATTAATAAATATTTTACCCTTTTCTAATTCACAATATTTAAGGACACTTATAAGTGCATCTAGGATATTACAATCAAATTCATATTCTAAAGCTTATGGAATTGTAGAATAAACACTTAGTTTATCCATATATTCAGCACCTAATTCTTGATCTTCCATTTCTTCAAAATATTAAATCATCTATTTTATTTATTTTTTAATATCCTCAGTTAAAAATGAATCTCCCTCATATTTTTAAACAGTATCAACATAAGGAATTACTTAATTAATAACTTCAATATCATATTAATGCTACAATTGAAATAAAGTAACATATTTAAGTGCATTATCTGTATAATTAATGTCTGATAATATTTAAATAGTTTCTAATCCCATTTCTTTAGTTGTAGTATCCTCTGGTAGTTTTCTACATAGAATTTTCGGAAGATCTCTTACATTCTATTTAAAAAGTTCAAAAAGTAAATAAATTTTAATAATATCTAAGATCTTCAATTAGATTTTCTCTTTTTATACATATTTCTTCATGAGGATTTACAGTAAACTTATGAATTGAATAACATATTAATTATCTTAAATATCTAATAAATGATGTTATTTTTTATTTGAATTCTTACAACCTGCACCCATAAATAGAATAGTATCTAAACTAGATTCTAAAAGTTCTTCATTCTCAAGTGATTAAAATAAGAAATCAAAACATAATTAAGAGGTTTTCTTTTGAGTATATAAATTACCAGTCTTGTCATTCCAATAAAAAGTTGACATAGTTTACAACAATAAAAATATGCATTAAACAATTTCAAAATGTTCGGTTTTATAAGATTTCAAGAATTTCAATAAACAATTCATTAATTCTGTGAAATAGTCATTTTGTAAGTAAAACACACCTTCAATTTAAACATAATAAGAGAGTTTTAATAATTGTATTTCAAACATTACTTTCGATAACTCATCATTATATTTATTTCCAATAAGTTCTTTCTATAATGTTTTAATATCATCTTATTTAGTCAAGTTTCTCACTAAGATGATAAACTATTATTCTAATTCTTCATTTTATTAAAATTCTACTGTTACTTCTTCAGGATCATCTTCCTCAGCTTCAGAATCAGTTTTAACTTATTTTAAGGTGTTAACAATTGTAATATAATCTTGAAGTAAATTAAGGATGTGTACCTTTATTTTTTTTACATGACAATACTGAAATGATCAAATTGGATTTAAGTGATGCTACTTGCTCAGGATATTTATTTAAAATTTGAATGTAATATAATAAGGATCTTTTCCATAGATAATGTCTTTAAATAAATTGTACAATGACAGAAAGCTTTTTGATTAGATAATCTTTAATGTCTTGATGAATTAACAACAATAATTTAGAATTATATTCTTAAGATGCTTGATTATTAACATTTTCAATGATTTTAAAGAATGCTTCTTTTCCTTTAGCAATGGCCTTAAAGGTTTTATCATTTTTGCTTGCATAAGTCAATAATAATCTTAAGCCATCTTTAACTCCTTTCAATTATGCCAATTAAGCAATAACTTTATCAATAATTTTAGTAAGTTCTTCAATAGTTAGATTAGTTCCAAGTTTTCTACTTAGATCAAAAGATGCAGCTACTACTTCAGCATCTTCATTTTCATATAATTCCATCATTAAAGGTAAAAATTATTTTAATTTATTAGCCTAGACATTATGGATAAAATAAATACATAATCTTAATCTTAATCATAGAGTCTACTCAAACAATTAAGAGCATCTCTTAATATGTGTTTTCTTTTAATAATTTTTTTATATCCTTTAATCAAATCAAATAAAATATTAATGAATTCATCTAAATTGATTTGACTATGGATTGCTGGTATCAAACAAGCCAAGAGACTCATTGAAAATTCAGCTTATTAATCTAGTTATTTAATTGATTAGATATTTTATTAAATCTATTCAATATTTATTATGCTCTACAAAATTTAAGCCCCTTTATCATTCACATCAATCTATATCTAAAAACAATATCAATACATCATTATGCTATATTAAAATTTCACTCATGATTTTCAAAGGAATAGACTGTTTCTATTTTATTATATTCAAAGCATTTTTATTATTTACTAATAGTAATAAAATTCTTAAAGTTTCTTTGATTACAAAAATATTGTCTATATATTCTTGCATCAATTATATGTAAATAGTAATAAGTTCATGTATATTAATATTTTCAATAATGCATTCCTATACTATTTTAATAAATCTAAAATGTTACTTAACATTTTGTATTCCAGATCAAATATTCTTTTCATCTCATTTAACAGAGGTTTGGAAACTATCAAAATTTACACAAATCCAATTAAAATATTAGATTTTGCAAGTGAATCTGTTTGGAGCTATGTAAAAGTCAGATTTTGATAAAGGTCTAGTGTAGACTAAAATGATAAATAACATTACTTTAATAGCTTCAAGTGATAACTATCTATTAGTTATTGAAGAGATAACATGACTAAGATTGCTATCTATAACATTCTTAGCTATGAATTCATCTCTAAATTTATGTAAACCTATCATTCTGTTTAAACAACCACATACATTATATATTATTTGATCACTCTACCTATGGTTATCTATACACTATATAAGAATAGAATATCCCTCTTAAGATCAAAATTTCATTACCTTTAAAAATATAGATTGAATTATCTCGATGTTTGTTATTAGGTAAATACATTTGTGATAAAAGGCAATTTAATGAAAACGATATCAGCTTCTAGAAATAGGGATTCATTTTTATAGATTGAAGCAAAGAAACTGTTGTGGCATCTGGTTTATCATAAAATTTCTCTTTAAATTTCATAATCTTTTTTTCTTAAAATTTTATTTATATAATGAGTATTTATTCAATTATAAATAAATTAACTTTACCTAAATAAACAAACTATATGTATAAAATTTATTCTCTGAACAGGATTTTTGGATATCTTGATTAAGATTTAAATCAAGCCAGAAGTTATCTAACTTAACCAACTTCTGCTAAATCTTAGACAGTCTTCATTTTAATTATCAATATCAGCCCATATAAACATAATAATTTGTATATTTCAATATTTTTCTTTTCAACAACCATATATAAGGAAATATACACAAATTTATCCTTAGAATTAGACAACGCTCCATTTTCTTTTGAAAAATTTAATATAAATAGTTATCAATAAGTGCATTCTAAAGAATTTGAATTAAAATTAAAATGATGTGGGGCTGTATTACTAATAGAGTTCTGAAGATTCATTAAAACTTTATTTTCTTTAATTAATTCATTTAATATAAAGTTATTTTTCAAAAATAGAATAAAAGTGAACAAAATTTGAGGGGATTATGATTTTTCGAATTCCTTAATAGTATTTACATAGAATTTTAAATACATTAAGTTAACTAAACAAAACAGATTCTGGATAGGTTGAGATGCTCTTTATTTTCAACATCAACATTAAATTTCAAATACAAAAGTAACTTTATTATTTCACATTAACCTGAAATTGATGCTAAATGCAAAGGAGTATCACCTCTTTCATTTTATTGTTCATACTTTAAACTTTTTTATACAATAATTTAAGGCTTTGTATTTTATTAAAAAAAGAACAAAGATAAGTTATGTTATTAAATTCCTGATGTGCTTAATGTATGTTAGCTCCATTTTATATGAGCACTTTGCTAGTATCTTTATCATCATTTAATACTGAAAATATTAATTGGAAAAAGTTGTTTGGATTTTCATCATCTTAAATGATCTAATTTTTTATTGGATTGTTTTCCAAAAAATATTAAATCAATTCATTTTTTTATCCAGATATAAGAAAAAAAGAAATTCATGCTACTTTATTTGAATGTACTTATAAGGATTCCAATATTAACAATAAGAAATTATTTTCTTTATATTATTATTTTTAATAAGTTTTAAGTGCCTAAATAAAAATATTATATTTACTTATTCAGATGTGTGAATAGAATACCTATCAATAAGAAATTGCTTTCCATTTAAAATGAAATTTTATATATTCTTCATTAATTTATTTTAATTTTATTATGTATTGCTATTTATGAAAAATATTAACTCAAACACCAAATATTTTATATAAATATTCTTTTTTCATGTCATTGTGTATCCAAACAACATGAAGATTAGGATATATTTCAGATATTCTTTTAATCCTCACATATCTTAGTAGAAATGTTCTCATTGTTTGAATCTAAAAATCTTCAGATTAGAGAAATAGATACGCTTAATCTCCAATTTTGAGATCGATTAAATTTCCTTTCTCAAAAAAAAAATCCTTATATTGAATTCTCAGATCCTACACAAAATAATCCAATGTTAAATCTGAGTTATACACCTTAATTTACAAAAAATTCAATAAATCAGGATAATATACTGCTAAATCAGAAAGAAGAAGCTTCATTTAAAATATTTGAGGTCCTATTTTTAAAAATTCTTATTTTTAAACTTGCAAATGATAATTTAATCTTGAAATCACTTCCTATTCTTCAATCAAAGGCCATTAATTTAATTATTGAATAACCAAAGTATATGCAAGTGGAATTACATCATAAATTGAAATTTAATTTTCTTACAAACAATCAACATAATGTTTATTTATAAGATTTGAATTTCCAACTATCAAAGAACATGCTAATGCTTCTAATGATTTTTTTGTATTGATTTTCCAATTTTTTAATCCAGGTTCTAAAGAGAAGTTTCTAATAAATTATGTTTGATCAATATTTTGCTCCATGTATTTAATCACTTGATTACTTTCTTCCAATTTTTAATTAAATAAACTTGTCATAAGAAAGGGACCAAACTTTTTTATAATAGATGTGGGTGAATCTAATTACTCTGAGTGGCTTAACAGACTCTATAAATTATGTTTTAAGAATGTAAATTTCATTATTAATATATAATTATTGTCTGAAAATAAATGATGTTATTTTCTTTTGTTTAAATGTTTGATTTTTTCTTTTTTGAATTAGATGTCATTATAAAGAGATAAAGGCAGTAATTGCAAGTAAACTTATATTTTCCTTAAAATTACTTATTTTGTTCTTAGTTTTATAATAAATATAAATGAAAACCATTGGCAAATTAATTTATGAGCAATTGAAGAAAAAATATGACAACGTCAAAAATAATCGTAAATAAACGAGGTTTCATTATTAAGTATTGAGTCTATTAATTGGATTAGATGGAAATTGATTGTGGAGAAGTTGTAAATATTAAGGGTGTAAAACAATTTGAATTAAGTAATAAAATCAATACAGGCTATTTTGATTTTAAAACATTGCTTTTCTTTTTATTTTTTAAATAGTTTGAGAGAATAGGAGTCCTCATATATTATATTGTTATGATTCTCCATTTTAGTTACCTTTAAATTAAGTAAACAATCAAATTATTATTAAGTCCTGAAGACTTGGTTGTGTACATTTTGCCATTATCAATGCATTACATTCTGTAAGTGTTAAAAGCATTCTATTTTGATTATTTAAAAATGGAATATGATAAAAAGACAAATCTACGAGGTATAACAAGATATAGAAGATTGAGAAAGGAAATTGCATCAGGGAATAAGTCGTAATAAAATTAATAATAAATCGAAAATTTTTTAAATTCAAAAGAACCACAAATTACAATAACAAAATAAGAAATGTATAAAAAACCTCATTCAGTTTAGTCAGTGAAAAGAAAAGAAAAATTATTACTTTATGAGAATATCAATTGGGAGCAACTTGAGGTAGGTGATTTAATTTATTTAAAACGAAATGAAATATCACCAGCTGATATATTAATAATAGATGTTTCTGATAATATTGTTGGAGTATCTTCATAATAGTTAGATGGATAAACAAGTGAAGAAGCAAGACAACCAACTTAATTGACAATGTTGAAAAACGGTAAGTACAAAGCGTAAGGATTTGATTATAAAAAAATTTTGACAGGTTAAATATAATTTGATAAAGATAAAAATGAAAATATATATGGATATATTAAATTGAAAAAAGATCCAAAAGGTGAAAACTTTAATAGAAATAATATCATCAGAAGGGAAGAACAATTAAAAACATGTTAATATTTAATAGGATTAGTATTATTTGCAGGATAAAAATGCATTTGTTATGATAAATTGAAATAAGCAGAAAAAAAATCCTTTTTTGTTCAAAAGTCAAGGATGTTTTTTGCATTAACACTAACAATTAGCATTATTATAACATTCATAAGTTGGTTAATAGCATCATTTGGAGTGTGTTAAGGCTCTTCGAATGATAAAGTATTTGATTCGACAACACTTATATTTTATATGATACAATATTTAAAGACTACTCCAATTTACTTTTATAATTGTGTAGACATCATAGAAATGGGGTATGCACATTATAAGTATATAAAATTTAATCAAAATAAATTATCAGATATGAGAATAAAAGTTGGAAATAGTATTGGAGTTCTTAATACCCAAAATATTTAGCCATAAATAAATTATGAATAATTAAATTCAGTTTCAATAGGGGATCTAGTTATGACTGAATATGTATGTTTTGATAAAACTGGTACTTTAACGACAGGTGAATTTAGAGTAAGATCAATAATTATTGAAGACATGATGTATAAATTTGGATAGAAGAAGATTTAAAATGGATGGTAACTTTTCAAAGAGAATTTTAGATAATAATTAAAATAAAATCCTAACTTTCGAATTCCAGAATAGGATGAATATTCTGATGAATAAATAGCTATTGAATAATAATCGAAGAGTAGAAGTAATGGATTTAAGAATACTGTATCAGTTTTATCAAAGTCTTTAGGAAAATAATAAACTCAAAAATTTAGATCTACATTACTACATTAAACTCATTTTAATGATGAAAATAATTTCAATAACAAAATGTCAACTTTTTAGCCTTTATAACAATCAGCAATATTAAGTAAATCTGAATTAGAAAGTGCTAATGTTAAGAATTCTGAAGGTAATAATACTGAATTGATTGGTCAACATATAATAGAAAATATCAGACCTGAAGATTTGGATGATACTCATTGTAAAATAACTCCTGATTTAAAGGCAAATAGACCTAAACCATTTTTTAATAAGAGTATAATAGGGAATTAATCCATATCAATTTAATAATCCCCATCTTCAAGTCCTTTTGAGGAAATTCAACTAATGCCTCAAGAAGATAAATAGTCTGTAACTAGTGATAGATAAAAAAAACCTAGGAGTGATAGTGATGCCACAAAAAAGGATGAATATAGACATATTAAAAAGTAGTCATCTTTTGTTAATAGAAATAATAATAATAAAGCTACTTTGTAATATGTTTAAATGGAAGAGGAAATTAATGAAATAGCATTTTAGAAAGATCAAGAATTCTATTAAAAATTGGTATGTGGACCATCTTAAATATTTTATTAAGAAGCTATTCTATCACTATTATTGTGTTAAGAAGTTGCATCTAAATTTACATAATTTGATGATTAATTTATTCATGATTCAACTTAATCTACTCTAGATTCAGAGTTGATGAGATTTGCTTAATATTTTGATATTAAATTTATATGTACGAATGAGACAGGTGGAAAGATAACATACATCATAGATATATTGGGGGAAATGCAGGAATTTTAAATTCTGTCTATTAATGAACAAACTTAAAATCATCCTAGATTAGGAGTTATGATATAATACCCTGATAAATTAGCAGAATAATTCTAATTCTTTATTAATGAATAAGAAGAAGAGAATGAATTTATAAATTGTGTGTTAATAGTTAGAGAAGAATTTAATTAGATTCCATCCTATGTAGATATAGACAAAAATAGTAGAGAATATTGGGATAGAGTATTTACAAAGTTACATATGGCTGGAATGAGAACTGTTGTATATTCTAAAATATATTTAAGAGAAAATGAAAAAAATGAATTCTTAGATAAGTATTCATAAGTTAGATTTTAACAATCAGAAAATGAAATAATCTAATTATTTAATGAAATAGAAAAAGACATGCAAATCATGCAGGTTTTAGGAATAAAAGAAAAAATAAGACCAGATGCAAAATTGTTGATTTAATAAATGAAATAAGCAGATCTTAGTTTATTTTTATTATCAGGAGATGAAATTAATAAAGTTCTACCTGTTGCCTATAAATCTGGATTACTCTTAAATACAGATCAACTTTTATATCTAGATTCTGATAATGCAAAATTAGTTATTAAAAATTAACTAGCTTAAATGGCTTAATAACTTAAAGTACCTGATTAGAATATCATTGTAAGTAATGCTATTCAATCAAAATCTCTTCGTTTAAATACATTGACTGATAAAGCTCACAAAAGTATTGATAACTATTATAATCCAGAAACTTTTAATTAAAATAAATCAATGGCAAAAAACTCACATAATCAAATATCATAATAATAATATGGAGAAATTAGGGCATTTTCGATTGTCCTCAGTGGTGAATAATTTAATATTATTCAAGAGGATAGCGTATTCCTAGCACATTTAACATTCTTACTCTATTTTAGCAATTCTCTAATTGCTTATAGATTTAGTGCTGTCTAAAAAGCTGAAATTATAAAGATTATCTAAACTTAATTTTAAGGCAATAAAAAGGTTTTATCAATTGGAGATTCCTTTAATGATATTTAAATGTTTAGATAAGCTAACATTGGAATATAATATTGTCATTTGCCAGTTTGTTAATAGTAATTAAAATAGACAACTAAAAGAAAACTTACTCAAAGATTGTCAATGAATAAAATATTAGAAAATCCTTTAAAAAGATCATATAATATTAGAGATATTCAAAGAATGGCAACATCAGATATATGTGTAAATAATTTTGAGGATTTATGTGGATTAATGTTTTTTGAAAGTAGAATATTTGCTGAGGTCTATGATGATTTATTGGTTTTTTCATTCTATAGATCTTTGTTAATACTTTATGCACTCTTTCTTATATATTCAACAAACTGTTCTTAGAATAATCAACTTGTGGAGGGTAGTTGGTTAACAGTTTATCAAAGTTTAATGCTCTTTTTATAATAGATATCAAGTTTAATATCTAAATTAAATGAAAACTATCATGGAGATTCAAAAATGTATCATGAATAATTTAAGATCAACATCAAGACTTTCAAAAAGAAGAAAGTTTTATCATTTATATTTAAAATAAACGGTAATGCTTTATTGGATGCGTTATTGTTATGGTTGACATGTTTTTCATTATTTTATGGAAACACTTAGATTGGAATAATAAGACAAATGCTTTTAATATTATTAGTTGGAAGTGATTTAGTAAAGTTATGGGTTTCATCAGTTTAAAAAGTAGTGGCTTGGATTATATTGGTTTTGGCATATTTATTATGTTGGTTAGGAATATCTTTATTGTCTGTGAAGTTTACTTTTGATGATAATATTGAGACCTTTGAATAATTATTTTTAGACCCTTTTTCATGGTTTGTGTTTATTTTTTATATTGGTGCCTAATTATGTTTAAGTAGTTGTATAGAAGCTATTCAACCATTGTTTTGTTAAAGTCTAATTAAAACTGATTAATGTTATGAAGAAATTTCGATTATATCTTAAAAAGTTAACACATAAAATAATAAAAGCAATTACAAAAAATATCATAATTTAATTAAAAGAATAGCAGTAATAGCAGGTAAGATATTTAAAAGAAATAATGATGACCTTGATTTATCAATATAAGAGATGGTTTCTGGAACTAATTTAAAAGTAAATTAAGATAAAGTTAATCCTTATACTTTAAAATTTATGAATAAAGATACTGAAATGAAATTTAAGAGATTATCGAAAATTCTTTGGTTGAAATTTGAGAGATATAGGTTAATTCTTACCTTGTTGTTTTTAGAAATAATTGCTATAGTATTATTTATTGTATACAATATTGACCATTTTTCAACTGAATTATATTTCTTGACATATATTTTAGGAATAGCATTATAAGTTGTATTGTTATTTTTAGTATGTTCAAGCATTTATCCAAAACATTTTTTTTTCATAAATTTGTCTGTTGTTTTTATAAGATTTCTAATAAAATTTATAAGTGATTTAGGAACAACTTAATATGAAGGTATATATGAATTATTACTCACATAAAGTTACATAGTAGTATTATTATTTTCAAGAATACACTTGCCAATTATAAATTTTATTCTAAGTTTTGTATCAATAATTGGATTTATTAAGAAATATTCAATAATGGAGTTTTCATAAGGATCAATAACATATTATTCATTAATAAATGGAGAAGTAGTTGTTATAGCAACAAGCATTTTATTTATGGCTTTATAGTATAAATTAATTAGATTAGAAAGAGAGGACTTTATGCTTGATGTGACTCTTAATTAAGAAACATCAAAAATGACAAATGTTTTATCAATATTGCTACCAAAATTTATAAGAGATAGAATAAATGCAAGTAATATAGTATGATTAATATAATTTAGAGGGGATGTTTGAGATAAGTGAGAATTAAGGGAATGTTTCTATACTATTTTGTGATATATGTGGTTTTGATGATTTAATAACAGTTGAAAAGGAAAATATCGTAAAGATTTTGGATGGATTGTTTAGATCATTTGATTAATTGTGTGCTTAAAATGGAATGCAAAAAATTGAAACAGTAGGTAAAACTTATATGGCAGCTGGTGGTCTTAAAGCAGTAGATTAAGGGACTAAGTTTTATAATTAAAATTGTGTTAAAAGAGTAATAATTTAATATATATACTTTAAAGGCTGTGTAATTATCATTAGAAATGATGGATCATACTAGAAAAGTCAAATATGGACAGATTGGACATGTAACTATAAAAATAGGAATACATTATGGTAGAGTGATAGCAGGAGTAATTGGACATCATAAACCTTAATTCTCTTTAATAGGGGATACAGTTAACACAACCAGTAGAGTATGTTCAACAGGTTAAGATGGATAAGTCACTCTTTCTAATGAAGCTTATTAAGAAATTAATATGCCAGAATTATAATTTACTTAGAGAAAGGTTGCTGCCAAAGGAAAAGGAGAATTAATTACATATTAAGTAAGTAGAGAGATTAAAAGAAATACAGAAAAAAAGAATATTAAAAAAAAAGGAGTCATTTTAAAAAGCGAAGAATCAAACAACTTCATATAATCACCACAACCTTCAATCTAAGGAAATATACCATCTTCTGCTAAATAACCTTCATCTTTTGCTTAAAATTCGTTGAGAAGATAAGAAAGCATATAAATTCATTTATAAGACAATGTAGCATATAATATATAAAATACCAATACTAATAATGATCTAATCTAACAACATTCATCTAAATAATCCATTCCACCTTAATAGGATTCATCTTAGGATTTCTCAAATAGATAGTAATAGCAAGATCCTATTAAATAATTTAAAAGAAAAGCAAATTAAAGATAAACTATACTTATGCGATCTATGCCTTAACAACATCAAACTACAGGTTAAATCAAAATAGCTAGCAATTAAAATATTTAATTAGAACCTGATTAAGAACCAAGTCAATTAGAAAAAGAGTAATTGGCTTCTTATTTTGAGAAATCTAACCTCTTATTAGAAATTTCTTAAAAGTTAAGAAGAGACCTTTAAATCGATGTTATCGATGATTTTCCAGATTATGATATAGAATTTGATAAAATTAAAGGTTATTTAGAAGATGATAATAGTAATGTGATAAGCGAATGTTTATAATTAGAAAAAAAGAAATTATATCTTGGTTTTAAAGATCATTAATATTAATTGGCTAAAGAATTCACTGAGTAAAATGCTGAAGGTAGAAATATAGTGTTTATATCTATATATTTGCATCTCTTTTAATATCTTGCTAAAACCCTTACTCTTTTTATTCTACTACAATAATCAATAATAGAAAATCCTTTTCTGATTATAGCCATTCGATTATTTGCATCTATTGTACTTTTGATTCTTGCATTATTATAAAATAAGAAATTAAAACATAAATTTTACTAAGGATAATACTTTATAGCAACATATATTATTCTTTTATTTAGTATCCTATTAGAGTTCCTGTTACTTAATAGTGATGAACTATTTGAATTATAAGCATCAGAAGGAATATTATTAATATGTTTCTTTTGTTCTTTATCTATTGTACAACTAAAACATAAGGTTGCATTTTTATTATTTTTTTGTGTTGCTTAAATTATAATAGTTCTTGTTAAATTTAACGATTGGGCAGTAGCATACTACACAATATATTAAGGTATACTAATGTTTTCAGTTTAATACAACATTTTTTATTAGGATCTAAATACTTTCAATAATAAGAGATCTCTTGAAATTAAAAAAAACTAATCTGAAAACTTAGTAAAATATTTATTACCAAATCACATCTTAAAATAATTTTTATCTAATAATTAAAGAGAAGTATTAGTAGAGTAATTAGAAGAAGCCACATTGTTATTTGCTGATATTGCTGGATTTACTGAATATTCTAGTAGGGTTGAACCTGAATAAGTTGTTAATATGTTGAGAAATCTATTCACTGAGTTTGATAAAAAATGTTTAACATAAAATACATATAAACTTTATACAATTGGTGATTGTTATGTTGCCTTGGGAGTTGTAGATATTGGATAAAGAAATCCAGCACAAGAGGCTAAAAATGTTGTTGAATTAGGATTTGGGATGATTGAAATTATTAGAAATGTTCGACAAATTATTGGATTTGATGGATTAGATATGAGAATAGGAATACATACAGTAAATTTTATTCAATATTTCTAGGGTAAAGTGATTGCAGGGATTCTTGGAACAGAAATTGTTAGGTATGATGTATATGGGGCAGATGTTATGATTTCGAATAAAATGGAATCAAATGGAGAAAGAGGCAGAGTTTAAGTCTCAGAAGAAACCAAAAGATTGTTAGAAGCTCAATATCCTGGTGCATTTAATTTTATTCATAATAAATTAATTGAATTCAAATCAATTAATAGACAAACTAATGGTTATTTTGTTGAACCTCAAAAAAATGATTCTGAATTTGATGATTTAAATCAACCTAGTGAAAGAGAATCATTTAAGGTTTGATTCATTTATATATGTTCTGCTAATTTTTATAATTATTATCATGTTTGGTTTATCAATATTTATTCTAAAGAATCTATCATTTTTATTAAAACACTAATATCTCCTACTTTGAAACCTTATAAACTCTCTGTAATGTTCATTAATGTCAATTAAATATTAATTTTGTAGAGACTTTACCTTATATTAGATTTTCAAGCTCTAAAAATTTTGAAAATAACCTTAAATATCTCCTAAACTTATTTATTTATAAAAAAACGCTAACCCTATCTAAAATTAAAGTTTTTATTCATCATTTTATTGCATTTATTAAAATACAAGCTATTAAAAAAATACCCATAAATAAATATTTTATGACTTTGACAAAATAGAATAATTTATTATTTGAAAGAAAGCTAATGAAGAATTTATTAAAAATATCTTTCGAGATCGATTATGACATTCTTCTTTTCTTATTCAAACTAGAAATATTCGACTCATCAGAACTCAAAAAAAAAACATCAAATTTTTACTATAAAATATATATATTAGTAAAATGACTATTTTTATTTTGTAAATTTAGAACCGTTCATTTAAAGGAATTCTATTTATCTAAAATTATTATTTTGTCTTCAAATTTCTATTAAATATTATCTTTATATTCCTCAAGATTAATAATCCATTCCTTTTCAAAATAAAGCCAATTTCAAATTGAATTGTAATACTTCATAATTTTAGTAAAAACACAGGCTTTGCATTGAAATTAAAATCAAAACTACAAGATTTTAATCATTTTAAATTCAATAAACCTAGATGCTTAAATAATCTAAATGAAATTCACTTAAAAAAATATTTGTTATCGAAAAAATTACGAAATGTCTCGATAATATATTATTAAATTTGATTAAATAAAATAATCCCATATTTATGCTAAATTGAATGGCTTTAAATTGTAATTACAGCATTAAATTGCAGTAAAAGTGCTTTGAAAACTATTTAAATATATTAGAATAAAATTTAAACAGAATATGAAACTTAGGATTGAAAAATCTTTTAGGATCAATTAAAAAATGAAGAATGAATTAAATTAACCAACCACAATCATTTTATTTAGATAAAAAAGGTTTTACTTAAATGGAAATTTATTATTAATAATCCTTCTTAATATTGAAAAAAATTTTAATAAATTTATTTTAAAGTCAAACTTTTCAATAATTTAAAAAAGATGTTTAAATTTTATTTGATTATCAGAGAAAGTAAGTCTATTTATAAATATAAATATCAACGTTCTGTATTTATTTCTAAAAGAAATTTAAAAAACAAAAAATATCGAAAATTTAGGATTCTCTAAATAAATTAAAATATATTTATATGAAAATTTATGTTTATATAAAATAAAAAATCGATTATATTACTAATAAATAGGTATTATAAATATTAGAGATATGCATTTTAACAAGTTTCAATTTCGCCGTTGACATATTATATTGTGAGAAGCAGATAACTTATTTATTCTTAAAAGAATTTTATTACAATTAACACAGAAACCTGATAATCAAAGATTTTTTTATAATATAGTGTCGAAAGTACAGCACATGTGCTTTATTTTCTCTGATACAAAAATTATCTATGTGGAATCATCATCCATTTTAAAAAATTGCGAATTATTTGTAAATAATTTTCAAAGAATGAATCATGCAATTTTGGTTATGTTGTAAATAATACTTTTAAAAAATATAATTTTTTATTATTTTTTAGAATAATATTCGTTATATAAAGAGGTATTATTATTTCAATTAATTAAATATATTAGATTCTTCTTTTGTCAAAATTATTTCGTTTTTAATATTTATAAGAAAATTTTAAATAGTTACAAGTTCTAATAAGATTTTGATCAAAAAAATTTTGATTTCCGCTTAAATTGGCTCATTTAGAAAATATCAGCAAAGGATTCTAAATTAATTATTTATTTTAGTATTAAATTTTTCTTATTCTAATTAATATGAAATATAAACTAAAGCGGAAGATTCTTGACTTAAATTGCTCAAGTCATTTGAATTTTCTCTTATTCAGTTCTCAAAAAGATATTTTTTTTCTAAATTAGATTTAGCAGACTTGACTGTTTAAAATCTACATAGGCTAGTGATTGTAATTGATCAACCAATAAAAGCTATAATGTTTAATAATAATACTTAGAGTTTCGTTATTAGCTCTTAGTTGAAAATATGAGATAATCTCTTAATTTTACATAATAATTTTCAAGCCTTAATTCTTTATTTTTCTGTTTATTTAGTTAGCGTAGAATTATTGCTAAAAAATTTAAATAACTAATATAAATTGGTTAAAATAGGTTTTTTATATTTTTATTATATATTCTCAAAAGATTTTTGAGAAAAAGAAAGCAGAGTCCAATTATTGAGGTTTAAATTATAATCTAAACATAGTTTATAAATTATTGTTCATAGATATATTTAATTAAAGCTATAAAAATAGAAATTGAGCTAATTTATCCAGCTTATAAATCCAAAGAATTGAATTTTTGAAGAATAAAAGGTTTTTGATAGATTGATAATAATTAATAAAATAAAAAGGATAAACCTAATAAAGATGCTTTAAGTATAATTTATGTTTTCAAAATAGGTTATTATGAAAATAGTTAAAGTTTTCTTAAATTATTTAATTTATTCTCAAAAGTAGCTTTCGCTTTGATATTCATTTACTTTATAGCATGTATGTTTTCTAAGTTTGATTTCTTTGAATTATTTTTTTGACTGAAAATAAAGACAGGAAAAATGAATTAATTCTGGTAAAACAAAACAATAAATCCAAATTTAATGACCTTGATTCCAGAAAATTTAAGTAACATCCCCTTATATATAATTGATATTAGATATCATCCTAATTTGAAAAAACTGAAGAAAACCTAACAATAATTATTTTATATAAATTTTTATTAAGCCAGCATAATTTACAACATATAAAAAAGTAGGGAGTTTGCTCAAATCCAACTTTTATAGAATAAATAAATGATATCATAAAGATGACATTAAATTAGGAAACTATAAATGTGATCAATGTAATTAATTTTAGATAAAGTAAGGGAATTTGAATAATATTTGATAATTGACCATCCAAACCACTTGCTAATGAATAAGAACTATTACTATCTATTCAATAAATGAAAATGATAAAGAAAAGTATATGTTAATTGTAAGTATTACTTAAAAAGTCAACTAATAATTTATCATCATCTTTATTAAAATACTTTCATGATCGAAAATAAATTATAATTTAATTTACCTGAGTTTAATTTAAATAATATTTAATTAAATCTTTTGGCTATTGAGCTATATCATTTATTCGATCGATTAATACTTCTTAAAGATAATGCTATAGATTCAAAAGTCCTAAAATTTATGTATCTAATTAACAGATTATCACAAGTAAAAGAGAGAATATACTAATCCAAAAATCTGTACATCTTAAATAATTATTAATCCAATTAATTTTTAAAAAAATACCAAAACCTTTAATATCATAAATATCATGTCCATTAATACAAATTTCATCTCCAACAACCCATCCTAATCTGATTATCAAATTTGACAACCTTCATTAACATAAAATTCACCTAAATGACATTTTAAGCTTCTAACATTTATTTTATACATCAATACATTAGCTTAAGGATTAAATTTGCATAAAATTACTATTTATAAATATTCAAAATTTATTCAAATGAATCTAAAGTGAATGATAATGATGATGAATCCAAATAATATCTTCTATTATCAAATTTATAAAGTTAGCTATTTTATAAATCTTTAACAGAAGATTGATTTTTTGGAATAATTGAATAATTAAATTAACAAGTTGAATTTAAAATATTATTTAATTACTCATTTATACTATTTTTGTAATTTAAAGAGGTTGTTGATAAATAATTTATATTCTAATTATTTGTATCAAATATTTTGAAATCCTTGATTATTTAATTACTTGGGATTATCAAGATTCTCTGATTATCTACCCTTTTTTGCTCAATAATTTTAAATTAATTCAATTTTATATTATTGGTCTAAATCCCATTTATTTTTAAAAAGTGGAAGGAATCTTCAATTAATTAATATATAAAGCTTAATGAGATGGATTCACTATTAGATTATAACCTGACTACAAAGTTTTATTATATAATAAATAAGTATTCATATTTAAAAAGCTATATCTCCTTGCTAATAAATTCCTCCACCTGCTTAAGCATTATTCGATAAAATTATTGATTGTTTTAAAATAAAATTATTTGAGTTGATAAAGTAATAAATACCATCTCCAAATTCACTAGCAGAATTTTATATTATTTTGCTGGATTCAATTTTTAAATAAATATTAAATCACATAATAGCAGTTCCTTAAGTTCCTTTATCAAATAAAAAATTTGAACTTTAAACACTGATCTTAAAATTAATCAAGCTTTTTTCTAGTAAAATATAAGCAATCAAATTTCTTTATTTAGTTCAGTAAACAATTAAAATTTAAAACTCTTATTTTTTAAAATTCTTCAACCTCAAAAAACATCAATCAATTAATACAATGTTTACAATTATTATTTATTAATTGAATTTAATCAAAGTAAAATGAATTTAAGCTTAAAGAGCTCTGAAGATTAAATAAGGAAACTACTTCAACATTGTTTTATTATAATTAATAAATAATTTCATTCAGAAAATCTTATTAAGATTCAAGTACCAAAGTTTCATATAAAGAAACATTTTAGATATTTATTTATTAAGACTGAATTTTTGATTTATTTTGCCTGCTTAATTCTACAAGATTGTTTGAAGAGATTAAATTAGAATTAACAAATTAATTGCTTTGAATTTATAATTGGTTTATATCAATTAAAATATGCTCTAATATCTAATTAGTAAAATAAAAAATGAAAGTGTATAATTTTGAATTTTAATATTTTCAAGAAATAAGTTAATTTGTGATTAAGAAATATAAAATAAAGTAGAATCTTTAAATGTACAGTTATCTATATATAATCCACTAAAATTAGTTTTTCCATTTAATTCTTATTTTAAGAGTTTAAGAATCGAAGAGTTTTAAAATATAGAGTTAGATATTGTTAAATTCTTCAAATTAATAATATTATAGTTTTGAGTTTCAAATAAAGAATTTAGATTATTAAATTCACTCTAGTAAATTTAAACGTTAGATAATGTTAAATTAATTTGATTTAAATCATTGTCTAAAATGAAATTAAGATTATTCTAAATAATAAGATTTAAATTTTCAATTTCAACTTCATCAAAATTAATAAATTATGTTGTATATTTAGGATGTATAAAAAATTAGTTTGAGGAGTAAAATTTAAAATGAGTTTGTTTTAAAGTGAAAATTGATTGTTTAAGTTTTGTTGAAAAAGTTAAAGGAAGAAGTAGACAGCATTCATTTTATTATGGATCAAGCTGAAATTAAAATTCAATTGATTAAATTCCAATTGAATTACAATAAATTCCAATTGAATTACAATAAATTCCAATTGAATTACAATATTTAGTATTTATTTATTGTTCATAACAAGGTTAAAATCGTGCGAAATTACAAGAGTGATATGAGAATTTGAATATTAAAGAATCATCAAAATCTCAATTAAGGCAATACCTAGTGACTTAATTATATGGATCGAAATAAATCGCAGGATTCAAAATAAGATTTAATAATTTTTTAGTAAATAGTAGATTCTCCTCTGTAATCAAAATACTTAATATATAAAAATTAATACTTTAATTTCTTTTTCTTTGCGAAAAATACAAACTTAACAAAGCTATGGACAATCCTCATAATTTTTAGCATTCTCAACCTTAATTGATTATTTGAAGTAATTTAAGCAACATATTCTGAAAAATTATATGAAACTTATCCACAGACTAAACAATCTGAATAACAATATTAATTTTCAATTTCTTATGGAAAGATTTATTTTTAATAAGCATCGATATTTAATGTAGAAATAAATTAGAGCACAAAACTTTGAATTCTACTTTTCCATTTTAAATAAGATACTCTGGAAGTTAAAGTTCAAAGACATTAATTATTTTCAATAATATATCCATTTTGACAAAGAATACATTAAATAACGCTACTAATATTTAATGAACATTATTAACATGTAATTTTAACAATAAATGATTCCAGGAGCAATAGTGAAATCATCATTAATTGATAAAGTACTTCTTTCTTGATTATCCAAAACTGATAAATAAACGTTAACAACTTTTTAATTAAGATTTTTAAATTAAGCAAAAGTTAATTGTAAAATCAAAAATGTAATTATCTTTGTAAAGTGCACATTTGATATTTTCCAAATTATCTTCAATTATTACATATTAAGATTATAAAGAACAAGAATCTTAATTGTAACTTTAGTATCCAAAACATAATAAACAGTGCTTAATAGTACAGACTTTGCACTAATTTTAATAAGTTAAATAATTTGGAGGGATACAAATTCGATCAATGTACTAAAGATTCTTTTATTTAGAGTGAAATAACTTTTTCTATTTATTTAATCTCCTTTTATAAGAATATAATCATTTTAACACTATAAGCACTCTAAACCAGTTCCGCCAATCAAACAAGTTAAACAATTTAGTTAACACGTAGATAAGTTCAAAATTATAAAATCTGATTAGTAACAAGATTCTTTAAATTTAATAAAAATAATCTAAGTTCTCTATATGTTTATAATTAAGATTCTAATAATCTTGCCTTAAATTAAGGTTAGCTCCATCAAAATAATATTTTTCTGTAACTTCGAGGATTGTTGAATCATATATGCTTCACTATTCTTATAAATAAAGAGTTGATTAACAAGTTAGATCATGCTACAATTATCCATCATGCTACAATTATGATGGATAATTGTAGCATTCAAAAATTGTAATCAAATTTTATTTGACAATTGAGGGACTAAAAATATTATTTAAAATTTTACATTCAAAATAACCTTACAAACTTTATTGTTTAGGTATTTTATTACTTTTAAAAAGTAACTAATTTGAATCTTTATAAGTTTAACATTTCCATCTTAATCAATTTTATAATATGGGCAAATACACACTTTATATTAATTTAAGAAGATTCTTTTAGAAGATTCAGAACAAGATAAACAATTTTCATTAGTTGGGCCATCACAAGTTAGGCAACTATATGACAGTCTTAATATTCTGATTATTAAAAGCAATAATAAAATTAAAAGTTCTTAATGAAAACATTTAATTAATTCTTATATTACTATAAGTAGTTTCCAAACTAAATTTTTAATTATTAATTATGAAAATATTTAACATTATATATTTTTGTAAAATGAGATAAAATTTAATTCTCATAAAATTTTATATCAACTTTTAATTGATCAAATTATAATTCCACTTTTATTTAATGTCATAAAGGGATTTCATTACTAAATTTTATTTCATCTTTTATAAGAAACTAGTTTTCTACAAAGTCAAATGATAAATCTGGAAATTAGCAACTATAGGTTGTAATTTTTTTTTTCTGAAATTTAATAAAACAGCTGAACAGGTGATAGATTTTAATCTTCCAACATTAAATCTTTTTAAGTTTGCACTATTTTAATGAATTAATATATAAAATCTTCTGATTCTATTAGTATTTTGATTATTCAAATCCATCCAAACAAAATGAAATAATCACAATTTAAATTTTACGATATGCATTAACTAAATTTTAAATCTCAAAATTCTTAATCTCCAATTTAAAAATTTTCGTTTGGCTAACAAACACAATTTTTTAAAGATTTATAATTTGCTTATGCAATTTCTTCAAAATTAAGCAAAGGAGATTAAATCTCTTCAATATATTCTGATAATCTAATTGTACTTGGAAAATATGAAAAAAATCTCCACTTTAAATATTTAAAATTTTGGAACTATTTATAGATGAATTATTGTTAGCAATTATTTAAATAGATTGTTTCCAAATGTTAAAATCAAGTTTTTGTCATTTTTATCATTTAAACGAGATTGTTTTTTATAGTTTTTTATTGTTTATCAAGTCAATCATAATAAATAAAATTTAAACTTTATGATTCTCTATTGAATTGTGTAAATGAAAACAAAAACCATCAAACTCCATTTATAAAAAAATGTTAATTGGGTAGTTTAGCTCTTCTAATCGAATATTTTTTTTTCTATTAGTTTAAAGGATTCCTTTCAATAATTTCAAATGATTTAGCTAATATTTTGGATTGTCAATTTTAATCTGAATAATAAAAAGTAATAAGAAAATAATATCAAAATTTTAAAGCAGCAAATATATTATAAATTTAATTAAGCTACTAGTATAGAGATTTAGTAATTAAATGAATAAGAAACGCAGAACTCTAGTGATTCTTTCCATTTGATTTTATTGTATAATTTTAATAAACCTTAAAAATAATTTAATTCGGATTTAGTTAATTCAAGCTTTTTAAAATTTTTTTATTGTTAAATTCAGAGTTTTAATATTAATTAAGCTATTATTTTCTCTAAATTGAAAGCTGATTTTACACAAATGAAAACTATAAATCTTTATTTTATCTATCTTTGTTATAAAAAAAGATATTTCATAATCAAATATTCTATCAGTTTTCCATAGAGCTAAAGTTCATGTAATTTATATCTGAATCATTATTGATTTATAAAATATGAGTTACCATCCTATAAACAAATTTTAATAAAAGCCTTTTCTTGATTTTTATAAATTGTTTCATCATCATATTTTAAAGCTCCTTGTAATAAGTTCTAAATTTAAAGTCAAAAATTTATGTTAATAATGAATTATTGCATATTTTCTATTTAAAATAATATATATTTAATAAAAGGCATCTCTTAATATATAGAAAGGCTTTTGAAAACCATTTAAGAATCTTTTTAATATTACATTTTTATTAATCTTATAATCAATATCAAAACAAGAATTATTATTAATATATAAATAATTATAATTAATCTCTTTTTTAGAATACTATCTTAGTCTTATAATCGAAAGATTAGAAAACCATTAAATTCATGATTAAATTATTCATCTACTTTTAATATGAAAAATTTATAATTAAAATAAAATAAATAAAAATAAAAAATTAATGTGAAAAATAAATTTTTCTTAAAATATTTTCTGATGAAAATGGGATTGCTAATATTTTATTTTAAAATCTCAATAAAATATAAGATCTTATTGTATTAAATTTGATTTTTATTTATTTCTTTCTAAAATCTAAATATAATGATCATTTTGCATTGTTATTTTTCAATTTTTATAATAGGAAAACCTATTGCGCAAATTCTTGATATATCAAATATAAAAAGTATATTAAGAACTAGTATTGTAATTAATTTATAATTAAAATAATTATTAATGATGGTAAACCAATATCTAAATTGCTCACATATCATTTCAACTAACTAGATTATAAAGTTAGGTAAAAGCATCTCATCATAATCTTTTTCTAATTATTTTATTCTTTACCCACTTTAATTAACAAAACTTTTTTCTTCTATTAGTAATTTGTAATTATAATAATTATTATAATTATAAATTATAAAATTAGTTTAATTGGCCATTAAGAGGAGAAATAATCAAATTTATTGAAATTAAAGAATTTGGAAATCTCAAAGTTAAGTTTAAATTAAAATTTGAAATTGAAAAATCTCTATAAAAAACTAAGTTAATTTAAAAAAACAACTGAATAAATGTATTTTATTTTACATGAAAAAATAATCTTTGAATATAAAAATATAAATCCAAGTTTCAATCCAAACTTCATTTAATAATATCATTTTAAGTATATTATTTAATTTATTAGGCTCTTTTAAATTTGATCAAATAAATTAACTTGAAAGTTTTGTGTGGAAATTTGTGAATATAAAAAAATTGAAATATTTTATTCAAAAAACGAAAATTTTAGGTAGAAAATAAATATTAGATGAATTCTTAAAGTAGAAAGATTAATTGTCCTAAACATATTGTTTAGTCTTTTAATTTTTAGTTTTTTTTGTTTAGAATATTTTCAAAAGTGATTGAAATTCTACTTATATCATTTTAATTTAGAGTATAAATTTCTTGTTTTCTTAACATTTATTGCTATTATTATATTTAATAATTAGGCTTTATAATTTTCAATATTATAATTATAAACCAATTTTTAGCTGTTAGCTATATTTTTAAATGATTTAATCACAATATATATAAGCTTTAAATATCATTTATAATAGATAATCTTAGTGAGGAACGAAAAATATGAATTATTAAGACTAAACTTAAGTTTGATTTTCAATGTTAATATAAAAATTTAGAGATTTAATTGAGATTACTAGATGGAATTCTTGAATCGATTAAAAGAGAATTCTTGTTTAAGGAGCACCAAGATGCTTTGCTTAAATTTCCTTAAAAATTTATTAACATTAAGAATTGAATCTCATACATTAATATATGAAATGAAACTTATAAATAAACAATTAAATATTCTTGAATCATATTTTGATTAATTTAAGTTGAACTATGATTCATATGCTCTTTCATTAGTTTATAGTTTTTTCTTATTTCTTAACATAAACTTTAGTTAATTTTGAGCTACTTTTAAAAATAATGAAATAAGAATGATGTATAATTTATTTTTTATTATATCTGGTTTGTTTTAGAAGTTGGTCTTAATTAGACATTCTTGGAGAATTCAGTTAAATGCAATTTTTATTTAAAATCACTCCTTTCATATATTAATGGATTTAATTTTTGCATCCTCATTGAATGATTATTGAAAACTCTTGAAAAATATGTAGAATTGAAAATCATGAAGCAAAAATAAATTAATGGACAAATGATGAAAAGAAATCAAATTCTCATGGTTTTCTATAAACTATTTGTTTTTGTGAGTATGGTATTTTTTTCAAATGAGTTAGCTGAAATTCTAATAAAATTATGAATGAGATTTGAAAAAATGATTCAAAAGAAATAATATAATAATAAATGTTAAACAGATCATTCTATTAATCATGATCATAGATAAGAATGATTAAATTAGATTTTAATTTATTAAAAATGAAATACATCATTTTGATAATTAAATTACGTAATCAAATTTTCTAAAAGTTTTATATATAAGTAGAAGTATTGTTTGATGACTTTGAGCAAAATTAAATGTTATATGCATAGTATTTAGTTTTCAAATTTTTAGTTTAGATCCAAAAATGAATAAATTTATTTTAATAATTTAAATATGATATGTTTATTCTTTACTGGGTTCAATACATCTAAATTTACGCTAATGTTATTGGTCATTCTCACATTACAATAATCTAGAGGCGAATTTTAAAGTCAATTTTGGGATAGTGGATCAAATTAAAGTATGAATAGTCTTTAGAATAGTTTTAAATAAGTTATGGTGGGATACTACGTGTAGTTGCTGCTCATTTTAACTTGAATAATGCGGTATAAAAACTATTTTGGCAACTAATTAATGCTCTGTTGCAGATTATAATATTATAGTTTTCAAAACATTCTAGATAAAGCCTCATTACAAGATTACATTGTCATTTAATTTTTGGAGGTAGTACAAGTTAAATAATTTTAGAATTGATTAATGGGATAATTATGAGTTCTATGTATATTTAGAATATTAAATTGTACACTAAAGTCAATACTCTCATAGTACAAGTAATTCAAATATTTGTGGAAATCCAGGCTATAATGATGAAGTATATCCAATATCAATTACTATTCCACATATTATGCCTGCTCTGACAGTTATTTTTACTGCATAAAGAGGTATTTGGGGAATATCAGATATGACTTTAGAAGCAAAGTTATGTCCTGAAGGTTGTTAATCATGTAATGAATATGGATGTTTTGATTAATACCTTCATTTTATTTCAATGAATGGAATGTTATAAAATTCACTTAGAACAAATGAATGTTGGCTAACAAATAATGCAATTTAAACTACTATCATTACTTATCTCTGTAATTTTATTTAATTTACTTAGAATCTCGTTATCTTCAGACATAAGGAAATCATTTAGTGAACATAATCAATTTAAATCATCATTAAGCAATAAGTTTACAAATAAAATTATTAATCTATAATTCCAATCCAACCGAAATTAAAATAGCTATTGACGATTTAATAGTACTAAGAAACTAATATACAGGAGGTTGGATAAAATATCCCTATGGTTTTGGATATAGATCCATAAAATTAATTAGCATACATTAATATCCTCACATTAATAGTTAAGCTAAAATAACTATTAAAATAGAATGGACATAAAAGGAACCCACTTGGTAAATATTTTTTGGAATCAGAGATTTTCAGTTATTTTTAAAATCTCAACTTTTTGAGTTTACTTGTAAAGATGATAATTTGATTCCATTTGATGGATGCTTTTAATAATATTATGATTGTGTAGATGGTTGTAGTAGTTGTATTAGAGGATTATGCTTAGATTGTAAATAAGGTTGGGATTGGGTTGAAAATGATTAAAATTGTGTTCCAATCTGCGGAGATTTATAAATTACTTAATTTGAAGAATGTGATGATGGGAATAACATTCCGTATGATGGTTGTCATTTATGTAAATATTCTTGTCCTTTGAATTGTGAAATTTGTTAATTTGGTGAATGTTTGAAATGTAAAATGAAATATTAAATAAGTTTAAATAAAAAATAATGTTAACCATTTTGCTCTAATGGAATATAAATTAATTATGATATTTTTGATAAATAAAGTAACAATTAATTGGAAAGAATCAATATTTGCTAGTAAAGATGTTCAATAGAATGCAATTTGTGTATAGATGATAAATGTCTACAATGTAATGATGGATGGTAACTTTAAGATAATAAATGCCATTAAGTTTGTGGAGATGGACTAATTGCTATTAATTCAATAGAGGTATGTGATGATGGAAATTATAATGATGGTGATGGTTGCTATTAATGCTAATTTGAATGTATACCCTATTGTTTCTCATGTTCAGATTAATCAATTTGTTTAACATGCATACAATTTTTCATTTTAGTAAATGATTAATGCCTTCCAAAATGTGGAGATGGTATTTTAATAACTGGTTTAGAAGAGTGTGAAGATGATAATGATTAACCTTATGATGGATGTTATTAATGTAAATTCTCATGCATTCAAAATTGTGATATTTGTCATTTAGGATTATGCAAAAAATGCAACACTGGATATTAATTTTATGATCATATTTGTGTAATTTTAGATGAAAATCTAGAAGATATTGAAAATTTATTCAATAATACATAAATACAATCTTTAGAGTTTTGTGGAGATGGGATTTTATCAGAAAAAGAATAATGTGATGATTTAAATTAATTGAATTTTGATGGATGTTCAGAATCTTGCCAAATTGAAAGTTCATGGAATTGCAATCCTTCATAACCTAGTATTTGCCATCCATAAACTAAATTTAATCTATCTTATTTAAATAATACTTAATAAATTTAATATGTTTAATTGTCATTTACAAATTAATTAATTTTCAACAATAATATTGAAAATTATTCAACATTTATTTATGAAATTCAAAATTGTACATCAGATCAATATAGTTTTGAAATTATCAAAGTATATGAAATTTAACAATTTAATTATTTAGATCTATCCTATGTATTAGAAATTAAATTTTTTAATTCACTAGATTCTTAACCAATTTTAAAGGTTTCATTATTCGGTGATATAATCGATATTCACTATTTTTAAGTTTTTAAGAGTGAACAGAAGATTGCACTTTAACCCCCAAGAATATTATCTGAATCATAGATATAAACAGCAATTAATCTTAAAAATTTTAATTTTTGGATATTGATTGGATTGTGTGTTTGTGCATTTATTATGATTATATTAGGGGATTTTTAACAATTTATGGAAATTTTAGATATACTATAATTTTAATCATTCTTAAAATTTTTAAATGTACCATTCCCCCAAAATGTTGAAATCTATTTTGAATCATCGAATTTTGTAACTATTAAGCCTCTATTCAATAAAATATAATTACAATATATATTCGATAATATATTTACTGCTTATCATTGTGACGGTATTGGAAAATTTAAATATTATAATATTAACGCAGATCTATTAAATAATATTTATGGACTTATCTCTCAAATTATGCTAATATTTATCATAGATATATTTCTAAGATATTTAAAAAGACAGTATTACTAATCTCACAATTTATTAAGAATTTTAAACTATTTAAGCTAAAAAAAATCAAAAATATATCAAAAGATATCGACATTGATTTGTAATTTGACTAAAACCATAATGCAATAACCATTAATATTTAATAGAAAATTTTTATTATATTTGATTTTAGCTAATAGTTGGGATATATTATTCAAAATTTTATTATTTTTGTTTTCTTGCTAGGAATAAACTATAAGATCTCTTTTTTCCTATAGTTTCAGTATTGGATATTTAATTTTCATCATTTTAACTTTAATACAATAGTTTAGAAGATAAAATTTTAATTTAATATTGAGAGTTTTAAGAAATAAATAGCATTAAGCAATTTTGTTATTTAAAAAACTTATTTTTCTTATGATTCTCATAGGAATATAAGATCAGCCTATAACTTAGTGTATTCTATTATCAGTTTTGTTGTTTACATATTTAAGTTTCATCAACACAGTTGAGTTTATATATTCTGATGCTGAATTGATGAATATAATGTGTTAGGATGTTTCTGTAATGTTATTTACCTTATTAAGTTTAGCCTTTTGTACTGAATTTTATAGATATTTAACAGCTAATTAATATTTTATTTTAGGCTTCATATAGATTGGATTATTAATGATAGGATTAACAGGTCCTCTAATTAAATGTGCAATGAGATTTTATAAAAAAGTTCAAGCTTATATTGAAAACAGAAAAGAAGTTTAGAAATTAAATGAAGAACGGTAAACTGCAAATCCAAACATTCTAACTGAGCTAAAGTATTGAAAATTTTCAATATTTTTCAATACAAAATTATATATTAAATTGATAATTAATTAATGAGAGCTTATGAGAAAAAAATCAAATTTATTAGATTGTTTAAGCATCTTTATCATCTTTATTGTTTTTAATTTAAAATAGAATTTTTTAAGTTATAAAGAATTTCTTAAATTTCTTACATTTATTATAAATTAATATTTATTCAATACTAGGAAAGAAAGATGTTCATATTGAACAAATTTTTTATTTAATATATTTAATGTTAATAGATTATTGATTTTAAAAAAATATTAATTTAACAGATCTATCAAAATTTTATAAAGATTTTTGAGAAGAAAAAAAAGATTTAGATAAGTACCAAATTTTTAATAATAATCAACAAAAAGAGATTAAATGATGAGGAATTTTTTTATTAATAAAACAAGTATTTTGGAGTCATAAAGAGATTATCAAAGGAGAGGATTGCAAATGATTAAAATGAATAAAACTCAAACATATGTAAACTTATCTTATAGAATTTTTAATTAATTTATATTTATTATATGTAATAAAAATAAAAAAATTTTCTTTTAATTATTCAGAAATTACTGGTTATAGATTTAGAGTGGATAAAATTACACATGTTTTTATTCAAAGATAAAGAAGCTTAATAATATGAAGTAAATTATCAAAATAAAATGTAATGGTTCCTAAAATAAACAAGAATATAAATCTATCCTTAAAAAGATTAATTAAAATATATTAAATAAGTAATAGAATTATCATTTATATTTCAGTAATTACCATTTAAGTTATTCAAAAAATTAATATTATAATCAAACATGTATGTAAGATCAAGTGATTTTAGGATATTAAATAATAGGATTATTATAGTCTTATATGCTATCTCAATTGGAATTACAGAAAAGTTTGATAAGTAATTATAAAAGTCACATATTTCATTTCTCAACAATATATATTAATAATTTTCGATCA